TGAGTGCGCATGCGCAAATTCCCACTTGGAAACTTATACTCTAGCCGCTACTAAGGATGCATCAAAATCTCAGAAAAGATTGGAGGTACCTTATGGAGGCACGTGATGACCCGCTTGACCAGGCAAGTATTGTCCTAGGCTCTCGCAGACGTCTCTTTTAATCCCTTTTCCTCATAATTCCCGGCAAACACGGGGCGCAATTCATGTTATACCCTTAACACATTATACCCACCCACACCTTAACACAAACCCCATATCCCCTCCCTTCACCATTCATCCAGCATGCACATAAAACAGCGTACGTACATACAACTTCAAGAAGCCCCCTTGTCTACATAATAACTCCCAACACAACTTCGATTGAAATTCGATAAGCGTACCACATCAGTATGAGCCGAGGCGCTTGTACGACTATATTGTTAGTAGATCCCTTACAGCGACAAAATCGCATCTCGTGATATATCCGCATATAATTAATCGGATTAATACCTAAAATCCAATCATATAATAATTTGGTGTATCCAGCACAGAATATTTCGCGCTTACTTTCAATAACACACGATAGGATACTACAGTATCGAAGGAACACTGACAATACCCCGACGGATCTTGAAATCGATAGAATCTTTCCTCACACCTAACATAGTAACATATCGACAGGCGGAGAAAATTTACGAACTAAACCTTCCTTCCACTCCATTACATAATCTCCATTACATGCATGCATGCAGGTCTCGCATATGCACTGCAATACAGACGCGAAACCATGCGCCGTGAAACATTTGTACTCCCTCGTCCGTCCGAACCCTTCGAACGTTCAGGTCGTACGATCACACTACACTGCCTTACTTCTCCAAGCTGCTTTGCCGCGACTGACTTGAAGGCTCAAAGTTTGAGATTGACATAAGATTACATACACGTTATACTATGGCCTTCGCTTCTGAAGGAATGAATTTTTGGGGGTCGATATCAACTCCAACTCCATCCTTCAATTAGAGTATAAAATAAAAAAGTCGAAAAATCAGACCACACCGCCTTCCGAATATCGATTGATGTATTTAAATCTATGTATCTTCCTAGATACATGACTGAGTAATTAGATATGTATCTAATCTCGTAATTCGAATCCTTGGACCATAAGTAGTAATATGGAGTGTGATAGGGTGTGCATATCATATGTCTTAGTAGGCTAGCTAACTAACTTTCAAACCAAGCAAGCTATGGGATTTGGGAATAAGCGAGAAGGATTCAGTCAGGTACAAATTCGTACCTGCATTAGGGAATGGGGGCTTTTTTGGGGGGGCGAAAGTAAAAAAGAAGTCGTAAAATTTTACTCGTAGAGATGCGTGGGAGCAGGGAATAATATATTCCGGGTTAGGGATCGGAAAAAATGTGCCGAGGGTACAACATAAAAGAGGTTTTGACATGTGTAATGGAAATGTGCATCTGGGTGCCCGTTGCGGTCTGGAGCACCAACTTGATGTGAAAAGGTTTCGAAGATCACAAATTCCCTACTACTCGAAACCCAATTGATGTTCAACAACAGTATAATGTTCATTTAAATTTGGAGATTCAACATGATCTCAACTTTTGAAAAAATTCAATGGTTAAGGTCCTTGTAATTGTGGGAACCCATCGTACTGTTGGGAATCCTGATATAAATCCCTTGTGATATTTGATCCTTCCCAACGAAAAGTGCTTCAAGTATAACTGTGTAGCCATCTATGATCTATGATGATTCGTGTTTGTACAGAATATTGTACATGTACATAAAGAAATGAAAATAGTGTACAAATGCTATCGTGGCTCGACAGTCACAGGGTTTGAATCTGCGCATGACTTCGCGAACACCAAATAGCATCTAGCCATGGCTTTGGATCTTTTCTGGGTCCAAATTCTGCTACGAGTCGAGACGGCTCATCCATCACTGCTTGAGCGATGTCGATAGAATTCCTCACAACGTCTTCGTTAGTCGCGCAGCTAGTCTGAAAAAATGATCCATGCATTAATTCGGAAAATGCCTCCACTGTCTCGGAAATTCCAAAACGGAAGATAAGTGTAACTACGGGGAAAGTAGCGAAGAGGGCTATAACAACGCGTGTAGAACATTTGCGAGGCAAGGTCGATATGATTTGTGCTAGGATTAGAAGAGCACAAAGACATGATAGCGTGGCGAGAGCTAGGGAAGGAATGACGTGTATGTATAAGGTAGATAGCCCAAAGGTAGACATGAGAGTCAAGCTGCAGACGTGACCTTCCTTGCACTATTTAGTGTTAGTGACGACGACTATTGGTACGAGGAACGGTGGTTTATCAAAATCAATGTAAACTCACAAGAAATATTACAGCAACCCATAGCAAAGCTTTGAGAATACTGTAGACCGAGAGACTGAGGATCTCAGGAGGTTGTTGTTGTGAAGCCAGGAGGATAATAGTGAGGAAGCAAACTACCCAGCAGCATGTTCCTTCAAGATTGAGAAAGATTTGACATGGGGACTGTACTTCAGCATCCACAGTTTGGGAAAGGCTCAAACGCCAATAGATAGCCGTCTGACAGATGAGAAAAATGAGACCAAGACCAATAGTGACAGGGCTTGATGATGAGGGGAGAAATAAAACACTGGTTGAGATGGCGACAAGGATGTAGAAAATCATATGGTAGCTGTAGTTCTCTGGATACTCTGATCTCTCGGATTTGGAATTGCTAGGTAGCACATGATTATCGACATAATTATTTCTCGAGACTAAGTAGAGTGCTGGAGTAAGAAATGGCTGCGGGAAGTATTAGACTCGAGTAACAACTAGAAAACAATAATGAATGACAAACCAGTATCCAATTAACCTCTACAATTGATGCACAGACACTAGATGTAACAATAAAGAATGCAAGGCTTGTTGATTCCTCTTCAATATCATCTCCTCGGACACGTGATATTTTCTTCCGAGAAAAAAACGAATAGACTTTGATACCAGCCCAAAGCATGCACCAGCAGAGCCATTCGGAAGAGAGATTCAGGGCTTGTGGAGTGTCATTGTAAGCAAATGAATGAAACATTCTAGAAAATTAAAAGAAGAACCAATTTGGGTTAAGGGTATAAGGATTGTGGAGAAATCGATAAACAAGGGTGTATAGCAACGTAATCAAGACAGTTAAGATCTGTGTAAAAAAGGCCAGTAGGATAAGAGCAAAGAGATTGAACCACCAGAGTACAACTCTAATTTCCAGGGAGGCGTGGTGATTTTATGAGGAAGTGCCAAGAATAGTGTCAGCCCATCCTCAGACCCTCGTTGTGGGAGTCGAAGGATCTACGCGCACCGGCGCTTGCGGGCTTGGAGGATACATGTTTCTATAATTGGAGGTAAGCTTGCTACCTAATCATTGTTTTTATGTGAAAAGCAAAGGTTGAGGAGATGAAGAGGAAAGCATATATGATCAAAGACTCCTAACTCTGAGGCTATATCAATCCTACAGTGCTCTTTCGAACTTGAAGTTACTTGGCATGACGAACAAGCAGACAAATATGATGTTTCCAACGGTTGGAGTGTCCTAGGGATCAAGAATACGATGCAAAGCAAAGCAAAGCACTATGCAACAATGATCCGACAAGAACCAAAATAAACATGGTATTTATGTGCGGGACGTTGTTGGTTCATGTTGGTAATGATACTCTGAGTTGTTATATTCATGGAGAGAGATGCTTTGATACCTTTGTTGGAAGAAAAGTGTTGGAGGCTTGGCCAATGAGACATCACGTGAGTATATTTTAAGAGTCATTAAGCTCAGACGGGTATAGGGTCGGTTCAGGCCAGGCTATGTTCCGGGCTTTACCTAGTATTTTATTTTTAGACTGCCCATTGAGATCTTGAACGGGGTAAAGTCACATGGCACTGTTGAAATACCTACCTAGCTACTCGAGTAGTACCATATACTCTTACCTTTTTATATATTTTTGCCCTTGCCAACATGTTTCTTCACCACAATAACATCAAACTCATTCAAGCCCCCATTCTAGACCAAATTCTAGACCGAATGCTTCGGGCTGTTACCATGAGAATCAACACCTGGTATCGTTGGTTCTCTCCGATCCTCCGCCAGCTCGTTCGACTGATCTGTCACCTGCATTGGAAACCACAGCTGTTGCAAAACCTGCTTCATCACAGTGGGAAATCGTTCGTTTATTATGAATTGTAGGAACAGAGCATCTCCATCTTGGATTTCTTCCTACAAGACTTCGACCCCACAATCTCTCTTACAAATCTTTTCATCCTTCTCTTTTTTTTTGCTTTTGGTTAAATCTTCCGATATCCTTATCTCACACATGGTAAATGAGTAAGTAGGAGACGAAGGAAGTGGCGTGATCCCACGATGTTTCAGGGTTTGAACTGGTACAAAGTGGAATTATTATCGAATCTTCTACGTACTCGAAAAATGAATGTGGTACTTTTGGTGCATATTTTGTGTTGCATCATGATCCATTTTGTACGGATTCGAAGTCGAATACCAACAAATCATCGTGTGTACAATGTAAAGTCCATTGTTGGCAGTGCCAAAATTAAAATAGGGAAATATTCTCGAGTATTTTGGTGATACAATACAAGCTGAGGCATGCGGTGGGCCCCTGCAGTCATGTCATCATTTAGCTGCGCCTTACCTCAAAAGTAAGATTCTTCTTTTAATTGGTACTTCGGGGTGACACGAAAGTCTTACACACAGCAATTATTGTAGATTTTCAATGTTACCTCGTCAAGGGATTAAACCTGTGTTTGAGGGCTAGAAGTAATCTCAACATGATCAAGTCAAGGTATCCTAAGCCTGACATGGAGGCTTGTGTATCTCCCAGCTTCACGGGAGGGATGAGTGCCAATCGCTAGAACATGCAGGAAAAATCTATTAGTCTCGATTATTACACATATAGGACGAAATCAATCCTTGGTAGTACCTCGCTGTGTGAAATTGCTTTCAGTCATTTTCATCTTGTGGTTCCTTCTCTCTAATCCTTAGATCGGCTGTGGTCATCTACTTGTTACCACACGTTTTTCCTAGTATCCCACCCTCTAAAGTGTCGATGAATTTACATCTTTAAGCATTCAGACATGGCGAGTTCATCACAGCTTTCCGGGCGACGACGATGTTTTAGCTCAGTATCTTCTTGGAATGGACACTTGACTGGCTCGGTGTATACGATACTGGTTATCTTGCTATGCTGGGTGCAGCCATCATGGCAACAAAAGGATGCTTTGAACGATTTTTGCAGAAGATGGGGACATCAGACAACAGTTATTGATCGACAGTTGTTCATTGATGGCGGCATGGTTGATTGGAATCCATTATCACAGAATCCTTCGAACTACTCTAGTATGTTCTCGCAACAAAAGAATAGAGGCTCATTGAAAATTTTACTGACGGCACGACAGACTCCTGGCTTTTGTATAACGATCTAAACACAAGTCCTCCGGCGGTAGGAATGCCTCAGTTACAGGCAAATCTTTCAAAAAACGCCTCGATACCGAATGTAAATGGAGGTGTGCTTTGGGGCGATGAGGTCAATAAACGATTTTATCTATTCGGCGGCGATTATTTCGGTACTTCACCAAGTTCACCTAATCTGTATTCTTATGACATACTATATAATCAATGGGAAGATTTCGGACCACCTAACAACGGTGTGACAAGCGTCTCGTATGGCATGGGAGTGGGTATATCTGATCTTGGGCAGGGCTATATGCTTGGTGGATGGCAGAGCAATGCTTCGATACCCGGATGGAGTGGGCCTCCTATCGCAACGAGCGGTTTGATCAAGTATGATTACCAATCAGGAACATGGTCAAACAATACAGGACCAGGCCCAACCGGAAGAGCTGAGGGTGTTATGCTTTATCTGCCGGCGAGTCGCACTGGCGTTCTTGTCTACTTTGGTGGTATCCAGACACCATACAATAACCAGACTGTAGTAGCATCACCGATGAACCAAATTTATGTCTATGACATTCAAAGTTCTCAATGGTACACGCAAACCGCGACTGGTGATATCCCTGGAGATAGGAGGAGATTTTGTGCAGGTGCTACCTGGGCACCTGACCAGTCATCTTACAACATGTAAGATCATGCCGTCATGTCACCCATAAAATTTTCTGACATTTTTAGTTATCTATATGGTGGTGCAGGTTTCGGAGCTAATGCTTCAGGATTTGACGATGTCTATATACTCAGCCTTCCGTCATTTACATGGATTAAATGGTGGGAAAATACGCCAAATGATGCGAGACCACATAACATGTTGAGTTGCAATGTTGTCGATGGAGCTCAGATGCTTATAGTGGGTGGATCTTTCCCACTTGACCAGTCTACATGCGATAGTCCGAATTCCTGGGGTACGCATAACCTCGACCTCAATGAACCAGTCGCAGGGCTTCCATGGAACACATACCAACCGAATCTTACATCATATGCCGTACCTTCAGCCATATTATCTGTTGTGGGTGGATCGTACGTATTCGAAGACATCGAGTTGAAATATAATACTGACAATTAAGTAGTCCTACAGGTGGTGCGACGATGCAGTCGCCCTCTGCTGGTTTCCAAAACAATGATTTGAGCGTTTATTTTCGACAAAAAGCATCCGCAGTAAATCGTACGCCTACTAGGGCGATTACGACCGCAACGGGATCATCGACATCTAAGCATTCTGGAATTAAGTTAGCTTCAGCCGCTATCGTTGGAATTATTGTGGGAGTCGTAGGGATTCTTGGCATCTTAGCTGCATGCTTTTGCATCCTTCGCATTCGTAAGAGCCGTGCTCACGTACCTGAGGTTTTTGTACCAATTGTGCCTACATATGCTGCCGGAAATATATCCAAGATGCATCCACAACGACCCAATCGTTGTTACGATCCCCAAAATCCTCACATTGCGCAACAACGAGGTAAATCGACATACCAAGTACTGTCTTCACATACACCTGACGCAGTCGAGTTGGCGGGGACCACTTCCAGTGGAAGAAACTATTCAAACATCAATGCTGGTGGTAATCCGATATATACTCCACACGATGAGAGTGTACCACCATATACCAGTAATTGGCACCACCCAAATTCACCTCCTCAGAACCAGAAACATTTCAGCCCAACATCACCACATTCTCAACAGAACCAATTGTCACCTGTACCAACGGAATTAGACGCAGAAAGTACCATATTTTCTGCCTCTCCTACCTCTACATACTCGACATTAGGAAGAATGACGTCGAAAAAAATAACCCCAATACACGAGACGTATTATTCGACTTGAGTCATTGATAATTTTCTCTTTTTCTTGCTTCTAGCCTAGTATATCATCACCTTTTCATAGCGGGAGTGGTGTGCTGTGTCTGTATATATACAAGAGTTTTGGCGTTTTCAAATGAGGATATGTGGGGAGGAATACTATTTATTACCTAGTACTTATACTTATTATCACGAAACGATGACGTTTTCGTTCCTATATTTTCCTGAATGTTGTAGTCTTATATCGATTGGCCAACGCAGCCGCTGTTGGAGGGAGGGATTTAGTAAAAATATAAATGCTACAATATTATTTTTGGAAGTCTTGGTTGTGTTGTTTGTTCATGTTTGTGCTTTGTTGATGTGTTTTGCATCATAATTACTTGTAAGTTGGCGTCACAAACTTGGGAAATTAATTATAACTTATCTCTGTTTGGATCGAGTGCTGTATTTTTGGTAAACCTTGATTTTGATTAATTGGATCTTGGGGTTTTTTTTTTCAAGCTGGATAGAGATAACGAAGTTGGAAAGGCAAATAAGAAGAAGAAGAAAAGGAAAAGGTAAACTGTGGTGGAATAATGGGGATGATAAAGGGGGAGAAGTGTCGAAAAAAGAGGAGAGAGAAACCATTCCCAGAAGCTATTGCAGATTCTAGCTGTGACTACGGTACGTATATGCATATGAGAGTAGTGGCGATTTTCTTTAAAAGATATTAGTTAGGTTATGCTTGAAGAGAATTTCGTATTCCGGGGATTATGGTTTATGGATATACAGCTAGCTAGGGTGTTTTTTATAGTTTATGGCTGAAAGAATTATATCAATGGTCAAACTTAAATGAGGTGCGTGGTCGAATGAATACATAGTTTATTTCGTCCAGAGGGCGGGATGGGGGGGATTGTGTTGGATTGATAGATATGTAATGAAAATACTTGTAAGCTTTGAATTTTAAAGGATCTGAAGATTCTTTTTGTAACTCGGCTGCTAGTTTGGAGAGAGTCAGTTTGGGACTTACAATTTGCAAATGGACTCAAGACGTGAATAAATAATATCAATCTAGAAATCTAGGAATCTAACGATATCGATATCATTTGATGGTATTTTTACACTGAAGATTTATAGTATTGAATGAGAAGATGCTTCTGAATAGTCCAGATCTAAGCTGGTTGTCACGAATCACAATCATTCGGGTTATTGTTGTATTATGAGTATCGGTGATTTAGCTGCCAATTACAGGGGGAGTGTGATTTAACCGCGGTTTACAGGGGTTCCTTATCAGCTTCGATAAGGAACCTAGGAATCCTAGGACAAACGTTTTAGGCAATCACAATGAAACAGGACAAGTGTCCTAGGGGATTAGGGTAAGCTAGGATAGTATTTGTCCTAGGATAAATCGTCCTAGGATAAATCGTCCTAGGATAAATCGTCCTAGGATAAATCGTCCTAGGATAAATCGTCCTAGGATAAATCGTCCTAGGATGATAATTGTCCCAGGACAATTATCCTAGGAGATGAACCGTCCCAAGATTAGTGTTCTAAAGCAGATAGGATCACATAATAGAGCCTCTGAAAACGTAAACTCTTCAAAGCTCCGAAAAAAGGATTATTATATAAATAAAGTAGTTTTTGTTACGACGGCTATCTTCTACGCCGCGTTACATGACTAAACCAAGGTAACGTGATTAAGTCACGTTATGGACCGCTGAGGAACGCTGGCTGTCCAGGACCGCGCAGCGGTCCTAACTAGCCATAGACATGAAGGTCTATATAATCAAGATGGATTTCCTTTGTATAAAGTTTCGTACTCAAGATCAATCATTTAGTATACTCTATTACTAGTTACGAATTGTATATCATTATTGTCATTACTTTAAGTCCCTGCTTGACGTCTAGTTATAAACCACCTCGAGAGCCTAGAGCACTTCCACGTGATCTAGACGGCAAACCTCGTAACAGGTGGGTGTGAATCGGTGAAATGAATTTCCGGCAAGGAACTTGTCACGTCTTATCGTCCAATCAAAGACGAATTCTCGACCTCTGTCTCAGTCTCCTAAAGTTTTCTGGATTGTGTTCTACTTAGATTTGACCTCTTATTAATATCAAATTCTCTTCTATAATAAGTCATCATAGCTTCAGAAGCAGCAGATATTTCTCTTTCCTTTACCCATACTATTCTTCGCTTTTAGAGATTCCACATATCTTGATGACAAATGGGACGTATTGACTTTGGCGGCGAAATTTCCTGCAGGACGATCTTCCATAGTCTCAATCACTGATTTGCTGATAATGAGGGATAGACCGCAGATCTCCACTGCGGCTCACTTGTGGACTGTTTTCTGGTTTGCCTAGTGTACATCACTCTCAAACTTTAGTAAGCACTCGCTATTAACTCCGACTCCACATGCGGTTGTATCGATGCGTCGTCCACCTCACTTGTCCAACATGCAAGATCTTTGGAATAATGATCAAACGAATTTTTTAACAGCTTGGTGCAAAGTTCTATATTTTTTACTATGTGGACCAAAAAGGTGCTCATTTTATATTACTAACAAAGTTCCGTTGTTGTAAGAATCTATTCGAAAACTCTGCAAAGATTACCTGCTGTCTGATTCGCGATATTAAAACACAGGGTGCAGTTTGTTCTAGAAATTGTTGCAACGGACCATCCTTTTTGGTATCCACTCCACTGTGGACAATAGTTTCGTTGGGTCAGTCATATAGAGATGTTTCGCATCATGCATTAGTTTGTTCGATGCTTACATATCGGTTTTGAAGTATTCCAAGACCAAAGGAAAATCTTTTGAGGATGTTTGGTTTTGAACTCGGTTTGGATTATTAATACTTTACACTAAGTTTTTCCTGTGAGCAAAGACTCAACCGGCAGTTGCTACTTTTCTGCAGTACTATTTTATAGTATTACGACGGCAACTGGAAGGGGGTTTCTAAGGTTGAGAAGAATAGAAAAGATATCGAAAATGATTACAACATCGATTAGTGTCTTGAAGAATGTACAATCTGAGGCAGCTACCCAAAACATTATGATCTAGAATAATTAAAAAGGCTTATCTATTAATTGAAAGGAGAAATTTCAAAATGATTATTTAAGTTTCAATTACTTCTTACATAATAATAAATGATATAATTTAAAGGACTATAAAAGTTGATTGTTTTAATTATATTTTAATTAATTTATATTCGAGATTAAATCATATATTTATAATTAATATATATGACCTCTTCAAGATCATTGGTCTTTTACTCATTGGTTTTAAATAGTTCAAAAAAAATTGAATTTTAATATATTATTTTTCTTATAATATTTAAATTAATTCAAATATTTTTTTTAAAAAAAGTTAAAAGTCTTTGACTAAAAGTATCTTTTAGTTTTTTAAAATATTATTTATTAAAATTTCCTTCTTTTTAAATAAAATAAATAATATTTTTATTAATAATAGACTTTTTATTTCATTTTAAAATATATTTTTGTATTATATTAAATTCTTTTTAATTACTTTAATCATATTTTTATTTTTAATTTCTTATTTCTTTACTATTGATAAAATTATTTTTATACAGTGTATTAAATTATGAAATAGTAAAGTGTTATTTATTCATTTAGCTTTTTATTCTTTGTGATTTGTAGTGGGGTTCAGGATTGAGTGTTTTCTTTCTTTGCTTTTGAATAGTTTTAGGATTTTACCTCCTCACCCAACTAAAGTCCACCTGTCAAATCATGCCATACCTGCATAGGTGCATCTTTTTCTGCGATGCAGTCTCAATAACTTGGTTATGTTAAGTGCTAGCTTTGTCGACTTATTTCCCGCAATGCACTCAACGTCACTTGCCCCACCAAAGGATTACAAATACAACTGCTCCCAAACCGGTAATAACCGCCCAATTCGATAACATAAGAAGTCGAACTTCTTCGACCATAGTTTCCGTATCGTACTCAGATTCTACACTTCATTACACCTTCAGCACAATCTCAGTTTCAAAATGCCTTCATTTGAAACCCCCGTCCAAGATCCCCCAGCGGGAACCGCCATATCGAAAAACCCTCCCACCATTTTCACTCCGATCACTATCCGCGATGTCACGTTTCAGAATCGCATCTGGGTAGCTCCTATGTGCATGTACAGTGCAAATGATGGACACCTGACTGATTTCCATCTTGTCCATTACGGTGCCTTTGCTTTTCGCGGGGTTTCCTTGACTATTGTCGAAGCCACCGCTGTCCGTCCCGAAGGTCGAATCACTCCAGGTTGCACTGGACTTTGGCAAGATTCTCAGATACCTGGATTTAAGCGTGTGGTAGATTACGCGCATAGTCAAAACCAGCTCATAGGAATTCAGTTGGCGCATGCCGGACGGAAAGCTAGTACGTTACCTCCATGGAAGTCACTTAGAGGGGGAAGTGCTGTTGCGGAAGAAAGTTCTAGAGGATGGCCAAAGGGGGTTAAGGGTGTGAGTGCTATAAAGTGGGGTGAAGGGTATGCGGAGCCCAATGAAATGACGCTTGAGGATATTCAAGATGTGATCGATGGATTCCGCGACTCGGCTAAGAGAGCTGTAGAGGCAGGATTTGATGTCATTGAAATTCACTCTGCCCATGGATACCTATTGCACTCTTCTTTGAGTCCGGTTTCGAACAAGAGAACGGATCATTACGGAGGAAGCTGGGAGAACCGCACCAGACTCTTGATTGAGGTCATTAAAGCTGTCAGAAGTGTCATTCCGTCTGGCATGCCTTTGTTGCTCAGAATTAGTGCCACAGAATGGTTGAAAGATGATGTTGAGACTTGGGACATTCCAGACACTATCAAATTGGCAAAGTTACTTCCAGAACTTGGAGTTGATTTACTCGACGTCAGTTCAGCAGGCAACTCTCCCGCCCAAAAGATAGGAGCACATACCGATTATCAGGTTTCCATCGCAGGGCAAATTCGTGCGGCATTGTTCGAGGAAGGTATCAAGGGCCTGAAGATTGGTTGTGTGGGAATGATTACAGAAGCTCAAGCAGCAAAATCACATGTGCAGGAAGAGGAGGACACAGTGGAGGTTAATGATGAACAGGGGCAGATTGCTAAGGCGGATGTGGTTTTGGTTGCTAGACAGTTTTTGAGAGATCCCGGATGGGTTATTAAAGTGGCTCTTGAGTTGGGCGTTGACGTTAGGTTGCCACTCCAGTTTTTGAGAGCGGGCTTCATGAAGGGGACTACTTTCTAGAAGTATAAATAAAGGGATAAAGATGTAGATATAACAGGAGTTGAAATACTGATATAGATTAGACTTACAGATTATTCATTTGTCTATAAAAGATCTAAATAAACTTTTTCGAACCATTTTCCTCGCACCTTATTCTGCACTTCAATATTTACACTAGTATCACACTCACTAGGTAGTCTCAACCTCCGAACACGACTTATTCCGTTGTGTGTGAGTGCGTCTGACTACAATTCAATGTAATATTCTCTGAGTTTTAAATTCCTGAACATGCTCTCATCAAAGTCCTCAGTATAAAAGTTTGCAAGGCAAACCACTGAAAACCCTCTCCCATATAAATTTCTCCTGGATCTATCTTATCTTCTTGAAATTCTTATAGAAAAACACCTTGAATATTTCTTTTTCTTAATATTCAATCAGCATTTCAAACTTTATAATAAATTATATAATATAATTACAAAGAAGATTACATTGAATACTAAAACTGTTTAATTTTAAATAAACATTATCATTTATATTTTAAAAAGATTTTTTAAATAATTTTAAAAGACACTTTACATTATATATTAAATATAAATATAAAAGTTGATATATTAAAAATCAAGAAGCGAGTATAAGTGCTTTAAACTATATATAATAGTTTTAAACATCACATATATTGATATTTTTATAACATATATAGAATATTGCTTTAGAGTCTACTCGCTCAAATTGACGCCCCGCATTTCCCACCCCCACATAATTAAAAACCCCTCCATTCAACATTTTCCGTCCTCACACCCATCACAATTTCCCCGCCCTCACAACCTCAAACTCCCCAAAATGTCCGCCCCACCCCCAGCAGGGAAACCATCGTCTACCTAGACTCAAACTACCACCCCCTCCCGCAACCTTCTTCCCAAATCCCCACACGTATATGCCCATACCCTACACCCCGCTCCCCCAAATCCCCTCAGCCATACAGAGCCGCCACCATCCTCGTCACCTCCCTCTGTCCCCTCACGCGAGAAACCCTCTCCACTTTCCCCCCAGGCCAACTAAAACTCATAATCATCACCTCCGTCGGTACAAACCATGTCGATCTAACCTATTGCTCTGAAAACGGAATCCAAGTGTCCAATATGCCGGATACGAATACGGAGACGGTGGCTGAGCATGCTATTGCGCTTTATTTTGCCGTGAAGAGGGATATAGTGAGTATGCATGAGTGGACTATGAGGGGGGAGGAATGGGAGAGGAAGGGCACGGGGATTCTGGATATGAATACGTTTTATGGGGGTGGAGCGAGGGGTTGTAAGAATGAGGTTGTGGGGATTGTGGGAGGTGGGAAGATTGGTAGGGATATTTTTCTTTTGATTTTGATATGGGAGTTCCCTAACTTTTAGATTGGTGTGAATTAGACTAAACAAAACTAACACAACCCAGGAACCGCAATATCCACCCTCTGCAAAGCCCTCGGAATGAAAGTCTTAATCTCAGAACGCAAATCCACACCCCAAGAGCAAACCCGTGCAGGCCGAACACCCTTTTCCGAAATCCTCAGCCAATGCACCACGATAATTCTCTCCTGTCCCCTATCATCCACAACACAAAATCTAATTTCCGCCTCTGAATTCTCGCTCATGCGATGTGACGCGATTTTAATTAACGTTGCACGTGGGGGAGTAGTAAATGAAGTCGCTCTTGCGGGTGCGTTGGATAGAGGGGAGATATTGGGGGCTGCGACGGATGTTTTTGAGAGGGAACCGGTGGAGAAAGGGGAGAGTGCGTTGATTAGGGGGGAGGGGGAAAAGAGGGTTAGGAATTTAATTGTTAGTCCGCATGTGGCGTGGTTTGGAAGGGAGAGTCAGGAAAAATGTGTTAAGGCTGTTCAGGAGATTTTTGAAGGGTTTTTGAGAGGGGAGAAGATCAACTGTGTGGCTCAAGGGGAGAAAATTAATATTTAACCCGCCTGTATTTCATTAAGTAGGGTTTATTATGATGTTAATAACATCTTAGGAAGAAAATTTTGAAGAATTCATCGCAAGAAATTTCTCACAATTCCACCAAATATGGAAATATTCACATTACAAAATCCTGCCTACCAAAAGCTACTTCATTTTTGTAACTCCTCTATTTCCAAAAAAGTTTATTTTCTCAACAAAACTATACACAACAGATCATATCATACACCTTATAATAATTACAATTATTCTCACCTGGAACCAATTAAACAAAACATCATGTCTAATTCCATCCAACAAAACAATCGATATATATATAGATTCGAAGCAGTTTATTAATAATGAAACATAGGGATAGTAGAGATAGATACTCTAAACGATTTATTAAGCAATCATTAAGGAGATCCAGAATACTGTGGAGATTCGCTTGAATTGTATTGATGTGACATCATATAAGGTAAAGCCTCCTTTGTTGATCCATTACTTGTTCGCTTAGGATCAGTACCGTGACATTTTATATAGTATCATCTGATTTCGTAGCTATTTTCAATCATCATCGACGTCATTGTGCAACTCATCCGGCTTTTGAGTATCAAGTATAGGCTTTGACCTTACATTCACAAATAGTCGTCCACTAGATATAGATGACATAGTATATTAACTAATCCCCTTCCTCTCGCCCAAGGATAAATAGCCATCAGTGATACACATTACGAAACTCTAATCCCTAAATTTCCGGTACTCAAAAATCCCTTATTCCCCATCGCACCTCTCCATCCTATACTCAGCATACCGAATATCAGCCTTCCGTCTACAATTTCACTTTCCTTTTCATTCTCTCCCTGTACACCCTCCTTTTCGTCCTCAGAATCCTTTTCTTCAACCAAAAAGCAAACTTGACGAACATCCCCTGGTGCTAATACAGGTCTTTCTAATTCTGCTTCCCCTCCACCAGTTTCCTTCTCCGAATCAGAAACTACAATCTCCCAATTCAAACTTGTAGCATTAAATCCTTTAGTGGTAGTTAAATGAACTAAAGTCAAGGTGATAGGATTATCTTCTGTAATATTTTCTAATTGAGCTTCTAGTGCGTAGCTTCTTTTGCGTTTTGTTTCTTTGGATGGAGAGGTTGATGTCATGGATGTTGATGACCGATTAGAAGATGTAGATCTCAGGGATGGTAATGTACCAGTTTTGGTACGGACAACGAGACAGCCTTTACAGATAAATTGATATAGCTTGCGGAATGTGCGCGTGCGAGGGGAAGACGAAGGAGAAGATTCAGTATAGGTGACTGTGACGGCTAGAACGTGAGCTCCTTCTTCTTTGAGGTCGAAGTGAAGAACTTTTTGGAGGGATGCCTGGGAAATAATTTGTGTTTCTGGAGTTTCTTCTCCAGTTGTAGACGCTGCAGGGAACGGGGAAGGGCCAGAAAGAGGAAGCGAGATGGGGTTGGGCGTAGAGGGTATTTTCATTTCCGCGCTGAGAGTTATATTTGATATTACTTTGGTGGTATTGGGTGAGGCCACTATGTCCGGAGAGGTGTGAGTTTGAGAGAGTTGGGAAAGAGGAGGAAGTTCGTTATTAGCGCAAAGAGTACAACTAAACGTCTCCCCCACATATGCAGATCCGAAAGCTGGAGGAAGCGTGAGAAGAGGTGAGTGAATGAAGTTCGAAGGAGTGGGAGATGGATATGCGAGGGAGGCTGAGGGCGCTGGAAGACTGAGATTTGGAGGTGGTGAAGGGGAGGGCGTGGGAAGTGGATGTTGAATTGAGAGGGATGGGCGCGAAAGTCTGTAGACGACCAATTATTAGTATCTGACGCTGTTATTTAATTAAAACAGAGTGTAATTCATAAATAAGAACGAAGACAACATACCTCAAGACCTTCAAACTAACAGAATGAGGTTCCTTCACCCCATCCAGGGTCGATGTGACCCTTTGATGCGCCATTTCTGAGGAGATGTATTTGTCTCGACTCTATCTCATATATCCCATATACCAAGCTCAAATGAAAGAAATGGTAAACTTATTTTTCCTATCTTGACAACTCTTCGTCTCAATTCTCAAATTCACAGCTCAAATCATGCAATGTCTAGAATCAAACAAGGCTGAACGTCACAACTGACATACCATTAATTTCTGCCCCTCCCCACCGCTTTCTTATCGCTAGTTCATTTGCTTATCATTCCCTTGCATAATATTTTGAAGTCCAACACTCGTCATCACACTTTTTTTTCACAAGATTATATTAAAATCGAAATCGCAAAGCACAATCCTCCATTTACCATACATGTTTCATGTAACATATAAATTTCAACCCCGTCACATATTCAACACTCAACCAAAATGAGCAATTCCAATTCTCCTCCCAACGAAACACCCCAAGAAACCTCCCAACAAACTACCCAAGGAATCCCTCTATCCCGATCTAGCAGCTTAACCCTAATCCTCGATACACCCAAAGGTCAGTCAGTATGCATATCCAAACCAGAGCATATAGCCGATAACTACCACTTACCTCCAATACTTCCAACTCCCCATTTCCAATTCCCAACCCACACATCACATCACCTCATCCATCACTAACCCTCCCCCCAACCTCCACCAGGCCGCGGAATCTTCGCCTCCAAACTCATACCCGCACACACCATCCTCGAAGTATGTCCCGTCCTCGTCCTTGAGCCTACCGAGAACGAAACACACATTAGAAAAACAGAATTATATCATTATACCTAGTGAGTTTTCCCCCTTCCTTTCCCTTCCCTTTCCCCTTCCCCTTTTGGTTTCTCGCTTGTATCATTTCCACATGTAATTGGTTCTTCTATATATTACTATATACCACATACCGTATAACTCCCCAATAAAAGATCGGAAAAGCCCGTTCCAGCATTCTAGGTCGTGAAAAAAGTCTATCTTTACATATCATCCTCGTAAACTAGTTGCATGTTCTGGTTCAGATGATCTAGATATTTGGTTTCTATCATTATAGACAATCTAATCCAATTGCTGGGACTAGAGGTAAAACCTTCAAGAACTTAGAGGGTTTAGACTTATTCCATCTTCTACTGCTGAGTTTATACGGTATATGTGATTATGTAATTGTAGAGGCAGGTTTTGCTGATGAGGGATTCTAGTAATTGGCCTTATACACCCAAGACACAAAGCTCATGTGGGGGCACAAATAGAGCCTCGAAGCCACCGACGACGACCCAGGCAGTTATTCTTGGGTTAGGTAGCATGTTTAATCATTCCACATTACACCAAAATGTTGGGTGGAAACGGGACGTCAAAAATCTCCTTGTGACTTACACTGCACTGAGGGATATCAAAGAAGGAGAGGAATTGTGCATATCATATGGATCAAGGTTAACATTCAAGGACACCGAGGCAGACAAGTTAAACGAAGTTGAGGACGAGAACGAGATATTTAGTAGAATTGAGTTGATTGATTGACCATTCCTTTCCCATTTTATGCACTTTTCAACCTATGTGATCGAGATGTTTACAGGGCGTTGTACAATGCCCTGTGCCAAATGTACTCTAAACCTTGTCAGTACGAGAGAAAACTATCCATAATTTCGCGATGAACACCCTTGGAGCAATTGTAAAATTTCATGGCGGCAGCGGACATTAACAGGAGCGTTCACATTCCGGGTGGAGGTGGAACGGCGCTGTAACTATTATTACTTCCTGGTGGTGGACCTGATGGTGGAGGAGGCGCCTAAAGTTCAAAGGTTAGTGTCTCTCAAATTTTGATTTTGACTGCCCGTTTCTTTTCAGTAATAGGGCAGTCTTGCAAACCTGGCTTCTCAAAATGGATCAAGAAAATATGGGCAGAGAAATCTTTATACATACCGATCCACCAGGTGGTGGGGGAGGTGCTTCGCTTGGAGGTGGTGGAGGACCTGAACCAGGAGCACCCTGTTGCTGCTGCTGATACTGAGCCATGGCAGCCATGTACTGCTGATAGTATTGAACGTATGCCTCATAACCACCATATTGAGCATAAGGATCAGCACCTGTAGCATAGTATTGAGCGGCATGTGCTGAGCCATAGTCTCCAGGAGTTGAAGGGCTACCTGCATTAGGAGTGTTGGGAGCTGGTGATTTGTTATAGTTATTGTATCCGCCACCATACGAATTAGATCTGTCTGGAGCCCGGTCACCATAGCCTCGCTCTCCCGAGTAACCGGTGCCTTGGCCATAACCACGTTGTTGAGGTGGACGAGCCTTGAACTCTTCGTATTGCTCTCGAACATTCTTGAGAAGATCCTCACAAAGCTCCTTGGCCTTTTGTACCTCATTTGGATCAGGGCCACTAGAACAGTGTTAGCGGAAAGCTCCAGCGATACGAACATAAACTTACGCAACGTGGAGATACATATCCTCGTCACTCTCGCGACCGGTGCCATGCTCCATGAAACCAGAACCACGTCCCTTGATTTGAACACGACATCTAGTTTCCTGTTGAATATGCTTTACGTAAGCTCCGCCATGACCAACAACTTGAGCACGAAGGTTAAAGCCTGGAATGGGTTCAAAATCAATGGCAATCTTCTCTTCCGGCCATTTGCGCTGTTTATTTTGTTAGCAACCTGCATTCATTTTGTGTGAAAGAGAAAACCCACTCTTCCAAACTCGTCTCTTTCAACTTGCTCAGGCTCGCGTCTACGGAATCGACGTTCATCGACCAAGTTAGGAAGTTCCTGCTTCATTAGTTCTTCGATCTTCTGAACTGCTTGTTCGAGACCTCGCTTGGTTTGGCTCGTAACGTGGAGATAAAGTGGGGGATTCTAAATATATTTCATCAGGTCGATTTCTCAAGTATTGTAATCGAGGGAATGACTTACAGCAGCCGTGGCCATGCTCTTATCCGGATAATAATTTCCTCGTGTGGTGACATCTTGAAAAGTCAACATTTAAATCTCCAAAAATAGTGAGTTGTAGGTATAGCATACCAGCGCCGGTTTCTTCCTTAATCTAGATGTCACGCAGCGGAGGTCAGCAGATGCCAAAAGGGTATATGTGTATGATGCTATTCGCGCTCAGGTAAGCTTGAAAGTCTCCACACACAATAATGATATTACTTTGAAAAGTGGGGGAGAGAATATAGAGAGATGATTCATGGCTAGACCTATGAAGAAAGCCTGATGTATCAGTGGAGTATAACACAAGGAGTAATTACCATCTTTTGAGTAGAACCTTTAGTCAGTGTATAACGGTTTCGCAAATCGTTGACTTCGATATCTTTGATATAATCGCCATCTGCGATGTACATCTCACCATTTATATTGCTTGCACTGTTACCTGCTCCGGGTCCTGGGGTTCCTGGAGATGCTGACTTTCCGACTGGACTTTCGGTTGCGCGGATAGGTGGCACATCGGCATGTTGAATTCCTTTCTTAGCTTGAATTTGTGCATTGATTTTTGCGGCAGCGGCAGCTATGAAACATCAGATTAGCATCGATATATTATATATCGAAGGTAGTTTATAAGATATATATTTACCTGCAGCGGCAGCTGGATCTGCACCATTTTTCTTCGCGGAATCAGGAGCTGGGCTACGAGAAGTGCGTCGTGCAAGGGGAGATCTGCTTCGCCTTGACTCTACCTTTCTCGCAGGTGGTGATCTTGAGCGTCTATCGAATCTGGAGGTCCTCTTCGGCTCAGGCTCCTTTTGATCGAAGCGCGACCTTTTTGCTGTGCGACGCTCAGTATCATCCATATTGATAATTAGTGTTGCTTATAAGTTGAAGTAAATATTCGTCGTATTGATGAGATGTGGCAACGTGCCTTGGATTGTTAATGTTGATAGACACAATTTATTGTTACAATTAATTCAAGGTAACATTACTAGATACTTTGTAAATTTGTGAGGCTGAACTTTATTTCGAGTTTTTGTGCTGGTTGTTCAGTGACAAGGATTGTGTGCACTGACAGTGAACTCCAAGACGCTAAATATCTGGGGTCAACATACAAAGATCGGCAAATGCCGTAAGGGAACAATTTATATTTTTGTGCGGTATCGGTGCTTGAATTTAGACCGTCGCTTCTTCTGAGTCAAAACCACCTTCTCATTTTTCTTGAGATAGGAAGAAGAAACCTTAATAATTTTTGAAGAAGCATTGGGTAGTGTTATTATCCAATATGTCTTCACGCAAAGCAATTCTCTCGCTCTCTGGAGTGAGGGCTGCAATTCCTAAACGCAGCACCTCTGTCGTCCCTCGACAAATTCAAAGATATCAATCCTCTTCTACTTCAGCTCTAGAATATAAGGCGCTCCACCGCCGCATTTCACCCCTTCCTACATCCGATGCGCCTCCAGCTTGGTCTGCTCAAGCAGCTGTCTCCAACATTCTCTACGAAACCCCCGCCCCTTCTGTCACCCCCGCAAAGCGCCATGTCCTTAACTGTCTCGTACAAAACGAACCTGGTGTGCTCTCTCGCGTCTCTGGAATTCTCGCAGCTCGTGGCTTCAACATTGATTCCTTGGTCGTTTGCTCTACTGAGGTCGAAGATTTGTCCCGCATGACAATTGTTTTGTCCGGTCAAGATGGCGTTGTTGAGCAAGCTCGTCGTCAATTGGAAGATTTGGTTCCAGTCTGGGCTGTCCTCGATTATACCACTTCACCGCTCGTGCAAAGAGAATTACTTCTTGCGAAAATCAATCTTCTCGGTCCAGAATACTTTGAGGAATTATTGGCGCATCACAGAGAAATTACTGCTAGTGATCCTGAAGCTTTGGAAGGACAAGATGACTGGGCTACAAAGAGATTGGCAGAATTGAAGGATAGTGATGATTTCCATCCCATTAAATTGGCCCAAAGTCAAGCTTTAAGACACAAGCACGAGCATTTGAAGTCAATCACATATTTCACACATCAATTTGGAGGCAAGGTTTTAGATATCAGCACACACAGCTGTATTGTCGAGGTGTAAGTCACTAAACTATTTGTTTCGCCTACAGAAACATACTAATAAAATGGCATATAGCTCAGCCAAACCAACCAGAATCGATTCATTCATGAAGCTCATTGCTCCATTCGGAATCCTCGAGTCTGCACGAACAGGTCTCATGGCTCTTCCTCGATCTCCACTATACGGTCCCAACGAACAAGATAACTTGGTGAAGGACGCTGAGGAAATTGTTGATGCAAGCACTTTACCCCCAGGATAGATAGGATGACATTTAATGGGTATGGAGTTGGCGTCACAAATTATCTAAAATAATGGAGGATAAGATTTATTTCTGCATGCAATTATGTGTATCATTTATACATCAATTAAAACAAACAATGGTGTTTCCAAACGCCAAACCAAAACCTGCACAATGGCCGTAGTCGCTTGTGCCGTTCCCAATCTATAAAGTAATTCATACAATTTTGAGCATTCCGCTCATCAAAGTCTAATATGGGCACCGATTCCCGAGCCAAAATACCAAATGGTCTCCGTCCATTGACCAAGCCGAATGCCAATTGTGCCTTTAGCATCTAATTTTAAAGTGCCGCCTAATGCTCTCTCTACTGCATCGTAACCTACAGAATCAAAGGACCAGTCGACAGGTAATTTAGGTGATTCGCTTGCGCCAGGGGGCACTGCGAAAGGATAGTCATAAATAATCTTGCCAATTGGTTCGGTATGGTTGTAAATTGCCTGAGCATCGATAGACTCAATATATATTGTGCTATGTTGTAGGGGTGACAGTAGTGTAAACTGTGCTGTGGATGAAAAGAGATGGAAAGTTGCATCGTCGATGAAATGTGGTTTTCCGCCGGTAGAATCTTTATCCTTCCCTGCCCCCGGCGTCGATAATCGAGGGGTAGGCATCGTGACTGCGAACTTGCCTAGTGCCTTTCCGAGTCTTGGTTGGTATGGAATAGATTTTTCGTGGGTTTGAAAAGTGAGAGTGGTATTGAAACCGGAGACGTATTGAGAGATCAACTCCCGACCAATTTTACGTCCGTTTTCACCGCCAAATTTCACGGGATCCCAGGTAGCTTGGACGAGAACGTTCGTATTATTGCCTCGCGAAACATTTATATCGCGCACCGTAGCGTCACCAATTACTGAGCCGTTATTTAAAATATGGATGTTGATGTAAGGGATACGAGCCGTGTATTCAGTTGGATTAGTGAAATTGATGCTCGCTTGGAGATTAATCGATGTCCGGCCCGTGTTGGTAATTTGTAAATCGCCAACCTTGAGGTTGAGTTTCCGGAAATCATCGCCCGTGGAGATCGCTGCTATCCCGTCAGCTTCAGTGCTGTCGCGCTGAAATTAATAGGCTCCTAACGATTCAAAGGAACATTTCCTTCCGCAGGTAAATCTTTAATAATGAAATCACCTAGCACAGTAGATATTTCAACTTCAACCAAAGCCTCAATTTTGAGATTGATAGCCTTGCCCCCAAGATAATAATCGGCCACAAGATCGCCGAAAATATCCTCGTCCGTGATTTCTAATGGTGCGTTCTTGATATGCGATTCTATTTTCAAGGAAGCATCACCTCGACCATTGACTCGTTCCGAATGAGCACTTTGCCATTTTCGTAGATTAAGCACACCTAACTTATCTCCTTTGTAAAACACATCGGCTGTCGCACGCACTTTCGAAACATCAAGGCTAAAATTCATCTCCTTGGGCAAAGCAGCCAAAACCATTATATCTCCCGATATTCTTGGATTTGACTCGGGTGATCCGGGCTCCGCAAAAGGTCCAGGTAAGCTAAAATCCGTATTCGTAAGGGAGAAGTTCTTGATTAGTTGATCAAATGTATGGCCAGGGAAAGGCACTGGTACAGTGACACTTGAGATAATTTGAGTAATCCAATCAGGCGTCTCGGGAGATGGTGCGTTTGAACCTCGAACAAAAATGGTAGTGTCATTGCCATGGATATAATCACTGAGAAGCAAATCCAGAGGCGACGAGTGTGAATTGGGGCAAACTTGCAAAAGACTTTCAGGTAATCCCCGCACGATGCCTGCCACATCAAGTGAAACATCTGAATGTGGTTCGATTATGATATTACCAGTAGTCGCATCGGCGAGCTGAATATATGGTTCGTCGGCCGCACAATTCGAAACAAGGATATCGAAGCCCAATGGAGGAATACTTAGCTTTATCGGATAGCTATTTACCAAGGATAGCGAAACTTCAGCAGCCATTCCACGGCGGCCATCCGTGGAGAGAGGAACTTCCTTGAAGTTGAGACGGGTTATATTATATTTTGGGAGGGCTGGGATCTCGTTTCCTGTGGGTGGGTTAGCAACTCATTTTCAAAGTAATAAATTTACATTTAGAGGAACTGAAAAAGTAGTGACTGCGCTCGCTGCCAATATTTTGATACACCTATCAAACTATAGATCATTTGTGTATTTTCCCAAACCAGCCACAGATTCCCTTCAACCAATACTTTTCTCCCCAAAGTACAGCGATGCAAAAGAACGATAGAGAGATTGACCTTCAAAAATCATCGACTCGGATATAGTCTGTGATCCAAGCGAGAGTAGCCCTGATTTCAATGCAACATTGGCCTTGCCCAATACCCGCAATTGTCCCAAACGACCCTCTAACCAGTCATTGGCTACTTGTCTCAATCCATCAACACTGCCTGGCGTAAGGTCGGTGAAAAAATCAATGGGTGTGACAACACCATTACGAATATTGACCACCACCTTGGGAACAATGGCGGTCCCAATGAGAAGATTATCATATTCTGGAAGATAGACCTCGACGCTTGATTCCTTGCTTTCAACCTCTTTCGCAATCCATGTACCAAATCGTCCAATGTTTCGAACCGCATGATTCTTGACTTTCGATGCATCCATCTTGAAGTTCGCTTGTACTCGAGCTCTCACCCCGTTAGCGGTGAAGCTGTCTATCGATAGATTCGTAGGCTCGATAACAAGTGATTCCTTGGCATATTCTTGGACGATTGCAGGTGCGAAAAATGCAGATATCAGGATAGCAATACCGGCCAAAAACAACAAGGCGATAGCCACAATCGTCGGCCATCGCAATCCTTCGTTTGCAGATTTGCCAGCTTCTCTATCATGAATAGAACGCAGAGACTCCGCAGCTGGTGATACGATTCGATCATCCTCCTCTTCAGGTTCTTCGCCATCATATCGAGGAGTATCATCAGAGTGCGCTAATAAAGGCGATGATTCATGTGGAGATGATTCATGTGAGTCGCTCGATTTGCGCGAAGTGACTGAAAGTCGAGAATGCTTCGATGATGGTCGTTGCTCTGCACTGGGCAGGAGTGGAGACCCCGCATCGTCCGACATGATGGAGATAAGAGGAATTGATCAAGCTGTTGCCGATATGTATGTATCACTCTACGCACAGCGCGAGGATGGTTCGTTGATGTCAAATTAATCAATAATAAGCGGATATTTTGAGATAGTAAAATGAATGACCTAAGTATCTTAATTGAATGGGTTGCGCGTCGTAAGTTCTAAGGTTCCTGAAGGGGAGTAAGCACAAGCAAACCGCCACCCGGACAGCGCTAAAACGCCCTGTAATAATTGATTGGGTCAACGTAACCTATTTATATTTATGCATGCATTGTGATTTGTACCTGAGCAGACCAGCATTTATGAGTTTGTTGCCAACAGCCTTGCGAATGTCTCAGATTCTTTGTGTAATAGGAACAACGACACCTTCCTTCAACCGGCGAGCAAGAAACTGACACGTTCGTGATACATTGTGTGGATAGAAGAATGCGCTTGATTGAATAAGCATTTAGAGTGAACAGTCACTCCAGCCATCCTCACGTACTAGGTGGGTGGAATACTGCACCAACAAGTGCATGATCACTGCAGCATATTCCAGGGCCAGTATCAACTCTCATTTTCACCACCGTGAAGATGAAGTCCCTAAGTATTTAAGCTGACGACCGAATGCTTAAACCTACAATCAACATTATGGGTGTGCAAGTGCAGATTACATGTACTCAATAGTAGAGAAGCATGAGGATGTTGCTCGTTCTCAGTTTACATCACAGAGTACTCCATTTGCATATGATGATTTGGTGCAGTTGAAGTGCAACGCAATTACTCATTCTGGCAGTATCTATGAGTGATGTTTGGTGTTTAGGCTTTCCTAGAACGACTACTTCTTTATGCCAACATGAGTCGCTAAATTGTGGAGGATATTGGAGACACCCCGGCGTTGTCATGATAACTTCCCAGATTCAATGAAGTCAGCCATAAAACAGCGTATCTTTCGTTGTGTTCTGGTGTCTGTCACGATTTTATCATGTATCTCTTCTAAATATAGGGTATTCTGACTCCATGGACTCATAATATTGTGACTCGGAAGCCTGATATCCTTATTTTTCACATCAGCCCTCTGTTCACACACATTGAGTTATTCATGAGCTAGTTCTCACAGTAGTCATCGCCGCCATCTAGAGATCATTGAATTTCGATTTGTGACTTTCAATAATACTCAATGACTCTTCAAAGCATACTTAATAACAAGCTATATAAACCACCTCTTTTCTGTTTGAATTTCTTTTTTCCATTCTCCTTCAACCGAAGCACTCCACAAGTCCGCAAAATCAACGACGCAAAACAAATCAAAATCAACATAGCATTAACGAAATCACCAAAGCTCACTTCGTCGTAATTGTAAGATATCATTCGCCATCGTCTTTCTTCCATCGCAGGCATCAATATTTGTATCGTTATTCCCCCGGACACACTCGAATCAGGAACCAAGGTGATCTGTGCCATTCTCAACATGTATTGTACATTCAATCAGTATACCTTCATCAGTTCCACAGCTCTTTCTTTGGACTGGCCAACTATCTAGTAACACACACATGGAGCGGTACTATTCCAAACGCCGCGAAAACGTCATCCAAGATTTCAAAGCAGTAATGCGAAGTATGGATGAGGTTAAAGCTAACCCGACAAATGCATCGAATCCCCTCGGACCACAAGTGTGCCATATCAGTCGCATTGTTCAAACAGGCTTCCTAGACAAAATGATGCAGGAATACTTATCAGAGATCACCGCGTACTGCAAAGGTGATGTGTGGAGGCCTCAGCTAGATATCGAGAAGGAGCTGTATGATAATACCAAGGACTGGGGCAACAAGGGTTATCTGCCTGAGGGATATGTCAATTTGGCATCAACCCTCCAACATGAGGCCAAACCAGTCACAAGCATGGGCTATTACATCACATCCGCGATAAAGGCAACGACTGGTGCGAGTATTCGATTGGAGAATTGTCGAGAAAATTTAGAAGTGAAAGAGCGGATCCATCGTTTGATTAACGAAATACATGCCGATATTTGCAAATTTATGCCGGTATGGGAGGAAAATATGTTAATCCGAGAACTTGTTTTGCCATGCCCCGCGGAAAATGACTATATCACGGACTTAGAGAACTTCATACATAGAGAAAATAATTATTTGGCTAGAGAGCTAAATAGGAAGTTCCCGACTGGTTCACCAGAATTTCTAGATGCTTTAACGCTCCTGAAAGAAGATGCCCAGCGCGAAAAACGACTACAGACTTACCGTCGTGAAGATGCAGAGTCAGACGCATGCATCACAGAGCTAGGTATGACCTGCGACAACTAAAAGAATGTTCGCTAACCAGCTAGATAAGATCGAGGCTCAAAATTGGCCAACATCTAACTTCTGATGTCGGGCACTATGGAAGGGATATGGATGAAGGATTGATAAGGGTCGAGGTTGATATTTTCTAGATGGAGGATTAGTTGATATGATATTTGCATGACTTTGATAACATTCCGTACTTGAATGGAAAGTTTATCCAAAAAATATAATGGGAAGATTGTGGTTTTTCTTGTTCCGTATCAATCTGCACATTGATATAGGATTTTACTTCTGAAATAGGGTTTGTGGCTCGAGCCTTGGTTGATATTTATCGTTATGTTCAATTCTGTGTTGGTATTTGTGGTCTTATTGCCAATACCAGTCCCGGATATTGAATGGCTCCATGGACCATTTCCGTCTCTAAATTACTCGTTTAAATGGGTTTGTGGAAGGAGGAATACAAAAATCGATGGATATGTGAAACGGAATTGAGGTAGGTAAGGAGGAGATAGTTATATATGCGGCATATATATGTTCCTAGACAGATGTATATCTACAGCCTGACGTCAGAAAATTGAGCGAGGTTGTGCGGTGGTCCAACTCCATATAAAATGGCTGGAACTATGTTGAATCCCATGGATATATATTAATTAGACTTTGATTAAATCTTAATAATGGACATTAGTACTCTCGTTCGAATTTAGCTATACAATATCAAGAATTCTTGTAATCCGTAGTTGGGAGCTCCCAATTCCTCTGTACATGTCCATATCATTTCGCGGAACACTAAGGGGCTGAGGAGGCGGGATGCGGGGTACCCATCAACCTCATCCACAAACCAACCCGTTTGCACAACTACAGTTTGTATTCATCCACCCGATATCTAAACCCCAAAACTACAAAGTATCATAATAACATAATGAAAACCTCATCCATGTTACTAAGACCTAGAAGAATACCCAATTTCGAGAATAATATATCGAGAATTATACCCCGATCACAATGTAAGATTAGATACAAGAACACCTTCTCAAAACAACCATTTCATCACAGAACAACATCTTCGTCTCCAAACATATCCCAGCCATTTGCAATCGGCAACATCATTAATGGTCATTCCGGGCGATCATATCAAATAGAAAAATTCTATCTAGCAGGGTAGAGCCTTTTATGTTGTGTGTTTATCAAGCAAGGTATAGTATTCACTCTTAAACTTTTAATACATCTTGGAGCAGAACACAAAATTAACCATTCGATCAAGCTCTGAGGGAGATAACTATGTTATTAAAAATAGTATCAAGGGTGAATTTGAGTATCAACAACGACTTCAGAGACCTTTATTTTCGTGTTCCAATGTACGGACGATAGTAGACACTATTCCACACTTCGAGTTGTTTGTCTATCATTTCCTCAAGGACAATCTTCTTCAATTCTGCCAGAGAGATCTGCCTCTGGATACTAGGAAGTTTTTTCTGAGAAAAGCTCTCATGGGTTTGGCTGAATTGCATGATAATCAAATCTTTCATGGAGGTAGGAAAATTTACTATTGATGTCTGCCGTGATAATATACCTTCTGTCGCAAAGAAAGATCACTAATGCAACATGGCAGACATCAGACCAAACAACATACTTATTAACTATGACATGACAACCGACGGAATTCTTAACATCAAGAAAACCCTTATCGCCGACCTCGAAGATTCATTTATACTTCTTCCAGGTCAATGCATAACGGGCGGCAGATGTGGAAACCAATTTTGGCGCAGCCCTGAATCCTGGGGCAAAGGAAGACAAAGCATGCTATCAGACATCTTTTCCATGGGTATAGTTGCCATCTACATCATGAACAAGCAAATGATATTCTACGACGGTTTAAAAGATGAAGATTTTGTCGACGGCGAGGCCTGTGACCAAATTTTAAGGAGACATATCTCGTATTTCTGGGATGAAAATGATTTTACGGCACTTTTGGAGTATATTGGGGAGGATAATCCGTTTCATGATCGTCTTATTGATATTTTCAATAACACCAAGAACCCGAGACCGCCTTTTCGAAATTGGATAAAGATCGATGCGGAACTTAGAGATTTGGTTGTGAAGATGGTGAGGTTGGATCCAAGGGGTAGGATTAGTGCAAGAGAGGCTTTGAAACATTCGTTTTTTGACGGAATTGGTTGATAGCTATGAAATGAGAGTGTCACTGAATTCTATCATGAGCATCTGAAGGAGGAATACTGATTCAACCTGTCCATCATCACTACTACTCGAATCTTATAGCTGTAGGCTTCGCAAATCCTAGTGATTTTAAGGATTGATGTGGAAAGATCAGGAAGCATAGCGAGATATCTTGTATTTTACATTCTCCACTTCACTAGGAATATTATCTCCTTTGCCAGTCGTGTAGTGTAATGTCTACTTTTGGGCAAATCCAATGGATGAAATCATACCAATTAAACAGAATTTCAACAACTAGATGATGTCATAAAGTGCGCTGTCTAATCATACAGAGTGTAAGAGTCGAGATAATTTCAAATCAAGAAGTTTTGGCTAGACAATTTGCGTGACAAACTCGACCTCCTTAAGAAAATGTAAATAAAATATAGCCGTAATCAAAAATTGCCTAGTTTCAGCTTCTCTCGCTACGCTGGCTGTAACTCATCAGCATCATATCCTCATATATATTTATCTAAATACATAAATCTAAATATTACATTATATTCTGTCCCGATCACTTTGAATTCCTTATTAGTGAGGATTCTCTTTCATTCTTTAATATTTTCTTCTATAGAAATGATTTGTATTTTAATTTAACATTTAACATTTTAATCATTATCTAACGACGACAGTGATTAAATTTGAAAGATCATAACTTAAAACGAATAAAGATTTCACGGATTTAAAAATACAAATAAGTAAATAAATAAATAAATAAATAATGTAGACAAACAGATAAATACACATCTTATTAAAAGATTGGGTGGAAGAGGCCTCTATATTGACTATATTACTACGTCTGTAGGCATATTAAGGTCTCCTCTTGGTATCCTCGGAGGGGACCAATATGCCTGCTTATGGTTCATCTAATCTAGCCTGTTTAGGTAACCGTATTACTAATCACGACACGTGATTAGTACCGGTAACTTCTATTCCTTTTAACACATCTAACCATTCACTCGAATTTAGTTTATTCATCAAAGTAGTGAGTGATATAATAAAATATATACAACACAGAAAGGATATCTACATCACAACCACACACCACTCTCAAACGAAGCAGCCCAAAAAAATATCAAGATGAAGATATTTAAATCTCAATCATACACAACAACCAACGAGAGTCCATCACATGAACTCATCAGTTATTAGTCATCCATGACATATATACACAGAAATACAGCACCCGCGATCTAACTTCCGACATCACACATGCATCTAGCTACCGCTACCACTAGCCATTTTCTGGTATACCAATCCTATATAAATCAGGCATGATAGCATTAAGCTGTCTCTCATCCGGCTGCCACCTCTCACGAATATCCCTCCATACCTCAGTTGCCCTCGCTTGACCAGAACACGTTGCGAATGCCTTGAGGACATTTGTTACGATCCAGGTTGACATGTATATATCTTCCACGCCTTTATCGAGAGCTTTCAGATATGCTTTCCATACACTTTCCAATCTGGCAGCGGTCCATTTCGTATATCGCGTACCGCCATGAAGGTGGAATCCCTTGAAAAGAGACAGGAAAAGTGCACCGTGCAGGGGAACATTGAAGAGACCCATTTCTTCTAGAAATTTAGCGGCTTTGTCTAGTTCGCCTTCGGTGATTGCAAAATGATTGACTAAAAGTCTGTATGTTTGAAGATCTGGGCAGACGATAGACCTTTCCTGAACTTTCGCTCGCCCTTCTGGATCGTGCCTGAACTCCATTGCCATTCGTAACAATCCGCGCTTAACTTCTCGACGATTCTTGAAACTTCTGTGCCATTCCTGTGTGCCCGTACGCTCGGCATGCATAGTTTTCATTCGCTCATAGATATTTAATGCGGCGCTAGGCTCATACGATTTAATGAGAGCTGAAATCATCGCGTTGAGGACAACAGTATCGACAATTTCTCCAGCGTCGACCAATGCTTTATATGCTGCTCGTGCTCCATCCCCATCCTTCTTCAGACCACAAGTAAATATCATGCTAACATAATGAAATCGGTTGTATTCGAGACCCCTGGCTATCATTTCTTTATAGATCATTTCCCCAAGAGTAAATTTACCGGCTTTGCATGCGACATCATAAAGAACATTGAAAGTTGCATTATTACCCCTGACACCTGCGATATGCTCCATTTCCTTCCACATTTTCAAAGCACTTTCAACCTCTACTTCTGTGGCCTTGGCAACGTATTTGGAAGCAAAAGAAATGGCACTCGTCCATTCAGAAATAGTTAAGGGAATAGCGGTTGATTTCATATCGTCGACGACCGAAAAGTACCTGAGCATCGAGTGCTCGTCCTTCCTTTCCACTATACTCAAGTGGCGAAGTAACATGTGTCTTAAATTGGCTTCTAGATAAGGAGCGCGAGGTTCCGGCAGTTCACGGTAGATTTGATAAACATCTTCTGCGTCCTCAGTGTAGAAATGTTTCAATGCGGATTCAAGCTTTTTCAACTTCTCTTTTGTTTCGCCGTCGGCAGGCCATGCCTGAAGTGGGGGTGGCCATTCGTCTTCCTCTTCGTCCGAAACCTGCAGATGAGGGCCGTTACCTGGCTGATAAAGGTTCGGGGACTCCACTATGGGTAATTGATGTGTATACGAAGTGCCATGGTACTGATCCACAAGCTCCATGAGCTCTTCTCGAGTCTGATTTGCCTCATTGGTTGTTCTCCTCTCTTCCGCCTCAGATTGTGTGTTACCCGTGAAATTCCGTCGCCGTGGAATAGGTTTGGTCGAACTTAGGTCCTTCGTAGAGACATTAGGTCTGTGAGATGTAAAAAATGTGACTGGTCGTATGGGTTTTGGAGTGTGTTTATGGCAATGGCCGGCACCGGCCAGTGAAGAGATGAACCATGCTTCGAGCCCGACTGTACTAGAAACCATTTGTGTAGGTTTCCTGAAATCTTTTCCTCGTGGAAGCTTGTTGGAAGCTTTTGGGATGCCAATTGGATACAGAAAGGAAAGAGCTCGTCGAGGGGCTGCTAGCTTCGAGATGAGGGTGCTGCTCGTCGAGGAGGAGATACAAGAGGAGGACATGAGCCGGCTGACATTTTGAGCTTTTTTCAACGTCTCTGGAAAGTCATTGGAGCCAGGCCAGCCCTCCAGTCCTTATCTGCCGTTGTGGTTGACTTAAAAGCTTGTGGAGGGGTCGAGAGTTGATATGTAGAAAACTTTAGGACTTATCGCCAAAATTTTGGAAATTTTGGCGGAGTTTGCCGGCCGACCTCAAAACCTATGAATATTTGCGACCCCAAGATTACCACCAACCCCGCATTATTGTTCGTAGATTATTTTGAGATTTGTAAGTGTTAAGATTCATGAAGTGAAATCTATGCTAATATTTTTGGAAGTTCTGCGAGTATGAGGGGGCTCAATTTAAAGCCATCGCGTGTTTACCAAACGGCAGCGGCACTACTCGAATCTGAAAGTATTTCACAAGCACCACCATGGTATAAGACAATCGGCTCAGTTCCTCCTTCTGAAATCCTTACACGGACGCAGCCTGTTCAACACCGAGGAAGCAATGGCAGGCCCAGGACGAAAAAAGCTAGCAAGTTGTTCAAACCACAAACTATTGTATACGAAGAAGATCGAATAAGACAAGAATTCTTCCGCGATCACCCATGGGAGTTGGCAAGACCAAGAATTGTACTGGAGAACGATGGTCGTGATGGGCAAAGATGTGATTGGAGTAGGATAGCACAGCCGGGAAGACCTTTGACTGGAGAAAGGTAAAATGGATTCTGAAGATGTCGCGGTTTTTGGTTAACATTTCGACAGTGTGGTACAGAGGCAGCTTTGGCTGATACATAAGGCGGAAAAGTCTTATAATGAGGCTTACGATATAGCCCGGAAGGAATTTTATGCTCTGCGTCAAGAAGAGGAGATTGAACGAAGAATCGCGAAAGAAGAGGCAGAATATGTTGGAGCGTACTTTCACAAAGGTGCTTTGGAGGTCGGAATGGAATTGGAAGATAAGAGTTACGAGGACTGGAAGGCATGGGCTACCAAGGAGGTTGAGGCTGCAAACTTGCTTAAACAAGGAGCATACACTGGTGTTGGAGCCGAAAGTGAGGACGCCGATGTTTTGGATGAGGCAGCTGAGGCAGATGAGGGTGTTGAAGAGCCGGCAACAGTCGTCGCATAAGAATAGTCAAGCTGCCATGGGCATGTACAACAACATTATAAGGGCAGAAACGGCGTTAATGAGTATAAAATCTACCATGGTGATGTCTGGCTGCAATATCTGGAATGAATTAAGAGGCCATTGATAAATGTGACAGGATGGGTCACTGATACTGTTGTGTAGATCAATCGCATTGCTCACCGTTCGAACTCTTAGAGCTTGGGTGATCTTGGGTCTGATAATATTTTGGCATTCTGCTAATGTACCAAAAAGCCCCTCCATTCCACTCTCTTTCGAGCATTGTCCCCATTTAGCTGTTTAGCCAATCCTTCCCACTGAACGAGAAATCGATCATAAATCCCCAGCCATAATAAAATCTTTCCACTTAGACTTAATGTCTTCACCCTCGCCCAACTTTCCACATAGATCGTTTGCATCTTCCATATTGGGGCCAGCCCGAGAAATTTTAGTAAAAAGCTAGCTAGAATCATAATGACAGCTGTAGCAGGACCATTTGTAATAATTACATCAGGATATTGCTGGTGTATCGTACTGGTCGTCGAAATTGTGTACAGTGCTTTGAGACATCCTAGCATACACCAGAAGGATGAAATGGGCGCAGTATAAAGTCGTTGATGTATCTCCCTCGCTCGTGGAACTACTATGAGATCCCAGATGCCCGTGGTAGAATCAAACTCGCCAGATTTGGTACACGGTAAAGAAGGTCGAAGTTTCGACTGTATACGCTCCTCACAATCATGCGCCTTGGTAGAAGAAAAGTCATCTCCCGCAGATACGATGTATGTTCTGTGTTTGTATCTTGCGACATTTGTATCGCGAAGAAGAGATATCATCTCTGCCGTATGACCGCCAGAACCAAGAACTACCACGATATGAGAAGGCTCATCTTTCTTTTTGATCGGAGGGCGTCGAGAGTCCGGCGAGATCACATAAAGAAGTCGAAGCTAGATTGTTTCAAGTCAGTACATGATTGTAGACGATTGGAAACGATCTTACAAAGGCAGTGGTGATAATAATCAAGGTAGCTGCTACAACCACGGATGAGATTGAAAGAATGGCCATTCTAGGCTCTACACATAAGGTTGGACAAGGTAGATGGAAGTTGCTGGGTCTTCCGAGGAGAGGACACGAAATGAAATAAATATTTTTATGATTTAATTTAGAGTAATTACATGAATTAAATGTTAATTTGACGGGGCATTTTTCCAGAAGAATGAGGATTGAAGATTGTATGAAATGGATGAATTAACTGTAAGAGTCTTATGATACAGCTTTTACTAGTATGATATTCTCATCAATTGATAATATTGTTGCTATATGCACCATACCATATCATATCATCGTCATGATCATTATCATTATCAACACCAAATAAAAACCATCATCATCGTTCTTTCCATAAAATCCATCGGTAACATTTAACCTTTACCGCTCTATCGGCACTGGTTGACTATGAGCCGAACCATCCTTATTATGTACAAAGAATGTCAAAGCCGAGCAGACTAGAATCTCGTAGTCATCTGGACTTGAACTTTAAAAAAAAACACGCTTCAACGCGAACGCGATAAATACCCTCGAAATTATCATTCCTCAAGAATCATGCACATTCAAACTTCACAACTTTCTTCAACTTCACTATTTTCCATCAAAACAAAACCGTACAAATTTCCAAATCCATTCAGAACTATCAGAACTATCAGATCCATACTAAACTTTCAAACCCGTACACTTTTCAAACTCATACAACTTTCAAACCGTACAATCTCCTAACCTGCACAGCTTTTAAAGCCGTACAACTTTCAAGGGCGTACAAAACTTCAGATCCGTATTTAAGATTCACTCCCGTATTGAACATTTAATTCTCAACATGTTCTTCAGCAAACGTCTCGTTTGCTTTTATTGTGGACGAAAGTCGAACCTGAGATTCGACAATACAATGTCTCAATTTGATTGTGATACTTGTGAAGCCACTAACTTTTTGGATCGTGAGGGCAACATCACTGATCCACCAACTTCAATCACTCAACCTACTTTAAACAATCAATATGCTGATTCTAACTCAGCATCCTCCTCCACGGGGTCATCCATTTTTTGTGATCGCTGTTTACGTAATCAACAGTATCATTGCGATGTCATGAAGCAGCTCAATGTTGAGCTTGACCCTGGACATCCAAACTATCAGATCTCGGAAGAGAAGATTCGCAATGTCAAGAGAGATCTTGACAAGCGTTACCCAATGGTTTGCGAGAAATGCGCACCAAAAGCTCAAGAACAGCGCGATAAAGCGGACAAGTTCGCAAAATCTGACTGGCTTGGAAGATTAAACGCTCTCAGCGAGTTGATTAGAAGCCAAAAGACATGGAAGGATACCTTTCAAAATGTCATATATCAAACCCTCCTCTACCCAATCGTATCAAAAATCTGGTACCTCGTTGTCATCGGGCAAATGCTTGCTCTTGTTCTAGGTCTCTTCAATGTCACAGACATCTTGACCAACGCCTTAAACTTAATCCCCTACTTCTCGAACGACTTGAAACTTAACATTATCTCTTTCTTGGCATCGAAGAGATATCTTGGATGGAGCATCCTTTACAACTTGTTGTCATGTGGCATGAATCCATTCTTCTCCCGATGGTATCCAAGAGGAAACCCTAAGCGTATCATTGGCTTTTTCAACTGGTATGGATACCAATTACTTTTGCAACTGGTCTTGCGGGTAATTTTATGCTCCATTTTCGGAAATGGTTTCTTTACACACCTTTCCTCCTTCACCATGATGATAGCAAATGGCTTCACCATCTTCTTCAATTTCCTCATTGCATACGGCTCACGTTTTTACCTTGGCCCTAAGAAAATTTCACTTTGGAGATCAAAGCCAGGCCCAATTTTCACACCACAAACATTCGAGACTTCAGAAAAATCCGGCAATGCAATGTCAGATGTTCTTGATGAAATCATGACCTCAACACCAAAAGATCTTCATCAGACACCTTCCCCACCTCCACATCCCACTCAACGAAACAACCCTTATAACCAAGAACAGTCATATCAACATGTTCGTCAAAGTCACACATCTGGCTTTCACGAAAAACCTTCCGTAAACGCCTACAGCCAAAACTATAATGGACATCATGAGATTGCAAGACAAACGGACCTTCTTTTAAAAACCAACACTTCTGGTTTGAATTCGGCTGAGTTCAACCATTATTTAGCAACTGGTGAGTTACCAGACTGGAAAGTTCAAGAAGGCGAGGAAATGGACTGGGACCCTACCGTTACTCGTGTGAAACACGACTTCAACATTCGTCATCGTGCTTTGGACACGACGTCAAACTATGAAACTCAAGTACAACCTTTCGGTCAATCTACATCCTTCCAATCGTCGAATTCATTTAATGGCCCCTCTCCATTTTATGGCAAACTTCCAGCGGCCCCAATCAGCCCAGCTCATCGACTTCGCAATCCCCCAAACAGACCACGACTTGAAGTGCCATCAGCCCAGCGAAAAGAGAACTTTTTCAAAAACATGACACAAAAACCAGCTTTTGGCACAGCCAACAAAGATCACTATGAAATTCAAATTGCAGATCCGAAACTACATGTCGCCAATCCTAAAGCATATCAATTGGATACTGGTTTTGAAGAAGCCTTTGGCAAATTTTCCCTCGAAGAGAAGGAAGAAACACCAGCTAATGAATTCGGAAAGCTGAGCATGGGAAGGGCCATTGGATTGAGTTTGTTGTTTGGTGGATTAGCAGTAGGCGCAGGAGCTTACTACAAGTCCAAGGCCTTGTCGCAAGATGAGACCTCCTCGTCAGTTGAAACAATGACGATTGAAAACACCTCCACTTTGTAGGTGGGGAGCTTCCTCCATGGGTCTCACCAATCCATGGAGCATGTAAGTCACCCTGAGATTGTTGTTGTTTCAATTGACTTGGAGCGTTGAATCTTGTGGCGGGAACTTGGACTGGGGGGAAGGATTGGATTTGGACCCGGATTTGGATATGGATCGGTACTTGGTGCTTGGAATGTTTATTACTCGGAAGTTTTCACGGATTATGGATTAAGAATTATGAATAATGTCTAGCATTTTTAGCAATGGAGTCATCTGGCATGGTGTGTTTTTTTATCAGCTGGAAGGAAAAACTTTGTAATTAGTATATGATAGATACCCTGTATAAATACCTAACTTAGAATTAGAAATGAAGAATGATTAATAATTAATATTTGTAAGACCTGAAATTACCTTCGTATTGAATATTAAGGGAGTGAGTGAAGGTTCTGCATGATAAGAAGTCGGGTGGATATATATCAAGTGTATAGATACTTCTAGTAGAGGTGGGTACTGTAACGATACTGTACTGGAGGCAGCGGCTGCCTAAGGTTTCGTCTGGTTGGTAGTTATGGGTTAAGGCTTTATCACTAGTATTCACTTCGAAGTGAAGTCGTTACTAGATCAAGTAGAATGTAGGTAAACTAATTGATAACTAAGTTGAGCACGAAGCTCCTAAACTATGAAACTATTCTGACTATATAATGAACAATAAAGGGAGCCTTCAGGAACTTTCTGGCTCCTCAGGGCTCCTTATCACGTGATTCCTTTCTATCCCAGGAATCCTAATGGTGAATCGTGACAAGTCCCTGCTTGACGCCTAGTTTTAAACCACCTCGAGAGCCTAGAGCCCTTCCACGTGATCTAGACGGCAAACCTCGTAACACATAAAACTCTATAAAATGAAATAAATATATCTATAAAAGAAATAAAACATAAAACAAAACTTTAATTTTAAATATATAAAAGATGTAAGAGAATGAAGATAGAATATTTTGATAATTGACTATATAGGGCGTGTCCAGAACTACGGTTCTTGTGTAAGGAATTATAAAATGTAGGGGGTTATTTTATTCTGATTGGAAAATAGAAAGTTCAGATAGATAGGATCATATCTCTTGAGTTTTTTTCAAGTGTAGAATTCAGCTGATTAGATTTTGATGATTGATTCTTGTAAGATAAGATCAGTTGGGCGAGTCGAGAGTTCTATATCATCGAATCTTGAGCTGTGTATTAATTTTACATGGAAATCAATTTTTGTAGGTAGAAAGACGATATTTTGACTTCCGAGACACTTGCATCTTCGTTTTTGCTCCGCGGCCTTTTGATCCAAAGATTGGAGGTATGAACCATCGGAGCAGATTTTGTATTGACAACCTAAATTACCCGTTTTCTCTTCTCTTTTTTGCTTATATCTTTTCATTCCCAAGACTCTTTTTCCTAGTGTGACTTTTGTTATCAGTAAGTCTTCCCATCTTTAATGCGAGTCAGGAGTAAAAATTCCATCCAACATCACATAATTATGGCGACTTTTCCACCTATCAATGGTACAGCAAATTTTGATTCTTAGGTACAGTAACAGGTATGCTCCTGTTGAGGGAGAAAACCGAGCAAGAATCTAGGTCATGTAAAAGAACTTGAACTTAATACCTCATGAACGATTTCAAAGCTAAAGATATCCAAACACTTATTCGAAAGAAACCGGAATCTTGAATCACTATTGACTGAGGAATTTGGCATCTCATGTATGAAAAGTAGAAAATATGTCGGATCTAAATATATATCCACTTTCATGAGTAGTGATCGGAATCTGAAGAATATAACTATACATCCTCCAAAATACTAATGACAGCAAATACACTAACCTTCTTTGTGGATATTGTTGGTATGTTCTAGATATTTCAGTTTGATTCTTGTAGTACAAAAAAAAGGGCCTAGTCCTCTATCTTTCCAGCGGGAGTGAGGTAGATCTCGATTGCAATGGACCGATCGTTGGGAGACTGCAAGATCTGCGATGTCAAGAACCGTTGGACAATGCCGGTAGTCTCTAGTGCACAGGATAGTTGGATTTTTTCTAGGTTAGATTGTCGGCGGAAAATTGTCTATATGTTGTGTTATTTCAAAGTAGTCATAGTAGGTGTAATCGAGTGACATTCTCAAGATCCGGTATCCTAGATTGTGGGAACATAGTTATCCGCCATGTCATTATATCTCTGGTTGACACAAGCTCGGTTTCCCCATCATGATGACAAGACATGATTCCATAGTAGATTCAATTTTAGAACACTAGTGGTGAGGCATATGAGAAAACAACCTGGTGTTTTTGGTATTTGCCTAGGTCTGTATAAAGCTTTTGTTTGCCTAAGAAGTTGTTGATCTGCTGTAGTATTAAAGTGACATTGAGTGATCATGGGTACATATAGTAATGAGCACGACTAAAGTGCCATAGAGAGTAGCTTCACATCCCCATCCCAGATTCATGGGAAAAATCAACCTCTGCACTTTCCTGCAACTGCGATTTCGGCTTAGAGTTGCGAGTTATCATGATTCAACTTAGCCTGAGGCAAGAAAGGAGGAAGTGGGTCAAACTTTCACCACTACCTACTCGAGTAAATCACAAGTTGAAGTTCTCTGAACACTTGTCCAAATCTCAACGATACAAAATAGGTAATTGAAAGGGAGTTTGACTGTTCAAATTGGAAGAAAATGATGATCATTGGTGGCTTGGCGAGTATTAGATCTAAGGTTAAAGTTAGATAGTCGTAGTCCAAGCTCTATGGGGTACATACGGTTGCTGATTTTCTGGAGAACTGATAAACGCTACTAAAGCCAAGTTTGTGAAGGGGATTTGCCTGATGGGTGAGAAATGTTTTCCACGGTATGTACTCTGTACTGTACTTTGTACATTGATCTGTATGTGCGAAGGGTTTTGACATTGATTTTCCATACAGACAGTGGAGGTGTGTGCGTTTGCATGCAAATGAGAGGATATTCTCTCTCTGTGCTGGTACGAGACGTTTGATTTGCCATAATTGCATTCCACATAATACTTGTTTTCTCCACACTACGCTTTTCGAGCAAAGGGTCTAAAAGATCATCGGGTATTTGTCGATTTACGATCGAGTTGTCTTTTTGTGGTTAGATTTGCTGTAGATCTATCTACAGACTGTATTTTGTTCGGTCTTTACATACCTACCTAGTAACACAATGAAGGGCTAGGTAGAGAGGTAGGTACGTACGAGTAATTAACACTCAAAATAGCTGATTAATGATCCCTTTCGTAAATCTAAATCTAAATCTAAATCTATACCTCCAAATACAATCAATCAATCAATAGCTGCACACGAGCCCCTCAAAGTACTCGCCCGTTGTCAAACCGGAGGCACACGGACTCACCACTGACACCACTTTTGGTCAGTATCTCCTCTTTCCTCTGGGAAGTTGTTACGAGTAGGAATCAGGATGGATGTCGGCATCCAACACAAATCTTAGTTGAAGCATAATTCTTGCATGATTTACAAAGTACAGAACACCAAAGCTAAACGGGGCTGTCGGTCGTCTCCATTAACATGCAGTCACCCTGGTAGAGACAGGCCTTCAAATGCGTTAGCACCCTTAGCACCCTGAGCACCCTTAGCACTTTCAGCACCCACAACTGGTACATGGAGATGCAGGTGCGGATGTAACGGGGAAATCATCTGGAAGACTTTTATCTCCTGATTTGCATTTGCCGCTTCTTTTGTGCTGGAAAAAGCGTAAAATCCATAACTTGTGACAGCCACGTCAATTATCCATCGCCTTTTCAGTGTATTTAATATGTATGAACCACATTTATGTACATGATTTTTTTTTTTCGAACCTAAATATGGGTCATGATTTTCCATGGGAGGGAGCACAGAAGATGCACACTTAGACTGACTATACAGAGTAAATCCAATTTCTTTATGAGTTAATTATTTAACATTATCAACATGGATCATTTCTGGGATTTCTAGAATTTCTACCCTTTTTCGGAGACAATGGAAAAAAGAAAACGGAAAAAGGATCTGTTAGTCTATGAATCTTTAGTGAACCTCTAGTGAACCTCGAGCCAAACCTTCCCTGGACTTAGATCCATCGCCCATTGATACATACCTTGGAACACCAGTGGAACTAAAATTTCAAATCATTCAAATCAGTATAGAATCATCAATTCTTTTTGCACCGATCAAATTTAATTATGAAGCTACGGGATTTAGCACATTTAGCTCTCGCACAATACCCAGTCCTCTGATTCCCCCAGGATTTTGAGTTTCGTCATTTCCATACTCCATATCCCATATACTTACTCCCTTCCCTACCTTCCTGCTTCCTCTCCTCTTCACCTCACACGACACAATCAATCTACCACTCAGCGGCCTCAAACAGAACATCTACGCACACCTACCACAAAACCTTCCAAAGATCCTTAAAATCGACAACATGTTAATGGGAGAACTCAATCTCGGTCATTAAGGCCTTTCCCGGAGGATAATTTTCTCTTCTCAAGAGGATTCCCTTCTGTTAAGTACCAACGCACGTCAAGAAATCCTTAACCTACTTCAAAAACCGAAAAAAAGAAGAAAACACCACTGTCAAGAGACAGTTCGTACATACACCAGCCCAATCTCTACATCCTTTACAACCTCTAATAATAATATGGCCGACGAGTTGGTCGCAAAGATCTCAAGACGATCAACAAGAACATTCGTTACAGAACAAGAAGCCATGGAGTCAGGAAACGCAGGTGTCGCTATGGTACCTTTTGAGACCAGAGGCAACACCAATCAAGATGATAAGGAAAAGGAAAAGGACAAGAAGCACGGAGAGGGCAGAAGCTCATCCCACCAAACCCCCCTTGAAGCTTTATCAGGACCAGTTGTCGATGTTGGAAGAGATCTTGGAGCATTGTTTCCTTCCACCTCAGAAGCTATTGCAACACAAGGTAATTAATCACAAACCACACATTCCTACCATTATATTTCGAAGAATTGGCTAATGTGAAGATTGAACAGTAACCAACTCACTTGATGCCGCGAAAGCTTTGGCCAAGGAGAAACAAGAAGGTCGCCCTCTTAATTTTGGTGTCATTGCTCCAAATGCGATTTACCGTAGCAGCTTCCCTCAACAAGAGGATTTCGAGTATCTCAGATCTCTTGGATTGAAATCTATCGTGTGAGTAATTTCATGACCGCTTTTCCTGGCTAGTACTGATTTTTTTCTAGTACCCTCGTCAAGAAAGAATACCCTCCTGGATTTCTTGCATTTATTGAGGCTCAAGGCATACGCCATTATGTCATCGAAATGCAAGGAACCAAAAAGGTCGATATTCCCGAGCATATTATGAATCAAATCATGAGAATCTCCCTTGACAAGGAAAATCATCCATTGTTAATTCACTGCAATCATGGCAAGGTAATTTCCATTCGTACCCTTTTATATAATGATTCCAAGCTGATCAAATTACAGCATCGCACTGGTTGCGCTGCCGCCATTATTCGTCACGTCTCTGGCTGGGATGTCAAGTCTATCGTTGAGGAATACAAAAGTTTTGCCGAGCCAAAGGCTCGTGATGTCGACATTAAGTACATCACCGAGTACCAGGTCTCGAGTCTCAGTGGTCTCTATCACCATAAGTTGGATCAACCTACTGTCACAAAGACCTCCAAGGCGGCTCGTATCCTCGCCCTCACAGCATTGCTCCTTTGGGTCTGTTTGACGTTGTCGAGATTTTGGAACCACTAGCTGGATACATCCTAGCTATTTTCTTTTGGGGTTTTGGTATATGGGGTGGGAGGGTAACTTCTGGCATAGGATAGGGTATTAGAAAGACGTCGGTTATGCAGTGCGCGATAGGGCCGATGCGAATATGGAGTTTAAAGGGTTAAAAATGTGGCATTGGGTTACAAATATGCCATCCTTCTTTACTCGACATAGAGTATCCTTAGGATATAAGTTCTTGTAATATGTACAAAGTTCAGATTCCTACCCAACTATTCTTTCCACACGAGGCGCCCATGGCGCCCATGGCATAGCGTGTGTAATAAAATATATTCTACAGTCAATGATGTTATTTCTGGAAAATTGAAACAGAGTGGTACCATCCGCCAGTATAGTAATTTTTATAACCCTTTAGACCCCCGAAAGTGCACAATATGATACAATCCCCACATAGGTAGACATTCACCCGCTCACAGAGTTTTATCCTCATCCTGTCTCTTGCCAAAAGCATATGTAATCCCACCACCCATCAAATTCATACCCGCAACACCCATCGCAGCACCTCGGACTATACCCCGTGCACCAAACTTACTCCCAATTCTTGCATACATGTTCTTGCCGGAGGCTTTTCTACGGTTGGCTAAGATGAGATAGAGGCCTGACCAGGCGGCTGTTAACCCGGCAGAATCAATGGCGTATCCTGAGAGATTGAGATAGGTGCTGAAGAGAAAGACGGGTGTGAAAGCTAAGGGAAGTGGTTGGAGGGGACGGGCGTGCAGGGCCGTGGTGAAGGTTGCGAGGAGGACTGGGGGAAGCGGGGAGCCTAGGGTAAGTGGTGTGTTAGATTCTTTTCACTTTTGAGGGATGGGAGACTTGGGTAATATGTAGCATCTATGGGAGAGTAGGATGGAGTTTGAATGGATAGAGGGGTCAATGGAGGGATTTGTAACTCACGGCCCCAGTCTTGTGCGTAGGAAATTGTAGTCTTTTTGACATTTTCGACTGCCTCGTCTTGATTGGACATTTTCTTGGGGCGACAGAGGACTTGTGAGTATAATTGTAGGAAAGAAAGCTTCAAAGTAAAATATTCCTCGTCAAATAACGTTCTTACATCGATTCACACAGTCTCCACGAATTCTATGACGATGGTGAGAAATAGATATCACGTGCCTAGCCCTTCAGGTTAACTATAAATCTAGCAGAATCCATGCATGGAGCATTTTAGCGCACGATAGCGAAGAGAAACATCGGACAAGCACTTTAGCATCGTGGCCATAACAAATTGCGACACACCAACATACAATATCTATTAAATATTGAGACATTCGAGATTGATGCGAATCGGGATATTGATACAATCACACACTTTTCGATCTGCCACTCTCACAATTTAACACACCGGCGCAATGCCGGCCACCACTTCTGGCGCTGATACAAAGGCCAATGGAACCGCAAAATCGCGAGAACATAACCAAGGGAATCAGGACCGCAAATATACAATTGAGCAGAAGGCTGCGGTGGTGAGGGTTAGACGATGTGCGCCCACGGCATTTTATGATATTTTAGGACTTGAAGAAGTTAAAGCAACGGTGACGGAGACGGAGATCAAGAAGGCTTATAGAAAATTGAGTCTGTTGACTCATCCGGATAAGAATGGACACGAACATGCCGATGAAGCTTTTAAGATGGTTAGTCGGGCATTTGGTGTTCTGAGTGACAAGGACAAGAAAGCGAAATACGATAGGTTTGGCGGGGATCCAGATAGTAGATTTGGTGGGGGAGCGCCGCAATCGAATCCTTTCTCGGGATTTTCGCAGAGGAGTGCTGGAGGGGGGGCTGCTGCAAGAGGTGGTGGCAGGTCCATGTGGGAAGAGGAGATTAGTCCTGAAGAGATGTTCCAGAGATTCTTTGGAGGAGGAGGTTTTGGTGAGTTTCCCGAGCCTGGAAAAGTCGTTGGAAGCTAATGAGTTGTTAGGTGGTGGTGGAATGTTTAATGATCAGCCTGGGTTTGTTTTCAATCTCGGTGGTGGACCTGGTATTCGAGTACATCAATTTGGAGGTGCAAGGCCAAGGCGGAGACCGAGAGATCCAAATGCACCGCCAGAAGCTCCGGCTTCGTTGACTCAGACCCTTATAAGCTTATTACCACTCTTATTACTTTTCGGCATACCATTATTATCATCACTCTTTTCTGGGGGAGGATCTAGCGGTCCTTCCATGCGGTTCGATAATCCTATACCACCGCATACCGACCACCGGGTCAGCTCGAGAATGAACGTCGATTATTACGTGAATCCCGTTGAGATCAAGGGTTACAGCACACATAAACTGGCACAACTGGACCGGCAAGCCGAGGTTGAATATGTGCAACGATTAAAGATTGTATGTGAACAAGAAGTACAACAACGAAATCAATTACTTCAGGAAGCCCAAGGCTGGTTTAGTACCGATACGGATAAAATTCAACGGGCTAGAGATATGCCAATGTCGAGCTGCAGGAAATTGGAAAGTATGGGTGTTAGAAACCAATACTGAGTGTATCTTAACATTTACACGTTTATGTGTTATGTCTGCTTTGTAGCAAGGCGTTCGGGGTGGGAGCATTATGAGAAAGACTGAACGAATGACTTTATAGGAGGGTCTTGTTAATGCTATAATAGAGGACGAATATTCAATATAATACAGTGGGCGTATGTTTATTCATTCATTTATGTTGGATAATTCATGATAACCATCTCGAGACATTATCCCCTTTATTCGAGATATTTGATTCGAGAAGTCATGCATGAGAAGTTTGGTTTGTTTTCAAGGTCTCCTTTACTTTTTGTTGGGCCAGTAAAGTTCTATGCCATTGGAGAAACCTATTTTTTACTGTCAAACTTAAAGGTTATTAGACGATAATATTCTAGTACCTATATAGACTCGGGAGTCGAAGGTATTATATTTAGAGGTATCGAAAGTTTGTATGACATAAGCTCATATATTGCTTAAAATGAGTGTTACTCGTGATTCATGAACAACCTGGAAATGATTAAATGTTGTACAGCAGCTTTGTGATATGTTTGATGATGATACGGCTTTACGGTACAAATAATCAAAGAACAGAAAGTTCGAGAGGGAGGCAACCTTGTAATTGGATTATCAAGCCTAATCCTAGTGCTAACCGATAAAGCCACCCGCCGCACGAGGCTACTATCAATAGCATAAGAGCATCTGCGATACATCAAAATCATCATCTTTCCAACACAATATTTTCAAGATAATTAATTGATAATTAGTGGATAAATATGGCAGATCAACAACCGCCACCGCCCAGTGGGCCAGATGCTCCCGATAAAGAGAAGATGGAACAGGTAGAGAAAGCTATTTTATATGCTGTTACATGCACCTGAGATCACCATGGCTAATCTTTATAACTACATCATAGATTCGACGCCGCCGCATGGAGAAGTTATCTGGTTCCGCAACTTCGAGTTCTGAAAAGATTCCCGACTCGGGCGCCGATGCTGCAGCATCTATTTCTACTCCACCGCAAACTACAACGAAGGATAATGCTTCTTCATCGGTTCAGCCGGTAGTTAAACCCGCGGTCAATATTAAACCAGCGAATGCTACTCCTCCGCCAGCTGCAAATCCCTTCGCAAAGTTGGGCGCACAAGCAAGCTCTATTGGGAATACATCGTCTGTAAGAACTAATCCTCCACAACATGTTCTAGGCAAGCGATCCAGAACTGAATCAGAAATACAGACAGCTTCGCGCCCATCCACGCGCAAACCTAATATTACGGAAGAATCTCTAGAAGCATACGAGGATCGAATTCTCTCACACATCTTTCGAGTTACTCTAGATCCTAATCAGCGCACAGATGCGTCGAATCATAAACTTATCTTTTTGCCAGAATTGAGAAAAGAACTCGAGGAGGAAAACGCCGAGATTAGATTGTCGACTGGGAAACTTGATAGTGCTATTATGGAAGCTTGCTCTTCAATTCCACACAGTAAATCCGTATTTGATTACCTATTGCCATGTTGGAAACGAATCATCAAGGCTTCCAAGGGATTGCGGGGCTATGCGGGGCAGAAGGATGCGGTTCTTAAAGAAGCCAAACGCTTATGTATGAGCTATTGCATCTTTGCGGCCGAAATGCCTGACATTTTTCAGTTTGTTTCCCGGATTCGACTTTTTCATATTTAGCTAACATTTTATAGACGAGAGCCCAATGCAAATACAGATGTTCTTACTCCTTACTTTTTATTGGAGCCTGGTGAAGACAAAGGTGTCTGTCCCGACTTCCTCGAGGAGGCTGTATCTCGCTTCGGGGAGGATGATATGGCAAAGTCTATGATCATTAAAGCATTTGTAGGCATGAGTAGTCAGCTGTCCAACATGACTATGAACGACGTTTACAAACCCTATATTCATGTAAGAAACACCGAGTTTTGAGACTGGGCAACTAGAATTAATCTCGTTTAGGCTTTTAAATTACTGACGCAGTTCAATCCCATCACGACAGCTATTGCCGAATCTCCACTATTCCAAATGGCTGTGTCAGCAAGTACCATTGAGAGATACACGCTACTTGGCCCCTTCTTCAGAATATCTCCTTTGCAACTGGAAGTTACTAAGGAGTATTTTGGTTCACCGAAGACAATGGACAAGCGACATGTTGCCACATCTCAGGATGCGCTACGGTTGACATTGCAAACTCACCAGAAGGATTTACTTGATATCATTAATCATTTTGTTCGAGCGAGTCCGATTGCCAAGAACAAGACTTTGGATTGGTTTGCCTACATTGTGAATCAAAATCACAAGCGCCGAGCACTTCAGGTAGATCCAAAAGAAGTCTCTTCTGATGGTTTTATGCACAACGTCACTGTGGTTTTAGATGGTCTCTGCGAACCATTTATGGATACCACATTCTCTAAGATCTCGAAGATTGATATTGATTACTTACGGCGTGAGCCTCGGGTAGATATTAAGGATGAGACAAAGTTAAATGCCGATGAGAAAGCTTCTGAAAAATACTACGAGGCAAATGTTGCTGGTGCCTCTAATTTCATCTCTGAGGTCTTCTTTTTGACGTTGGCTGCCCATCATTATGGTAGTGAAGCTCTTAATGCCACACATAAGAGTTTGGAGAAGGACATTAAGTATATTCAAAAGCAATATGCTGCAATCGAGGCAGAACGTGCTAAAATTGCTCAGGTAAGTCAAGCAATTTGACTCAGAATCTTCAAAATTTATTGCTGATCAAACCCAGGATCCTCGAGCTGCTGCTATAATTGATCTGAGACTTAAGAGAATTAATGAGGTCTTAGAAAATGCGATGTCAAAGAGAATGGCTATTGAAGGTGTTCTTTCTGATAAGCCTATGCAAGCAAAGTCTTTGATCTTCATGAGATACGTGACTGTCTGGCTTTTGAGAATCGCCACGGAGTCTGATTATACCCCTAGCAAAACTATTAAGTATGATTATGCACCCAATCAAACTTATTTCTCGCACGGCTAACAAAAATAGGTTGCCTTTGCCATCAACACCGCCTGAAGCATTTGATTATCTCCCGGAATATGTGCTTGAAGACATCATTACCAACTTTAACTTTATCATGCGGTTAATTCTTCATCCCATGTATTGCAGAAAAATGTCTAATTTGTTTGTAGATTCATCCCTGATGTTATGATTTCAGCTGTTGGCGATGAAATCATTGCACTCAGTATTACTTTCTTGACAAATTCTGAATATATCAAAAACCCATACCTGAAAGCAAAGCTTGTATCATTACTTTTTGCTGGTACATGGCCAGTGTATCATCGTACGAAAGGTGTTTTGGGTGATGTTTTGATGGGGTCACAGTTCGCTAATGATCATTTGCTCCATGCATTGCTTAAGTTTTATATTGGTAAGTTGGATTGTGATGCCAATTTTTAATGATGCTAATGACTCTTAGAATGTGAATCCACTGGAGCACACACTCAATTTTACGACAAATTTAATATTCGATACGAGATTTTCCAAGTCATCAAATGCGTATGGCCAAATGATGTTTATAGGCAACGCTTGATGCAAGAGAGCAAGTATGTATCTACCGATAAAATTGGAGGTGTTGAATGTACTAATACTACTTAGAACCAATACAGAATTCTTCTTGCGATTCGTCAACCTTTTGCTGAATGATGCTACTTTTGTTCTAGATGAGGCTCTTACAAAGTTTCCAAAGATCCATGAACTTCAAGTCGAACTCAGAAAAGAAGCAGAAGAACCTACCTTGAGTGCTGAGGATCGAGAGAAGAAAGAAAATGCGCTACGTGAGGCGGAAGGCCAAGCACAGTCCTACATGCAATTGACTAACGAGACTCTCGCTATGATGAAATTATTCTCTTCTACTTTGAGTGGCTCATTTACCATGCGGGAAATCGTTGATCGTGTTGCAGCGATGCTCAACTACACACTTGATACTATTACTGGGAGTAAATCAACGAACTTAAAGGTCGAGAATTTGGAGAAATATCAATTCAGACCACGAGCTTTCCTGAGCGATTTTGTGGAAATCTACATTAACCTTGGGGTTTCTGAATTATTTGTGGAAGCTGTAGCTAGAGATGGTCGTTCGTATAAGCCAGAAAATTTCGACAGCGCTTCCCGAATTTTGACACGTTACGGACTCAAATCTCCGGAGGATCTGAATGCTTGGGAACTTCTCAAAGCTCGATTCAAGACAGCTAAGGAAATTGATGATCAAGCTAATCTTGACATGGGTGAAATTCCCGACGAATTCCAAGATCCGCTTTTGGCAGAACTTATGGAAGATCCGGTTATGCTACCTATTAGTAAACAGATTGTGGATAGAAGTACGATTAAGAGTTATCTGTTGAGTGATGAGAAAGATCCATTCAATCGTACGCCATTGAAGATTGAGGATGTGATTCCAGTTCCGGAATTAGCTGAGAGAATTAGAGTTTGGAAAGAGGAGATTAAGGCGAAAAAGCGTGCGGAGAGAGCTGCGGCGGCAGATGCGGCTTCGGGGGATGTTATGGATACGTCGGCGTAGTCATCATTGCGTGATTTGATTTCAATCTGATATGAAGGGTTGAATGGGATAGGGAAAGGGAAAGGGAAAGGGGAGAATTTCTATACGTACCTAGGGAGCATTAAATTAGGACTGTGGTTTCCATTTTTGTTCATTCGGGAAAGCAGACAGGTAGGCAGAGGCGTATTGGGTTTGGGAATGGGGGTTAAAGGGGAGGGGGCTTTGTGATTTTTTGTGTAGAGTTGAAGAATTAAAGGATAATTGTTTGATTGATTATTGTATTGTTAAGCGAGTAAGAAGGTTTTTATTAGAAGAATGATTTTGTATTTTATATTCTAAATTATTCATTGTAAGAATTTTAGAATCTACTCACTAAATCTAATATTTTACTTTTCGGTCACTTTTGTTACGACGGGCTACACAACTACCAAGACACGTGATCACAAATGATCAGTAGTGATCATTAAGGATCACGGTATAGGTGATCACTGGTGATCATTAAGGATCACTAAGGATCACGATATAGGTGATCACTGGTGATCATGAAGGATCACCAGTAATCATAGAAGCATGAAGGACTATATAATCAAGATGGATTTCCTTTGTATAGAGCTTCGTGCTCAAGATCAATCATTTAGTATACTCTACTATTAGTTACGAATTGCATTATTGTCATTACTTTAAGTCCCTGCTTGACGCCTAGTTATAAATCACCTCGAGAGCCTAGAGCACTTCCACGTGATCTAGACGGCAAACCTCGTAACAACTTTTCATTTAGATTGTTTTTTTAAATTAAAAATTATCATTTTTATTTATTAATAATTTTATAATTAATAAATGAAATTTAATAGAATTTAAATTATAGATTTATTATTTAAATAATAATAATTTTTTTATTTATTTATTTTTTTTATAATTTTATTAATTAAAATATTAAAAGTTAAAATTTTGATTTTTGAATTTGTATGTCACACTCAAGAATACTGGGTAAAGTATCTTGTATTAGAAAATACTAAGCGAAGGAGAAAAGAAGAAGGAAAACAAGAGTATGTTAAAAGGAATGACCTCACACAGGGAATAGTGGGAAGCTGATAGGGCAGAACTGAGGTAATATTGGTCTAGTAGGTAAATCTCTCTTCTAAGTTCTATGGAAGTGCGAAGCTCTCTTACAGAGAGCTTCTCAATCTAGTCCTAATAGGACTAGTGCCCTGTGCACGTGCTACGCAGGAACCATTCACTTTAACAGAGTAGAGGGTTTTCCTGTGATTAAATACAAACGGGGCATGCCACGTGACCCGGAGGTGTGAGACGACACATTGTATTTGTATAAGATTTATAACGTGGTTTATCAGCAGTCCGCCCATATCACTAGTCCGCCCACTTTTTGACCATTTAACCACTTCAAATTCTAATTAATCAATCATAACTTATTCAATGTTACAAGGTTTGCCGTCTAGATCACGTGGAAGTGCTCTAGGCTCTCGAGGTGATTTATAACTAGGCGTCAAGCAGGGACTTAAAGTAATGACAATAATGCAATTCGTAACTAATAGTAGAGTATACTAAATGATTGATCTTGAACACGAAGCTCTAGAGTGAGGGAATCCCTCCTAGTTATATAGATCTTCGTACTCCCTATCCCATCATCCCATTGCTCCCACTTGATTTAAGTCGGTGGGATCGGTGGGAATTATATAATAACAGAGTCTGTGCTCTTCAGATCCTCACATGACCTTAATCCCATACTAATTTGATCGAATCGCATCTCGTAAACACACGATCGGTTACTGTAAGATCCGTGATCGTAACAAATAGATTATAATTTTCATTAAAGAATATATGATGATCTAACATGAAATAACTCATTTCAGATTAATATTATTAATTCAATATGAATATTTAAATCCAATTAATATCTCAGAAAAAACTACTTATACCCGCGATATTCATCCCCCTTTTAAATATCTACTATCTCTCTCTCTGTGACAGAAATCCCTGCTTTCCTCCCACCCTTATTATATAAGAAACCTCAGGTACATTAACCATGTCCACACATGATACGATTACTCGGGATTAGTATGCGATTTAGGTGACCTGAGGATCAGATCCGGACAAGTACTAGGTATCAATGGTTATCGGTAAAGTAAGGTCATTGGAGGGATAAATATGATTTCTTTTTGCCTAGCCATTACGGCTAGGCCATTCATTTGTGTATATATAGAGTAGCTATCCCCATCTACAGGTGCTCTTCACCTGTAGATTCTAAGTTAAATACAATTGTTGGTCTATAAACACCCTTTTGGTCACACTCTCCTTCCTTCCCCTTTTCCTGACTTTGAATTTTCATTTTTTATTATTTTCATTTCCAGCTATCTCTCCAATATCTCATACCCATTTACTCTCACTCTCACTCATCATTCCTCATATCCCCTCTCCCTGTCACGAATCACGATTATTATAACACAAGAAAAGCAAGTACGGAGGTTTGGGCCGCTGTTTACGAAGGGTCCTTATCGATAAGGAATCCTAGGACAAGTGTCCTAGGATAAAATATGTCCCAGGATAATTAGTATCCTAGGACAAAACGATTAGGCAACCATGTAGGCTTAGGACAAGTGTTCTAGGACGTTATTCGTCCTAGAATAACGTGTCCTAGGATAATTTTGTCCCAGGACAATTATCCTAGGAGCTATATTATCCTAGGATCAGAATCGTCCCAGGATTAGTGTCCTGAGGCCTTTAAAGGATCACGTGATGGATAGACTGGATAGCCTAGTCTATCCAGGCTATCCAATAGTATTCAGAAGTATATAGTTAAGATAGTTTCATAGTTTAGGAGCTTCGTGCTCAACTTAGTTATCAATTAGTTTACCTACATTCTATTTGATCTAGTAACGAATTCACTTTCAAGTGAATACCAGTGATAAAGCCTTAACCTATAACTACCAACCGACGAACCTTAGGCAGCCGCTGCCTTTAGTACAGTATCGTTACACTTTTATTCTTATTCTTTTAAATCTTTCCTTTTATCAAAGTCTACTTTTTTCTCTAAATTCTTTTCATCCTCCCCCTCTACTCTTCCAATCTATATCCCTATCCCTATCTTCTCTCCCTTCCCCCCATCTAATACAATATTCATCATTATCCCTCTACTCCTTCCCTTTTCCCCCATTCCCAATTCCCCATTTCCCTTTCCCATCTCCCATCCAACTCACAACCCCACAATCTCTCGAGCTCACCCTTTACATTTCCAATTCTCTCTATCCCTCTTATAATTCCTAATCTTTTAAATCATCATATGATAATCCATAATCTCAAATAAAAACACCCAACCAAGTCAAATAAGTTCATTGATTGATTGATTATTTCCTACCCTATCTCTATAAACTCTCAACTATTGACTAGGATTTCGATGAGGTTACTAGATATGTAAAATTAGATTCCTACTGGGAATTCATTCTGCTCCTGATAGAACCATCACGAAATAGTGTTTACCGCAACTAACAACTAACCACTCTACATACTCCACCTACCTCACCCATACGTTGAAATCACATCTACTTCCCCATTATCAATATATCCGAGACAATTCTTCTGTATTATAACATCTCTACATGTATAGATAACTTTATTCTACTGTGCCATTATGACACCCATTTATAAATCCTGCCTCCAAATACCCAGCGCTCCTACGCTATGCCATGCCATGCCATGCTTGCTATACCTGGCCAATTTCTTGCGAGAAACGTAAAACTGAGTACTCCTAATTAATATTTGCATATTCCTAGACAGACCTGGGTATCGTATTGAATCAAAAAAGAAAAATTGTTGCAATGAAAATTAAAACGGTTATTGGAGAAAAGTAGCTTCTAATTTGGTTCCCACTTGAAGTATGACTTGAAGTAGCAGATGCAGATGCAGAAGATTGAACGGAAGCTGTTGATGATGCTTCTGGAAGCAGAGGAGTTAGCGTTGTTCCTGATTGGAAGGTAGAGCCTGGGGAATTTGTGTTAAGGATAGGTTCGGGAGTGATTATTGTGGATCCAGGTCCAGGGGAATGGGTAGTAGTAGGATTAACGGTTAAAGTGCCAGTGCCAGTGCCATCCATGGAAGTTTGTGTAGTAGGGATAGGAGTAAGAGTAGAGGTAAGCCCACCAGAAGAAGAGGTTGCTGTTGCTGTTGCTGATGTAGTAACACTTTTTTGCGCCAAACCTATGGAACTATTAGTATGTGAAGAATAAATTGGTACGGAAATAAACATACCAACACGGGATTGATCAAAGTCAAATAAGGCATATATGTTCTTGAAAAGGGTATCCCCAATCAACCAAGAGTTCTTATCAACCACAGCTACGCCATAGATATTGCTAGTACAGACTCCATTCACTGAAGGCCCTACCCAATCTTCTGACGAAACGTTGTAAGTGACCCCGGAAAACGTAAATGACATAGAGGTGGTGGTAGAGCAAGGTACGGTCCATGTACTATTGTCTGTGGTAGTAGCATGAGGCACAAGTGCATGAAATGCCATTACATCCGATGGTTGCCCAAAGACATAAGATGTTCCACTATCTAGGTAGCCCAATCTTCCTGTAACACCAGCTTGAGTATCACCAAATCCCACGTTATCGAGAGGAACTGCCCAATGATTTGGACCGTTCTTGGCGACACTGGTATAACTTAAACTACCACTATAGCGTGAAGTATCCGGTGCGCCAAAATTGATTTCTCCAGTGTTGATACCATCCGAGGCACGATTTAGGTCCATTCCAAACACATTCGCCTTCAAAGCTTTCGAGCTACTAACTGTCTGTAAAAAGTTGGGAACCGGACCAGTCTGTTGGGATAATCCTAGGATGCCGGAGAACGGGAACGAGTTAAACTGATCGCTAGTACGATTGGCAATTCCCAAAGTAAAAGGAAAACTCATATCAGCAAAGCTGATCGTGTCGGTAGCATATGTTCCAGTGACATCTCCAGATCCATACGCAATACTCAAATCCATATCGACTGCCTTGTAGGTTGTAGAATTAGCTGCACCGAAAGAAGCACGAGTTTTGCACGCAGTAGATGTACAATCAGGACCCATGACCCAGCTTGATCCAGCCCCTGTATCGAGCAACATCAATATAGGATCATTGTTACTTCCGAGCTCCACTTCGGCGAAATAGGAAAAATCGGTTCCAGTCTGCAAAATCCCCGCGCTGTTTGTCTGTTTGGGAACCACTGCAGATTCAATTGGTGATGATGTATCGTCATCCTTCACAAGAGTAGATCCACGTGCTTCAACTCTGGTAGAATCAATTTGCTTTCCGGGGTTGTATTTGCGAATAAGTCGATTTGTCAGGCCGTGAATTTGAACATCCCTGGGTATATCGGCCTTGAAATAATGTATTAGCCAAATCAGTTTATATCGAGCCTTTGGACTTACAGATGGAAGTTTTTGGACAAGCTTAAGGACAAAATTGCTCTCCCGACCCTCGATTTCTCTCTTGGTTGTCTTCGGGCAGTTCTTGTATAACTCGCAGGCATAATCTGGAAAATAGGCGTAGAATGCCGAGGAAAATTGAAAAAGTGCAAACAATGCAAACAGGGCCAACTTCAAGGACCACATGATAGCTGATGAAAGAAAGTATCTGAAGAAAACGGGGTATCAAATTTGAGCAAACGCCCAAGCACTATCCTAATTCTCAAGCAATGAATTTCGAACGAGGCGCAAGAGCGTCGGGAGATTGAGTATTTTACAGAGGTGAATCCTCAACCAAACACAAAGTTGATTTTGGGTGATAAATTCTATTGCCTCGAGACACAGGCTGTTGATTATGTTGATGTGATAATATGCTTGAAAGCCAAAATTGGAATCGGAGACTGTCTCTTTGGTGCAGTCAAATAGTTTGAACCGTATCATCCATTGATAAATGGTTTGAAGTGAGGCCTGACCTGAGCACCGGACTCTTTTGGTCGTTTGATATTAAATATTATGATTGTAGTGTGATAAGAAATATGAAGACAATTAAATAATATCAAGTTGGTCAAAGACAGTAAAGTCCTCAAGTCTGCTTGTTACGATGAATATGTATGAAGGTTTAGAGGGAAAAAGGAACAAAAGTTGTGAAAGTCAAATTGCGGGATGGGTATTGCAGACTGAAGATAAGAAAAATGTGTCCTCCAAAGAACTTCAATATGATCCAAATTTGCTAAAACAAAACGGAAAGCCGAGAATCAATGAAGATATTCAGGATATCTTTAGATGAGGTAAGGAAGAGAGGGTGAGGGTTGAGGTAGAGGGGAAGAGGAGAAGAGGAGAAGAGGAGAAGAAAGTTTAAAAAGAGGATGGAGATGCTTGAAAATTGAAAGTTAAAGGAAAGAAGAGAAGAGAAGAGGTTGCAATTGCTTGGCTCATCTTTGGCTTGGCTTAGCTTGGCTTACTTGCTTGCTTTGCTACCTACTTTAGATTAAAACATTGCTCTTTCTTGCTTTGCTCTGCTCTGCTTTGCATACTTTATCATCCGAAAGGTTACAAAATGTGGAGGAAATTCTCTAGCTTAGCGTCTGTTCCTGGGAAAAGCACGGGCTAAATTCGAAAGAGGTTAAGCTTATTCATTTACTTGACGATCATTGAATTTTTGATTATGACCCTTTTAGATCTATTTTAGATATTTTCAGACCTTTTCAGACCCTTTCGATCAGGGGTTAAAGAATCTTCTTTAATATAAGTGGTTACCAAGCGTGTCTGTGAGACTTTTGATGAAAGCCTTGACCAAAGTTTAAGAGCCTCGGCAGATTTCAATCCGCTGAAATCATCCCATCATCATGATCAGGAGTGAGTTGCTCATCGCCTCCTGATTGAGGGGAATAAAGTCTTTCCATCCTGCATGATACAGCAGGGCAAAAAGAGCTGGTGGGTGGTTCGGAGTGGCAATGGAAAATGCAGTCAGAAGTCACAGCTCCGGAGAATCCGTTTGTTGATATTCCAATATTCCGAACTTCGAGAAGATTATTGGCCGCTTTCGTCTTTAGAGGTTGTAGCTTTAATTCAGCCAAAACTACAAGTTATGCAACTTTATGGCCCATTCTGGATACTGATACATAAAATATTAATCCTGGTAAGCCAATCACATCTTTTTGGAAGATGGAAATCTCCCAAATTACGACGCATCGATGTCTGTGCTGAACGCCACATTATGTACCCGAAGGAAAAATCATTAGATGGGGAAGCCACTTTTCTTAGACCACCAGTGGACCCTCCCTTTAACAATTCGAGACTGTTCGATAGTTTTTAATCTTACAACTCGTCAAAACTCTGAAACATAGATATTCATCTATATTACGAGTCGCCAGTGCGCCACTTACCCTATTCAATCGTAATCATGACCATATCCCGCCATGCCGTGAGTGAGAGAAAAGTCTCTTTCTTCTTTGTCTTCCATTTTGATTGTTCTATCGATATTTCTTCTTCGTATACTGGTCGAGACCAGCCGAATAAGACATGTGTTGCTAACTGCAGCAAAAATCCCCATGTTCATGTTACAGCCGTGGCGCAAAGCAGTCCTTTCAGGTTTGGTGGCGTTGTGAATCCCCCGGAAATGTTTCACGGCAGGGCCCCTATTTTGAAAAACATTGATAAATCTGTTAACGGCCTCCCTCTGTTGTTGAGAGTTTCCCGAAGCCTTGAAATACAGGTCTGTTGATGTTTTGTTGTTTTCATCAAACAACAATCATCATGAGGAGGTAATTTATCATGCTTCTGTCGAAACATTATGCCTGGCCACCAGAAAGTCTGACGTCTAACTCAAATATTGAGAAACTGCCGCCTTGGCTTGGTTGGACAAACAGCTGTTAAAAGAGGCTCATTGCATTTCAGATGTCTCATGCTGTATTCTTAAAACGTTATGTCTTGATCAATGAGTAGACTGGGTTTTCTGTTCATTGTCCAAATACCATTCATGGGCAGATTGAACTATTCGCCGGCCTCTAGGATCATCCAGGGAGTTTTTGAAATCTTCCAACGTCTTCAAAAAGGTGAATCCCCACTTCTCTGTGATATCTCCAGATGCCACCAAAGTCCTGAGAAATACCCATAAGGATTCCTCTTTCCATCTCAATGAAATTGCCATCTCAAGAACTTCTTCACAAATGAAGGACTTTTGGACCACCCAGCCTGGCATGTTCATAAATGTAGGAGAAGATAAACAGAATAACAGGAAAGACCACCCTGATGTATCTCCTGGATGCTTCAAACACCACTTTTTCACATTGTCTATGATGGCAAGGTAGGTAGAAGTTTGAGTTCCATCCTCTACAGATTTCATTAGCCACCTCATGTGAGACCATGCGTAGTAGTTTCGAGGATGTCTTTCAGCTGCCACCATGACGACTGATCCAAGATCCCGAGGTACATCAATGGATAGATGCATAGACTGACGGAACTCAAGAAGCCATCTCCTATGACTCCAAAGTGTTGGCGATTTTGTATGACGATTGAGATGAGATGTCAGAAGACTATCGACGAAATATAGCTCCCTTCCTAGAGCCTTTTCAAGCTCATTTGGAGATAGGTTTTGGTTATTCTGTATAAGTCGTTTTCGAGCGCTACAAGCCGTCAAATGTTCCGGATCGGTGAGAAGAATGACAGACGTAGCATCCCGAATTTCCTGTGAATGCTCTGGATCCTGATCCTTGAACTTGAAAAACACTTGCCGTGCAACAACAAATGCTTGAATAAGTTTCGTTTTCGGTATTCCAACGCTGTTCTCGAGGACAAGTGTATTGATGTCTTCTGGCAATTGGCCTTTCCCAAGAAATTCAAAGTCTAACAGCTTGTGGGTAGAAGTATATGAACTAGTATGAGAGGTGAACATTTCCACAACATCATTGTAAACCTTTTGCGAATCCCTAGCATTAATAGATGTTTTTGCATCTTGGTCAAGGGCTCTTGACATGATGCTAAAATTTAGAGTGATAGAGTTTCTGGATCATTCAAATGATACTCATCTGGGTCAAGAGATTGATCAAGTAGAAGAAATTCCAATTATCACATCCAAATTGAAAATTTATTAGATGTCGTTAACATTATAGTCTTCATTCCAGAAAGGTTCAATCCAATTGTCACTGTACTCGTGATGACCTCAACATGGTCCGTGCATCTATAGCTCTCATCCACCATACAAATTATAATGAACCCAACAAGACAGGCCACCCTAAACGGCCACGACACATTTTCAACAACCACATATTTGGGAAGTTCTGAAAGGAAGGAGCAGTCAATTTCGACTGAAGAGCTTTGCAACCATGCCGTCTCTCTTATTCACATGCTTTCTCGTACAGCTACTCATACACCTTGTCAATACCTTCGGCGCAGCTACGATAAATAACCTAGTAAGCTCTCTTATCCTATTCCTTTCCCTTCACGGTCTTCCCATGATCTCTATACTCTTTTTCAATGACGTAGCTAACCCATCGCAGCTATGGAACCTCTACAATATGCTCCCAACCCCGACTTCGCAATCCGCTGGCGAACAGAAGAAATTAAAGCGAGAATATATGAAAGTGCGTCAAGAAATGAATGCTACGAGTAGTCAAGATGAATTTGCCAAATGGGCAAAATTGCGCAGACAGCACGATAAGCTGTATGATCAGCTGGAAAAGTCAAGTACGTTTCCTCCCAGACTACAGCTTTCATCATTGAGTGACTCAAAATTAACATCGCATCCACAGAATCCTCTCTCGATTCCACCAAATCCACTTTCGATACATCTGTTTCTACACTCCGCTGGTTGGGCACAAATGGTTTACGCATGTTATTACAATTTTGGTTTTCTAAGCAGGCTATGTTTTGGTTACCTAAAGGATGGTTTCCTTATTACGCAGAGTGGTTGTTGAGTTTCCCACGAGCACCATTGGGAAGTATCAGTATACAAGCATGGACACTTGCATGCGCAGCTGTAATTTTGTTGGTCAGTGACGCTTTGGTTGCAGTGGTTGCGTTGGTTTTGGGAGCACGAACTGGCGTTCAAGGCCAAAAAGCGAAAAAGATGGAGGAGCCTATGAAAGCTGGTGGACAAGGCACGGAGAAGGCTGGGAAGAAAGAGTTGTGAGGTTCATAATTCTGGATACGTATACACTTGAACGAATATAATGGTTGTACGAACACTTCTACATTTCTACAAAACATGATGGTACGGCATAAAGTATGTCTCTCAACAATTAAGACGCAAAGATCATCATAGCTAACGCTGAGATCATGCAACACGAGTGAGATGACTCTTGGCAGAGTACTTGGGGCTTAATCTGGGCATACTTTTTGACTGTGAGAGACCATTGGGAAAAGGGTCGCCAAAGCTTCGAAAGTGCCACTTCATGTGTAGCAATTAATACCATACCTATATATTCAAAGAGAAAGGCACTGTATCCCATAATGAGCGCATGTAAGAGAACAAAATCATATTCTCATGCGTGCATATACCGCTCAAAGTTCAATCGACTCATATCTGGGTTTGCTGTTTCTTGATTGTTGTGGTTATCTAGAAGATGAAAATTTCAGAAAATTTATTTGAGGAAATATTTTGAGACTCCACACTAACATGCACGCTAACATGAGCTAGACTATTTATAGCCACCGCCTTTGTCTATTGTTCATCATTTGTGATTCTGCCTTCTTCGATTATCTTATCGCGAACGTGTTCTGAAGAAGCCACAGAAGTTGAAGAAAGAGATTCAAATCTTCAGTCACATCACATCAAATCAATGATTTTTCTGAACACTTAAGCTCTACACGTATTATCATGGTAGGGATTTCGTTTGGGACGTATGTATTCTTCTCTCTACTTCTAATCACACTATCCAAGGCTCGCAGTATAACAAACTCGCAGGCATAACTAACTCATCCACAGTATAAAGTCCCTTCTATTATTCGCTGGACCAATACTTTTACCCAAAGCAATTGGATATTATCGATCTCAGCGCGCAGCACCTCAAGCCAATGGTCTCACAGTTCGACCCGTTCCTCCAAATGTTTCTCGCGCTCTCACAATCCTCTTCATAACCTCACTCGCCTTCCTCATAAAAACATTCCCTACATTTACCACGCCCTCCGTCTTCACACTCACTCAATCCCGTCTACTTATTCCCACCGATGTCCTCTTTACCCGTCTCCATGCTTTACGTCCCAATGGTTTCACTCCCCAAGATGAATCTCTTCGAAGTTCATTTGCGAGTCGAGAGATGCGACTCTTGTATCTAAAATACGGTCCGGAAACCATTACAGAATGTTCTTTTTGCAACCCCGAAGATCCAGCATCTTATTTATACTACTCTTTATTGTCCATCACCATACCGCATCTCTTCAATCTTTGCGTTATCGCCCTCGCAACTAGTAATCTCTTTATTGGAAAAGAAACTAATATCTGGCGAGGAAAAGCTACCATTGTAGCTGGTGCGATTGCCATTTTGGATATCTTCATCGTCGCACGATGGAATCATTCAAATAATGCCACAGCTCTGAGACTGGAGGATATCGATCACTTTTATTGGAATATGCAGCTTTATCGCAGTATAGCATTAGCAGCTCTCGACGGTCTCATAGGTTGGTGTTTGTATTTATCTTCCACCAATCGAGCTTTTCTCGCTCCTCCTAGTACAGCGGAGAAAATAGAAAGTACGACGAGAATTATTGAACAAGCGAGAGGGAAATTGAATGGGGTGGCATTAATGCGTAATGCGACAGTAAGAGATAAAGAGCTGAGGAATACAGTAGAAGAATATTGGGTGAGGGAGGCGACTGTTATGAGAGAGGTATTGGAGACGAGAGAGGTAGTCGATGGGGTTAGGAATGCCTTAGATGGTAGACTTGATTTAGTTCAGGTACAGAGAGATGCGGAGGGGTTTACAGAGGCTGTTCTTGGAGGTGCGGGGAATGTAATTACGTGATTTTATGGTACATTTTATATCACATTTTATATGCTGTAATTATATGTTCTCGATACTATAATGAATCGTATGTTTATTTATCAATACACTTCTATCACCCTTTTTAATCATGGAAAATGAGTGAAAATAAATGAGCCGAAACCTATCACCGAGACCAAGTTTAAAATCATACAGACAGCTAATTATCCTCCAGAGGATATCACCAGCTCCATCTAGACCCCTCTTAAACTAAATATACCCAGCAGGCATATCCAACACCAGCATTATCCCTCATTCCTCTCTAGATCATACAATTACACCCTACCCCCCTACCCCTCCATTTCTCCTCCTCTCCCTATACTCCCCCTCACTATCTTTTTCTAAATCTTCCTCCTCCTCTTCCCCCCCCCAAATAAACTGAAATCGATATCGATATCGACATCATATGATACAGGTACTGTAATCTTACTTCTCAAAAGTAATGAGAAGAGATGAGAATAAAAGAGAGAAGAAAAGAAGTTATAGCCGAGCCAAATGAGCCAAGATAAGACTTCAATAGAATTTACTCTTGCTTTTACTCTTGCTTTTATTCTTAGTCTTAGTCTTATTTTTTATTTATTTATTTATACTTTTATTTTTACTTTTATTACTATCATTTTTTTCTTCTTATTTTTATTCTTACTTTTACTTTTACTCTTATACTTCTACTTTTGCTTTTTAGATTTGGATCTCCTATTTATAATCCAAATCTCATCTTCTTCGCAGATTGAGGATGAGAATAAGGATGAGCATGAGTATAAGGATGAAGTTGAATATAAAGCCTGAAAATCTTTCGATTCAGCAGCAGGAGGGGGATTAGGAGAATCAGGTGGTGATGGACATGAGGATGTTGGTTGAGACATTTTACCTTTTTTAATCTCGTTTCTTTTCTCTCTGTTTCGTGTGTTTGTATTCAGCTTATTGAATTTCTTTTTTCCTTTTTAGATTTTCTAGAGAAAAAAGATATGAGATAGATGGTTAAAGATTAGTGAAGGGAAATAAATACCTATCCTATGAACCCATTTTATATTCCCCAGTTGCGTAGAGAGAAGATGCCACTCACTCTAGGAAGTAACTATAAATCATGACAACGAGAAATGAGCATCTTGTTAATATGCGCAAGAATGACGAAATAATGACACATGCAAGCAAACATACAGATAATGTAGTCAAGAAATCTGAATGTTGAAATTCTCCTTGAATAATATCATTTTGGGCGGTTAGACAACCAAGTCTCCTGCCATTTGTCCCAGAATGAAAAGAAAAATGGGAGTCAGAGCCAACGCCATGAGGAAAAACCTCTCAACACAACATTCGGGAAAGAATCATGACAAACATGACAACACCCTAACATCGCTCCCAAGAAACGCCCATGCAATGTAGCTAATATACACCTAAATCTATTCCACAAAATAAAAAACCTATCCTAATATCCTATTTTGTTGCTAGAGTCGTTGAACTACTAACACTTCCACTTCTACTATCCTTATCTTTAACACTCCCCTCTTCCGCACTTCTTTCTAAGAATCCTGTCCAGAGTTCTGAAAGAGACTCTTTCTGGGCGCTCGAAGGTTCGGTGAAAAACTCTGTAGATAAAGATGGCGTGCTTGGTGTTCGATGAAATGGTGACATTGGTAGACGTAAACTATTACTTGAAGCACCTGGTCTGGCTAGACCTGCTTGCTCCTTTTGCTCATCTGTCCAGTTCAATAGTGAAGCAATGACTTGAAGGACTTGAAATTTCTTTGGATCTGAACGATCCAAGGAGAGGAAATGTAAGAAGTGATTTGTGACGACTTGTCTGCACATCATTAGTCATGAATCAATTTTACTAGTGTTGTTGTAGCTTACCTATCAACATTATCCTCGACTTTTGATTTCTTAATAAATCTCAAGGCTTTTGTGAGGTGATCATTAATCACAATAGCTTCATGACGAAGTTTACCAATCAGTAAGTTCTTTTCCTTCACTTCCTTTTCAAAAGGTAGGAGTCGATCCAATTCTGTTTTAAGAGCTTCTTTCGAAGTTTCAGCCTCAACACATCTAGAATCTGAATCCTGAACGACTTTCTTAAGGGCTTGAATTTGCTCATCGCAACTTTCGACCATCTCTCGAAGTTCTCGTCTCCGAGTCTCTTGGATTTCTTGTAGAGCTCGTTGTAAACCATCAACTGTCTGAGATTGACTATCTCGTTCGGCGACTGCGGTTTCATATGCTTCTTTTTGAGTAGAAAATTGTTCCTCCATATCAGAAACTCTACTTTCTAGATTCTCCCTTATAGATCTCTCTTCCATAGCCAAAACCTCCCAATCCCCCATGGCTTCCTTTGCGGCATCGGCTTCCTCTTTAAGATGTTTAGCCTGTTGAATCAAATCCTCCCTTTCATGGACCCAATTCTGTTGTGATAAATTATTGCGGTTTCGCATGCTCGAAATTTCCTTGGAAGATTCATTAATTCCATTCCGTAGTTTAGATACCTCGTCCTCCAATCCTTGGATAGTGCTTTGATATGATTCCACTTGTGATTCCAAATCTTCGATCTTCTCGTTAGCTTCCGCCAATTCTTCTTTATCCGCTTTTAATCGTTCCCCCAAGGTAGTTTTGATCGTATTGACGCGTGTAAGTAATGTGTGATATTGAGATTCCCAATTTTCTCTCGAAGATTCAGTCTCCTCCAATTCCGCTCGGACTGTAGAAATTTCCTCTGCATGTTGACTCTTTAATGTGGCAATCTCCTCTTTGTACTTTTCTTCGACAGACGATAGATTCTCGGAGTATTGACCTTTAGCTATTGAATCTTCTTCCGAATGCTTGCCCTGGATGTCCTCCAAAGATTTTCGCAATTGTTCAACTTCAGCGCGCAATGCCTGACGCTCTGCCGTCATTGCTTCCAGTCGAATGCTTGCATCTAATGCATCTGAACCATTCTTTTCCGAGGACCCTTCTGCATCCTTGGTGCTAGATTGTGTTTGCGCAACCGCATGGCCATTACTTGCAAAGTCATTTTTGAGGCCATTCGTCTGCGAATCTGTGCTTTCTGGAAAATGAGAATCTTTTGGAGTATTCTGCCAATAATTGTCAGAATGCGCTTATGTTTGCTGTAAAGTGAGTAATGAACAGGTGTCATTCGTACCACAGTTGACTGTCCAGATTCCTCTGCATTCCCCTCTTCTGACACGTTTGCTGTAGGGTCCTGTCCATGCTCTTGAACCTGAGGAATTTCTCCGTTGGATTTCGATTTAGCATGCTTCTTCTTCTTGTTATTCTTCTTTTTTGCTATTAATTTATTAGTGGTAATTTTGATAACATGAGGTTCCCCACCATTAACAGCGAGATACAAGGGGAAACGAACCTGGAGAAGTAACATCGGAAGAATCTGGAGGAGCCGTGGCTGACATTATATGAATAAGAGTAACAAATTGGATAATAAACAAGAGAACTCTCTCTGTTGGATAAATCGCAATTCAATTATTGTCGAGGCTTTAAACATTAGAAAGTTAGCGCTTTCCAATTATGGTAGTATACATTAGTCGAAGTCTAAGAGCTGCGTAAGGATAATGATTCGGTTTAGGCTCAAAGAAGTTACCGTAATCATATTAACGGAAGTATGTATTTCATAAGACCGCAAACAACACATAAGATTACATTCACCTGCGCGTGAGTTTATGAGAGTCAATGGTACAACAAACAGCATTGACCGGAAACATGTCAAAATAACATCCATAAGCCACAATATCATTCATTACCCGAGTCTATTAGTTTCTAGGCGCATAAAATGATTCAGATACTCACATATATGTGTGCCCGTTACTCCAAATTCAAATCATGGTTGATACACTGGGGGTGAATACTCGGACGCGGGGATGAGGAGGATATATTCTATTGTCACAGATATGCTCTCCAGATGCCAGTCGTCTTCTTTGATTCACTTCTGTGTCGCTGGCCTGGATTCATGATTTGAAATTAGCTTTCCAAATTCATTAAAGCTGACACAAGACAATTATAATGTTGATGAGAATAGGTTATTCAATAGATATCTTACCTCCGCCTTACTAGTCAAACCCATGTTTACTAGGTATATAAAGCCTGTGAAAGTATCTGGGGAAGTCCCTCTTCACTATCAAGTCCCAAGGTTGTATCACTATCCTCACTATCTTCACCATTCCACACTTTTGGTTCTTACCATTCACCTCTACGTCTCCTACCACGGGTGCCATCGCATCGGAGGGATTGAGATCTCACATTTACAGAAAATGAATGCCACAGGCATAGGAATCGAAACGACGCTCTAGACGAACAAGAGACATCCAAACTATTGCAGATCATGTGAGTGCCATTCAACAGGCTCAATTTAATGCCCATCGCCATTGCTATGGAGATAGATTTGTCACTTCGTAAGTTGGGATGCTGCTGCGGATAGTACCAAAAAGAGCACATGTAAGAACTCAATGGTTAGTGAAGGTTGAATTAGTAATTGGTGATGGAGTCAAGTATGGTGGAAACGAGCCCAAATTGTGCAAGCATCTAGAAGCTCGCAAAATGCAAACTTACAGAAATTTCATGATTAATTTAGGAATACGCACTTGATGTATGCCGCTGAGCCGCAGAAGAAGATTTAAGAAGAGACTATCAAGCCCCATGCCTATCCAGATAACATCAGTTTGGCCTACAGAATTTCACGCAAAACCTAACGCAAAATATCTTTCCAAAGCTCAATTTCTCGGAGACCTCGACACCATCCTGTATAATACGCAGACAAGGTTTAAAATTCGGAAAATTATCAGTGTTATCTCGTCCCAGCCTCAATATCAAAAGCAAGATGGTCTTGTGCTCCAAAAAAACGCATGAGAATAGTCCGATGGCATTGACTCAAGAGCTTGCAACCTTTAAGATCATTCGGTAAATTGAAGAGATGTCCCGCTCATAGTTCGTTCCGTAGCGAGATGAAAGTGATGGGGAAGTTATCTATTTATAGCAGTGATTCGATTTGAGACAAAAGCTAGGTCGTTGAAGAAATTATGAGCATTGAATTGTGGTTTATGAGCAGGGATTGAGATTTACGAGTCAGGGAACGCCAGTATAGCATCAACTGTTAATGAATCTCATCTCCTACAGTTTCTTTCCGGTCTAGTTCCAAACCATTTCATCCAATTGACCTTTTAAATCCTTTCATCCCGTCCATTCTCGTCTCATCATCACTTTACAGCCTCAGGCATCACAATCCCCTCCCATCCCAATTACCTAATCACAACCAAAAAAGCACGGACCTCCAGCCTCCACTCCACCATAAAACCCTTCACCTCATCTCAACTTCTTCTCTTCTCTCTTTACATATAACCACAGCATCCGTTGTCAGCCCTACCTAGGCACATCTAAGTTTACTTGGATATGTCTAAGTAGGATTGTAGTAGGGATTTCTTTCCACAAAAACCCAAGTACTGAAATGGATTGCTCAGAATAACCTCGCAATGGGGAGGGCGCTTCAAAATCCTGGTTACTGTCTATGCTCGATGGACTTTTCAGGTTCGCTTTGTGTCTATATTTTCTTTTGGTGGAAGATGGGTTTTTGTGTGATGGGTGGGGATGCTGATGGGTATGGGTTTGGGTGAATGGGTGGAGGAGGTAGAGGAGGTGAAAAGGGGAGGGTGTGGTAAAGGTATCTGGTTGTATTGGTAATATTGATAAATTCACATTTTTAATATGCATTTGATCTGTCCCTCATCCATGATTACATGATGCTCACCTATGTATGTGCAGCATCGTTGACTATATAATGAGCAAGCTTAAGTGATTCACTTTGATATTTATCCCGATATCTAATAAAAACAACAGCTAACTAGGTCCAATGGGTAGGCCCTTGACTTTCACATTCCCTTGAAAGGAAACTCTACTGGATATCCTAGGGAAAATTGTATCATGAGGAGTAATCATGAAAAAGCCATAAAATAAGAAATCTCTCAGTCGAATACACCAGGAACCAGCTAAAGTCCTGCATCTCTCACCACTTCACCCATCTCAATCCCACACTTTCCGGATCAACCACTTCATGCAACATATGTATTTCATGATCTACCACCAAACTACTCTTCCAGGCTCTTATCCTCGCCTGTTCTTCCATCTCTCTTTCCTTCGGTACAACCTCAACTTCCCATTCTTTGAACAATGCAGCCAACACGGCAACAAGAACAAGTTCCACCTGCGCAAATTTTCTACCTGGATATACTCTTTGACCCCATGCAAATGGCATGAAGTGATTCGATGTGTCTATTTCGACTGTTTTTACCAAAAAATTGGTGTCAGACTTACCCGTAGGGGAGGGAGTAGATGATGTACTAATAGAACGACTGGGGTCGACGTCCATGCTAGAGGATTAGAACCCGATGCACGTGCAAGGCTGGAATTGGACAGTGAGCGGTTTTATGAGGTGAGAGAGTATATGTTAAGCCATTGACTTCGAGGGTTTGTTCTCGTGAGCTGGTGGTCTTGACGAGTTGAGATAGGGGGTGACAAATACAGAGGGCTTAGACCTACTTTTTGTTAGGTTTTGTAAGATCTTATCTTTTGTCTCTCTTTGGAATTAGAGACAGAGAGAACTCAAAAGAAAAGCTCTAAAACGTTTAAATTTGAAATATATTTCATATTTCCAGGACTCTGGATTCTCATCTGTGGGCAGGTAATATTTTATCTCCTCGGAAATCGAACCCTACGTGTGAGGGTTTGCAAGATGAATGAGCAAGTTTGTATGTGCAATAGCTATCGTATCATTACCAGCAAAAGTATAGAAGAAAAGATGTTTAGGATCTCTTCTCTTGTAAGTTTTATCTTTCTTCCCTTGTCCCAAGTTTTATCTGTAATCGTAGCGTCCGCCTTCAATTCTTCTTCGTTTTTCCCTCACAAGCTTTCGCCAAACGTGCTACGAGATGCTGATTTTCAGACTCTTCCCGCACATGATGCGCTTTCTCTTCATCCATCAAACCGAAGATATAAGAGCGAAAATCATTCATGGCTCTGGCGGCATTGTTGAATGATTTAGATATCCACCATGGTTTTAGACCTTGTTCTCCAAAGACAAAAATTTGGATGATAGATGACAGGATTGTGGAGAGAGATTCTCGGTATTGATGAAGTGTAAAGTTTTTGGTATACAAATGGGTAGACCGGATTGGTTGTTTCGCTTGCTATGTCCAGTACTCCTGCATTCCTTTCACTTGAGTTAATGACTGTGGCCAAACCAGCTCATTATTCTTCTCCGTAAAAGTCACCGCCGTCATCTTTCTATGAGCTTGCCACTCCGCATCATTGGAATTCTGTGGAAAATCCTCGATATAGATGATGGAGGATGTAAATGTTGGTCAAGCTGTCGGGAAGAGAGATGCCGTGAAACAACTCAAGATCACGCCTCAGACACCACCCCAAGTTGAATTCATTTTCATACCTACTGTCAGACGTTTCCTATTATCATAGAGATTCTTTGAAACGAATGAGAGCCGAGGAAATGGAAAATATAAAGTGAATTTGAGGTTTCTCACCCCAGGTTTATGCGGCGCAAACACTCATGCATGCAGCGAGAAAAAACCATTAGAAAATTGTGCAATAAACATTTTTGAGATTACAACATTGCCCATTCTAATCCGTTGTCAAATTTCTATTCTAAATTCAACACACAAGGCTTTACCTTCATCAAGTGGTGTGAAACTTATATTATCAAATTGGTGCTATTAATATTTTATATCGTGGGTATGTCACGGTTTTGTTTGTGCTCTAAGATTAATGAGGTCACGAAATTTTTTTTAGATGTTTAAAATTTGTTCACTTATTTATCTAGTCAATTATTTTTTTTTTTTATTGTTTCTCCTAATAAGGTCCTTGCTATAATATCTTAATATGTTTTTAGTGCTTCCTTTTCGATATTCGCTCATCCTCAGTGTAATATCTTGATATGGAAGAGTACAGTATACTCTAAAATCTAGCAAGGGCTACATATCCGGCATTTTAAAACGAAGAAAAATACACTGATAGTAGTGAATATCCTATGATTGGCATCGACGTCGAGGTAATCTCCTACTCTTACTTGAATTCCCTATAGAACGTATTCCGGAGCTGATCTCTGGGAGAAAAGAATGTCTCGATGATTTAAGTTCTATCGTCATGATAAAATTGATAGGATATAATGTGAGCACATCCGGAAGCTTCTTCAACGACCGCAACAAAACGGGAACAATTTTTTAAGAATGCGGTGATTCGGCTCAGTTGTATAATGCGTTTCAAGAAAGAGTCCGAACCTGCTAATAGCTAGCTGGTATATGAACAGAACTCGATAACCTGCGCATGAGGACTAACAGCTGAAAGGGTCCTAGCTAGGAGATAATCATAACAGCTTCTTTGGAATTTGAAAGTATTATGAGCTTGTATGTTACGGCGAATTTCTTTGAGGATATATACAGGGGCTTTGGGCGATCTTGGATGCGACGATTACTCGTCAACTTTATACCACAACTTCCTTCGCTCGAAGCCCAGTTTCTTTCATTCCAGCATATCTATTTCAGAACAAGCCGAGATATCTAAATGAACGAAAGGAAAGATTACTTTCCAAGAACTTCGGTTGGCAAAGAAATGCTTGTAGCTGATGCATATGACCAATCCAAAGTGTCACTCGAGGATATCCAAAATCCCTTGGCCCTATAGCTCTGTAGATGAAGACTGAAACTAGTAACTATATCTCTCGCCGTAGGAATATTTTAGAAGGGGTTCACAGTAATATAATTGGCGTGGAAACTCCTGGTATTAAAATTCCATTCCATGCTAATGATGACCTTTTTTGGCATGGTTCGACTACATGCTCCGACAAACCGTTCTTTAGCCCGTCTTAAGCGCTATGTACAGATAATTCAACGTTTAATCCGTCTTCTTGGCCTCTATTATAATATTGGGAGTGGTTCTGGTCTCTATGCTGCTGCGTCTACTTGTGCATCTTTCATAATTGGTAGGGTTATAGCTGGCTGTGGTGCAGCTAGACCACTTCAAGGAACACAGGTAATCGTAGGACCTTCAGTCTCAAAACTAAAGATCCCTTCTTACTCCGGATATTCTTGATGTATATGACATCAGTGCATATACAGCTCAAATATCCGGGGGCACATTAATATTCACCGATAAAATGTCACGGCGCAGTACTTCTAGATGCAAGTTCGCTACTATCCACCCGACTAAGTCTAAAAACACATTGATATGTTAATCGTTCTAGAAACTTTCCGGTAGGTGGTGTCGCTTGGCCATGATATTGTTGTTCATGAAGAGAAGATTGCCAAAGCAAGCCGGTGATATGAGATCGCTCCTCCTTTTCAAATGCATGAACTTGGCTGAAACCACTGTTTTCTTCGATGCGTTCGACAATCTGAAATCCTAATAGACCCTAAAAGATCCTACAGAAGCTTTGCACGATTGCTTGAACAATCATCAGCGTGATAACCACCAGCCTCTTGACGATACTTGATCTTGATACCTCGACAAGCTCACTTAACATGCAGCTTTCATATTTCTTACCAGTACAAATGCTAAATAAGAAGCAAAGCAAGCAAGTAAGTAATCTTTCACTGCGCTGCGCTGCACTAAAAGCACCCTGATACAATATATACACATTTATATCTTTTACAATTAAAAATATAAGATCAAAAATATACCCGCTTTAAATTTCAAAGTTATGAAACTAATTAACCTTACCTGCCAAAACGATCGAGGTCCTACAGATAATTAGATCCCCCTTCTTTAATATAAGTTAACCTAACCTATAAGATTATTCCTCACCAAAAAAAAAAATCGATTTCCTTGAAAAGAATTAATCGGATATTTCTGAAAGAGGATTAATTCAGATCAGACTTGATAGTCTATCTAGACTTTATACTTTATACTCCATTGCTACTTAACTATCCAACTTACCTTATATGGAAGATATATACCTCATATACCAGGTAGGTACCTACCTACCTATCGATATAGCACAACGTAACATAACTTAACATAACACAGCACAGTACAGTACAGCAAAAAACCATATATTAATTCATATAAATATTTCTTCATTACGCTGCATTTACGCACTGTATATCTCTCCTTCTTTCTCTGACAAATGTAAATTTATCTGCTGTACATTGCTCCGTATTCTTTTATTCTATCACCCCATCGACATCGATACTGCTCGTCTTCTTCTTCTCATTACATCCTCTGACCTATTCATGCATATCTAACCAGCATCCACACATTAATTTCTAATCTCCCCCTCTCCCTACGCCCGCATCGCATCGCATGTTTTGCATTTCATCATCGCTCTTCCCTAAACCTTCAATCGAGCGAGTTAAAGCAAGCTGCAAATGGTAAATGGTAAATGACAAGATACAATCAACCAATCTTCTTTGTTGCTCACTTTCATATCCCAACACATACATCCCATCCAGCCATTCATTCCAATTCGCAATCCAACAACATCATCTCATCTCATCTCATCTCTCTCCACCTCGTCCTATTTCCCTCGTCTGCCTTCCCCATATTAAACCCCGACCAATTTCCCCTCAAACAATCTACCCTCCATCCCACTCCAAAAAATCAACCCGAAACAAAAATTGGCTTCCACTCAACACCTATTTACACCACACATATATCCATCCATCCGTACCCACCCTATGATTTTTGCCACTATTTTCTCGTTTCATGGACTTGTGATGAAAAAGAAGGATCAAAAAACAACAACAAACGAATCTTTTAAACTCCTCGCTTGGATATCTTACACATCTCGTTCGCATCTTGCACTGAATTTAATGTCAAATTGCTCTCTTTCTCACTTTCTCTCGCTTTCGTATTCTTTCCTCCCAACTAAATCTGGGCCTGTATTTATCTGGTTTCTTTGTCGTAATTTCGAATCTGTCGATTTCATCCCATCTCATCTCATTCTCGTATTCAACCATTCTTTTCCATCCGTTCATTCTCAGATTATTCCGTTACCACCTAGCATGCTCGGAACTGCTTTGCGACCTACTCGTTTTCCTGGTGTATCTATACGAGGAACTCCAGCAACGCTGCGTGGTTCTTTCATTAATCCAATATCCAGTTGTGCTGGAATTCTGGAGATGATTGTCCTATATTCACCCGGGAACTTGGCATCCCTAGGTACCGGAACTAATGCGGATCGCCATAAGTGATCTGATGTATCCTCAAGGAAACTAGGTCGAAGTGATGATTTCGAAGAAAAGAATGCCGCGCGTCCTCTTGACTTCTTAGCTTGAATGATTGAGTCGAACAACTGAATGTCTCGATCGTTCGATTGTTTAGTTTCCCTTTCATGGATAAATTCGTTGAAAGCTATGCTAAGGTTAGTATTGTTCACGAAATATAGTATGAAATGGATTTACCTTGTGTCTGTTGCAGCATCGTAATATATTCTTGTTGATCACTTGGGAGACTCTTCAAGAAACCAGCCATGTCAAATCCATACAATTGTCCTCTTGACTTTTGCTCTTTTGATGGTCGCCCAAGGTGCTTTCTATAAGTGTAAAACAAATTTGCGAAACAACGAACGAAAGCCGCACGTACACGATCTGAATGAAAGGCGGATGGACACACAAGTGAACACCAACCTAAACAGCGACCATGACAGACGGTGCTGCATGCGTTACAGCTATACATGCCATCACCCTCGGCCCTTTCATCACAGATTGAACATACGGATCCCATGTCATTGGCGTTATAGACAAAACAATGTCCCTCTACCCATATTGTGGTCTCTGTGTTTCGCACCGGCTGCATGAGCATGTTGGGCATGATTGTTGATGCAGCGATAGTGGATGCTGCATAGGCAGATGGTGCATAAGCAGATGGCGTATAACCATACATAGATTTGCTATCGCCGATGGACACAGCAGAAGTGGAAAGACTAGCCGAGTGACCATTGACAAATGGTGCACTTGGTCTGCGAAGTGTTGGCTGTCGTTCCAAACCAAATGAAGAACTACGTCTCGAGTTTGCATCAAAATGACCAGACCTCTTTTCTCTCAATGTGGCCGTGAGAGCAAAGCCGGAATCATTTCGAGAGATGGGAGTTGTAGGCATTGGTGGGCAATGTCCAGAGACTGGTGACAAGGATGTTGGTGGACTGGTCTTGCTGGACCTGCTGGTGGATGGACGCTCAACCCGAGTATGGTCATTCTTCGATTGCAAGAATGCATTGAAAACCAAAGGCCTCTTTCTCTTTTGTAGATCCGGCTCTCCAAATGTGGTCGAGTTCTGACTAACGTATTTACCCAGAGTCCCAGTAGGTGCATTTTGGGTAAATATCGATTCGTTCTCTGATGAGAATGCATCATAAGGGAAAGTTTCGACAGCATAAGGTGGTGGTGCTACCTCTACGCCACATCTATTGTGATGTGGAGCTGCTAGCTGTAGGAGAGATACAAGCTTTCGACGTTGTTGTCGTGGTAATGACACAGGTGGGGCTGTGGACTCAACCGAATCTTGATCCAAATCCACGAAAACGTAATCATCCTCTGGAAGTACTATGTTATCATATCTCCTTTCAATCCCAACAATATAAGGACAAGGCGCTTCCAGCGCGGAGATCAATCTAGCTGGTAGAACTGGAATGAAAATGCTTGCCCATTTTAGCGGGTATAAGAGACTGACCAAGGCCTTGCTAGCAAGATGTAGCATGGCTGTATGGGATGACAGTAAAATGATTCTCGATTCCGATAACATGAACTCTACCAGAGCGACGATATTGGGTATACTCAAAGCTCTAAATAGTGCATAAATATCGGTGTTTCGTGATTCGGGTAATTCGTTGGGTGCTTCCTTTCGTGCAAAAAGCCGTAGTTCTCGCACTGCAATTTCAATTTGGGTTTTCGAGGATAACGGGCTTAGTGCTTCGGTACACAGGTTGACAACGTACCTCTCCAGGGGTTGCCATCTACCGATTTTTGGCGAGCTTGCAGGAACTCGGAGGATTCCACCGTCTGTCATAGGTACCACAACAGCCTTCAGCCATTCCTTCCAGAAGCTTGTCATACTTCCATCTCTGCCAAGGATTCCATACGCTCTAGGTATCCAAAGCCCCGTCTCGCCATCGGTTAATCCCTCAATTTTGGCTGCTGCGCCGTGTCTGACAGGCCGCAACATGTCAGTCATCAAAGTAATTTTCTCCTCCACCGCGCTGATCTGCTCTTCCAATTGTTCTCTAGCAGCTGAGCCAGAAACAACAGTGGGCAACTCTGCTAGCAACTGCGAAAGATGGGCGCGCTCCGCAGCCAATCGTTCTCCTAAACTAGCTGCAAGTTCGCGCTCTTCGTTCGTCATATGGTCTTGTCTCCAAGCCTCGCATCTTCTCTCGACATTTAAAGCCGCTTCCTGATCCAGTGGCTTCCAAACAATCACCGTAATACCATATATTTTGGAATTATCATCCGAGGTCATGGCGAATCCATGCCAAGTCGATCGTGGTCGTTCGTCAGAAGAAACAATATTGATGTCGTTCGGAAATGCAAACATGGGGACGTAATCAGGGAATCTACCTCTCCTCGGCAATTCCTCTGTCGCATGTTTGGGTGGGTATCTATCAAGTAAAACTGGTTCGAAACGTCGTTTCAAAGGGTGCATATCAGGGTCCAGATTCAGGGGCTCTGGAGGAGGAATGACGGAATTATAATTGCTCAAGCGCCTCGAAGTTCGGACCGACACTATTAAAATTGTCAGTATACGATTGAAAGATATGAGAGGGGTGCGGCTCAGGTTGTCTTGGAGGTATGCAATGCATGTAATATATGTGCCGTGTCGAAACGCGAAATGTAAGACTTACTACTTCTACCTGCCATGGAAGGTTGCCTCTTTACGCTGTTCAGATCCCTGAAGCTAATTCTTCTCCTGATACTTCCACCAACACTCCTCAACGTCGGACTTCTCCTATGTATGTTATCTGCATCTTCCACTCTTAATCTCGAAGTCCTCGGATTTGTCATAGGAGGTGCAGCCTGCGTTGGAGCTCCAGCACTAAAACTCAGATCATCCAGGAAATTCTCCCGCTCGTTCGCAAACTTCAATAGAGCTTTATCGAAGTCGAAATTTGCAAATATTCCTCCTTCGGCTTTCGCGCCATTTCCATTTCCATTTCCACTACCACTACCATTTCCATTTCCATTTCCATTTCCATTTCCATTGCCATTTCCATTTCCGTTTCCATTCCCGTTACCATTACCATAAATATGACCGATTTCACCCGCTTTTATTGTCATGCTACTTCGATTGCTCGCAGTCATCCCCTCAAGCTCGTCAAGAGTGGATATTGAGCTTCGCGAATCGTGCGAAGTTTGTTTGCTGAGACGATTCCATGAGTTGTTGCGGGAATGGCGTGCTGAAGCTCGGTTGGTATTTGGAGGAGGTGAGTTTTCACCTTCGGGACTTTCTTCTATCGTGGCATCGACTTGAGGAGAGGGGGGCGTTTGTATGTTGTTGTTTGATCTATCCCTTTGGTTTGAGGGGAAAACCTCGGGTCCATACTGTAAAGAGTCAATCCCCGCGATCCAGAAGTAATCTGCGAGAGGAGCCGAAGTAGAATCGTTCTCCATGGCGAAAGGTAATTTATTCGAGGTAAATGCACAGGATTCGTTCGAGTTGAAGGTTGTATTGGCAGATTTGCCGGTGGTAGGTTACTGAAAGCCCTTTCAGTATGACATTGAATCGAAGAGTGGTGGACGCTATTACCGCGAACTTCAGGAGAAAGTGATTAGATGTGGAGAGGGAGGGAGGGATGATGAAATATTTCGTGGATAAAGTGAGAGAAGTTCCTCGTAATCTCAAGCACCTGGCGAAAGTCTCTATGCTTTTTCCAACAAAGTAATGAACAGCGAGGACCTTTTTGAAATTTGGTGGCCTATCTGAGAGGGATATGTTGCGAAGAACCAAGGTTGATGCTGGAAGGGAAGATTTGTAGATCAGACCCTTTGGAATACGGTGGACAATGAAGCTATGAAGTACTTCCCCTTGATCCCCACTGTTGCTTAATCAAATCAATCAATCAATCAGCAGCACCTTGGCCCTTGGGTAAACTGTTGGAGTACAGGACTTGGATTGATTAGCACGTTGAACCTCGGGAAAAGGGTAAAAAGAAGGGCGAAGCAGGCAGGCAATGAATTCTTTTTCCAAGAAATGAAAAGTAGAAAACTAGATAGAATTAAGATGAATGAATAGTAAGTAATTGATTTGATTTGATCAAGAGAGAAAGAGTGAATTGACCAATTGAGGGAGGGAGACAGACGTAAGGACCAAAAGAGTAAAGAAGAAGAATGGGTAAAAAGCAAAGGATTGAATATTCTAAAGTAACTCTAAAGTAACTCTAAAGTAACTCTAAAGCATTTATGGTTCTGACTAGAGAGGACGGGTACAGGAAGGTAAATGGTAAAGTTGTTGTATGGGGAAGGGGAAGGGGAATGTTGAATGTTGTGGGTGTGGGTGTGTTCAAGGCAAGGTACACAAATAAAGTAAGTAGTGCAGTGCAGTGCAGTGCAGTGCAGTCCGTACCTGGGGATTATTTTTGGGGTTTGGTTGGATTGGATTGGATTAATAAGTTTGGGGGATGAATGAATGGATTAATAATAAAATGCATAATTTGATCTGGACTGAATTGAATGTCTCTAGTTTATAGGTAATAATAAGTCTTATGTTTCTCTTAAATCCCTTCTCTCTTCTTTCCTCTCTTTCCTCTTTTCCCTCCAGTTCTCTTGACACTCCCTCCCTGGGATCTATCCATCTACCAAGCATAATATAAAAAGCGCGTGTCACCTTAAAAATTACTATTCCTTATCGTTCCCTAGGTAGCGAATGATCTTCTCCAGGGAAAGCAGAGAAAAAGCAAATGGATTTTCAATATTAAATGAAGTAATATAAAAAAGAAACTTCATAATGCTATTTATTCTTATAGGTACTCTGATCATTAATGTTTATACATCATCAGATACACGGACTACAGTATATAGTATATCTCGGTATATAGTTTAGGTACGAGGTAACATCAATTCATCTTGACTTGTATACCACTACAATCAATCATCTTCAATCATCCATCTGCAATACTCCTATACTACCTCGTACTCATTTCTATAACCTTCACCATATCAATCCTCTCATCAAATCACCCTTCGACATCGCACTCGCGTTTCCCGATAAGTGAAAATCATTTGTCAGACAAACAAGGGAGTTATCACAATAATAATAATCCATCCCATCCATCCATAGTCCAAGGATCTGAGGATTGAAAGAAGGGATCAAAATCAAATCACCTTGGTAACCTTTTTTCCCTCCGTAAACTGATTGTCACCCCTAGTATAGCGTTTGCCGATCTTCCTTCCAGGTACACACTAATCATGAATGGCCTTGTGGGTAGACACAGACACAAAGCCCACTGTGGTCCAAGAATAAGATGCTTTGAGAAACAAAACGGCTTTCTAGCTTAGAATCGATACTCGCACAGTCTGTATCCATATTTACATTGTTACATCTAGTGATAATGAACGTGTATTTATTATACGTGTACTCGATATATCCTCCACAGAGTGAGCCCATTCATCATTCTTTATTTATATACGAGTTAATAATATTTTCATCTGAATCAATACTAATCCTGCCAATACTACTTTCCTCCCAGGACATACATACTTAATACATACTTTACTAAGCACTATCACCAGTCTAACATCTCGATCCATCCATCCATTCAATAAACCGGTCCGCCACAACTTCCATAAGACTCTAGCACAAAAAAAAATACATAAGGACCCCTTACCCAAAAGAACTAGAACTCGAACATCGCCTCCCAAGTATCAATGAAAGCAACCAGTCATCCATCCATCCATCCAATCCAACGTTCCTCCAATTGCAACCTTTCCAACGCGCAACATACATACGCGAATACACACGCCAAATAAGTTTCCGGACGAAAGTACTCGTAATGGCGTGGCATAGGTAACTAACTTCAAACCAAGTCTGGTCCGAAAACGGACGCAAAAGGCGGATGGATGCAAAAGGGTACCTGACTTTCATTTCCTCATCCAGCAAACTACTTTCAACGCCTAGAACGTTTTCTCCTAGCTGCCGATTTCCTAGACTGTAGTAGTGTAGTGTAGTGTGGTACGAAAGGATACGATATCCGAAACTATTATTATAATACTATAATAAGGAACAACTATTGTAGGTAATAAATTGTCGGGATCTTATCAATATGACACAATTGATAGAATAAACAATGTGTATTTTTTATGCTTAGTGATATGCCCTCAAGGGATTGTTTTGGTCTACAGGTTTTTATTCAAGCGACTTTTGAAATAGAAAGGAAATTAAAGAAGGTAAATATTATAATTATAAAAAGAAGATATTATAATACAAAGAATATATATTATAGTTTATTTATTATATTAAAGGTTTATTTACAATTTAAACTTTAATAAATCCTAATTATAATATTTGAAATTGTTTAAGTGAATGGTTCCTGCGTAGCACGTGCACAGGGCACTAGTCCTATTAGGACTAGATTGAGAAGCTCTCTGTAGGAGAGCTTCGCACTTCCGTAGAACTTAGATAATGAGTGATTCAGATACAAGACCAATATAGCCTCAGTTCTGCCCTATCAGCTTCCCACTATTCCCTGTGTAAGGTCATTCCTTTTAACAGAAATCAAATTAAAAAAGAGAGGATTTAACTATTTTTTTTTTGCTATTATCATTATAATATATATACTATTATTCAGATTATTAATCTCTAATGATTATTTTTTTCTTTGTTGGTATTACTTCATTTAGATATTTCACTGTTACGACGGGCTACACAACTACCAAGACACGTGATCACAAATGATCAATAGTGATCATTAAGGATCACTAAGGATCACGGTATAGGTGATCACTGATGATCATTAAGGATCACTAAGGATCACGGTATAGGTGATCACTGGTGATCATTAAGGATCACTAAGGATCACGATATAGATGATCACTAATGATTATGAAGGATCACTAGTAATCATGGAAGCATGAAGGTCTATATAATCAAGATGGATTTCCTTTGTATAGAGCTTCGTGCTCAAGATCAATCATTTAGTATATCCTACTATTAGTTACGAATTGCATTTCATTATTGTCATTACTTAAGTCCCTGCTTGACGCCTAGTTATAAACCACCTCGAGAGCCTAGAGCACTTCCACGTGATCTAGACGGCAAACCTCGTAACATTCACTTCTTGATATTTTTGAATTTTATACTTGCAATGTCACACTCAAGAATACTGGGTAAAGTATCTTGTATTAGAAAATACTAAGCTAGGGAGAAAAAGAAGAAGGAAAACAAGAGTAGAGAGTTTTCCTGTGATTAAATACAAACGGGGCATGCCACGTGACCTGGAGGTGTGAGGCGTCACATGCAAATCAATAGAAAGAATAGTATGCTATGAGATAGAGTTCTGCTATGTTATATCGAAAATCCAAAAATCCGATTCGTACTTATTTCAGTTTTAATGGGAAATCATTCCCCTTAGTACTGCGATTAGTGATATGTTACGACGGGCTACACAACTACCATCACATGACCAAGGCACGTGATCACAAGTGATCATAGAAGCATGAAGGTCTATATAATCAAGATGGATTTCCTTTGTATAGAGCTTCGTGCTCAAGATCAATCATTTAGTATACTCTACTATTAGTTACGAATTGCATATCATCATTGTCATTACTTAAGTCCCTGCTTAACGCCTAGTTATAAACCACTTCGAGAGCCTAGAGCACTTCCACGTGATCTAGACGGCAAACCTCGTAACAATAATAAACTACTAATCTTCATCCTCATCTCCATCTCCATCTCCATCTCCATCCCCATCTCCATTTCCATCTTCATCCACCATCCATCATTCCTCAACCTCATATCCAAACCATACACACACATCAACAAAATAACACATTCTCAACCCTGCAAACCAAATCATAAGAATATATCCACAAAGCAGCAAAGCAAAAGGAAACTCTTAAATTCTCATCCTAAAAGCAAGACGTAATCTTATATATAGACTTTCGTCTTTCTCTCCCTTCCTTTCCTTTCCTTTTCCTTTCCTCTCCCCAATTTAGGAAGATATCACCAATCGCACTCCTAACATAGCACATAGCACTTCATTCCCACGTTAGCTTTTGGAGACAAGAGAAGAAAAAAGTATCTAGGTATTCCGAGATATTCATCGCACCACAACATCCTTCTGCAGTTTACTCGTCAAAAGATTGTAAACGTAATTGTAACTGTAATTTCTAAGGGGGAAAAAAAAACTCCATTCACCATCCATATATGCATTTTTAGAATCCATACTCCTTTATGATAAATAAAAAGAAATTTGATATATGGGAGGAAAAATTCCACCATAATGCCACAATGCCACAACTGATTAACGTAAGAGGTATCTCGATTATCAAAGCTGAAGTAGAAGAATAGATTGTGGAAGTTCAGAGATTGCAAATCACTGATATAAGTGTCATAAATATGACAGGTTTACAAATACAAACTCTGCGCCGCAACGATATCTCTCCTGATTTTCTTAAGCGATTCGTCGAATTTATTTGATACCTCATCTGAGCCCATGACCTTTCCTGCTTGGGCCATTTGTCTGAGAAGTTCTTCAAGACGACGGAAGAGACGGATGAGGGATCCTTCGTAGACATCTGTCATTTTACTGTAGAGATATGTTAGTTATTTTACATACGAGAAACTCAAGGCGACAAGGGATGTAGGAGTGTGAGAACTTACCAAATCTCCGCAAAACTCTTCCCCTGTGCCCAGACATAAACAACTTCCATAAGTTGCCATTTAAAACTAGTCACATATTCTTCCTCATTCATCTTCAATTTACTCTCCGCAGTAACTTTGGCGATGATCCTAGCTTGAGCTTGAATTTCTCGATATTTGGCTGCCAATTCCTCTTTCAGTGGAGGACATTGACTCTTTTCTTCGAAAATGAAAACTGAAAGGACAGCTGCGCACATTTCAGGAGTTAAATCATTGAAATAACCATTGAATAGAAGTTCGGAGAGAAGAAGTTCGTGACCATCACCGGTAGATGAGATTTCACACGCGACACGGGCCTTGAGCTCGACTACTTCTTGTTCATTTATGAAACCTAGCCGACGAAGGACACGTTTGCGGGATTTAAGTTCATCGAGTTGCATGATACTTAAAGCGGCGGTGATAGCCTTGCGTTTTTCTTTAATTTGTTTGGTGATGTCTAGTTTACCGGCATATTGGTTGTAGAGATCTGGGAGACGGGGAGAATTGTGGAGGGGGTTTGAGAGTAGACGGGATTCAAGAACTTCAATTTTGCGAAGAAGTCTCTTGAATGAATCATCTGTGATACCCATGTTTTCGATAGGATCGAGGACCGCGATACCATCTGGGAAACGGCGTTTGACTTCGTCGAGAGATTTACGAATTTGATTTCGTTCATTGGCTGGATGAAGGTCCTTTGGAAGAAAGATACGAACATGTCCAATAGCTTCAACGCATGACAGAAGTACTGGAACAACTTCCATCTTGCCCTTATCGCCCTCACCCGGTGGTGTAATACCCAATGGCAAGTCATTTTGTGTTTGTGTGCCAACGATACTGTCTGAAGAAACTAACAAAAGCACATCGAGGATGTATGATTGTTGTGGGGCGTATTCTACCGAAGATCCCTTGGCAGGTCGTCGTGGTGTAAATTTGACAACTGCTCCCCAACCAAAATCATGATTTTGGTATTTGATATGAACAACTCGTCCTGGTTGCATGAACTGCAGACAATAGTTAGGGTGGTTGATGACATCGCGCATATCCTTGGTGTATGTAGTAAGCTGTTGTCGAAGATCGTAGTAATCTTTAATGGTTGCTTCATCTGGAATTTGAACATCATCTCTTGCAACTTGCAAATCTTGAAGTTCCTTTTCAAGACCAGTGACACTTGAAGTGTTCTGGAACTGGTAAAAACAATGTTCTAGCATAAATTCCGGTGAAATTCCCTCCAAACGCATCAAGTTAAGAATCATGTTATAACCGAGGTAGAAAGCTGAATTGAGCTTGTCCTGCTCTCCTCGTACAATTGTCTTAGCACTCTCTGGCTCCATCTTGTCATTTATCATCATGATAACAATACCTCTATCATCAAGACCACGACGACCAGCACGACCAGACATTTGTACGAATTCAGATGGTGTCAAATATCGCATCTTCTCACCATCAAACTTCTCAACGCTAGTGAAGACGACAGTCTTGGCAGGCATATTCAAACCAATAGAGAAAGTCTCTGTAGCAAAAAGAACCTTGATCAAATTCTCCTGGAACAAAATTTCGATAGTTTCCTTGAGGATAGGAAGAAGTCCAGAATGATGCACACCAATACCACGTCTCAACAATGGCAAGATGTGCTGGATTTGTGGTAGTGTCCTATCTTCTTCTGATAAAGACTCAATTGCACTCTCGAAGACTTTCGAAACCATGTCCTTTTCCGATTGGTCGTTAAAAGCCATGGAGCTCATTTGCAATGCATATGCCTCGCACTCTCTCTTACTGAAACTGAAAACAATAACAGGATTGTAGTGCTTCAACATGATCATTCGAACAATCTTATAAATATCCGATCCCTCTTTATTGGCACCCTTGTTGGTCTTCTTATCTTTACCACGCCCCTTTTGCTTTGCGTTGATATCTGCTGGATCAGACCCTTTTTTCTCCTCAATTGTTGCCATGGCCTTTGAAAAGTTATCTTCTCTGAAGTTTCCCTTCTCATCAACAATCAAATGTATACCATCTGCACCAGCTGGGAAGAAATAGTGCTGTAAGGGGGTAGGTCGGAAATCCGTGTAAACAATGTGACATGGTTGATTATGAGTTTTTGTGATCCATTCAGCAAATTGCATAGCATTCGGAATAGTTGCAGACAAGAAGACATATCTGACCTTATCCGGTAATAAGATGATAGTCTCTTCCCAAACCACACCTCTGGCTTTGTCTCTCATGTAATGAATTTCATCAAAGACAACCCAGGCAACTTCTCTCATAATCTCAGATCCTCGGTATAACATAGATCGTAGAATTTCTGTTGTCATAACCAGACAGGTCGCGGTTGGGTTGATTGTAACATCACCAGTCATTAAACCAACATCTCCAAAATCCGCAGTAAATTCTCGATATTTCTGATTACTCAAAGCTTTAATGGGACTTGTGTAAATGACTCTCTGATTATTCTTGAGGCATTGCGCGATCGCATATTCTGCTGTAACAGTTTTTCCCGCACTGGTATGCGCCGATACCAGCACACTCTCATTTCTCTGAATTGATGCAATGGCAACCTTTTGGAAAGGATCCAATTCGAAAGGCCAAGTTCTAGCAGGTTCAGCGGGGGCCTTGTGCTGTGATATCGGAATGTAATCGTAATCTGGAGGTAAAGAAACTTGATGTTGAATGTTGTGCTGTAGTACCAATGCCTTTTCTTCTGGGGCGCCCTGTAATCCTGCAGAAGCAGCCAATTCTCGCGATTGTGCTGTCTCGAAGGTATCCGTAACCACTGGTTCGGATTCTGTTTCCTTTCTGCGTCGTTTTGCGTCCTTCGCTTCACTAATCTCGTCCACTTCTTCAATATCCTCTTCCTCTGCATCTGCTTCTACCACAGGTTCCTCAGCATCAACCATCTCGGAATCGCCATCCTGCGCATCAGAAATTGGCTTCACATCACCATTCGCATTTCTTTTCTTGCTGCGATCTTTCTTGTCTTTCTTTGCCTTTTTGGGTCTGCTAGGAGCAGCCGTCTGTGGTTTATCCTCGAAAGCGTCAAATAAGTCATCCATACTGAATTATGTCGTATCGCATTAATCAGGATCGAAAGGTAATTGCGGTGTGTTGATAATTCTTAAAATTATCAAAAAAGTCGAAGATGTGAAATTAACATAGATATTTTTTTATTATCGCTCCGGGCCATTATCCTGGCACTATCTCTGATAAAGTCCCATTCTTTAGCTTTAGCCTTAGGCATTAAAATTTCTGGTTGTTCCCTCCTCACTAGTGCCAAACCAAGCTTCATCAAAATCATCCGATTGACTGTTTCCTCCAAATACAAACCAGAACCCGATATTCAAGGTAATACCTTACTGTTGGGCCGCCGCAGAAGTATTCGCTGATGTACTGTCAATAGATGTTATCCAGAGCAGCCGTCCGCGCATCCTCCACAACCTCAATGGTTGCCCGCCGTGGCTTCCACTCTACCCGCGCTCAAATGGGTTCACCATACCATTACCCTGAGGGACCACGAAGCAACATTCCATTCAACCCAAACACAAGATTCTTTGCTTTAAGATACTGGGGATTCATGGCTGTTGGATTCGGTGAGTGAGAAGAACATCTTCGCTGGAGAGAGGGGTATTAGGGAGTCGTACTAATATTGGACATAGGTGCTCCATTCGGCATTGCTGTCTGGCAAACATGCAAGAACCAATAGAGGCTTTTGTTAGAGAATGTTGCACTGGGAGGATAGCTTGAAGCGATTGGTATTGAAAACTAGAAGGGTAGGAATGGGATACACAATACAATATTCTCACGTATTTAAGTTCATTCTTCTATATCGATTGTGCTTGTTTCCTACGTACCCATCTTCATCATGGCCTCTATGCATGATGTACAGCCATAGCAGCAAACCATGATCTCTTGAAAATGCATTCCTATCCCAGGCGAAGCGGCTCAAGACAACCCCTCACTCATCTAATCATAGTAGTATCTTACTGGACATCCCCCTCAAGACTGGACTTTCACTTTAGTATCAAAGGTATGCCTATCTGCTGCTTTTAGAGCAAAACATCCTCTAAACTCCTCTTGGACTCCCGATAACTCCGCCATTGCACTCTTCATATGATCAGGATCGCTTCCATTCTGAACCTCCACACTAGCAGTGAGAATCCATTTGTCTTCAGCATCAAACGGTTCCAACAATTCAAATGGTGGCAACCTGCTGTTCACCTTAGGGCGTGAATTGCCATCAACTTCTTGAAACTCGGAAGGGACTTCAAAGTAACGACTAAGTGTGAAAACTATATTGTTGTGAACTGTCCGGTGACATTCTTGAATAATCTCTCGCGTGAATCTATTAGATGTTTAATGACTGGGATAATTATTTAGTAGTGATTGAACGAACCGGTGATTGCTGTCTTGTAGAAGTTTACATAATGACTTTTCATTGTCAATGGCAATGAACATCCTGCTATTCACGATGGCGGCATTTGCTGGATCTGGGAGATCATTCCATCGCAAAGTACCTGGAACCTCATCACATGGCAGTAGGCCCCTATTTTTGGTTAATAGCCAATCATGAAGGCATAGATAGCCTTCAGAACAATCACATTCTTTGGCATGGCAGCAGTGGAAAGTACTTACGATTTGTCCTCTCCACTACCAAGCTCCTTTGCTGGCTGACCAAATTGGCTTCTATCAACATCATATATAAGAGTAAGAACATAAGATTGACGAATCAGCTGATCGTTAAGATTCTTCCACCAAAATTGTTTATTCGGCGGTTGCTTTTTGAGAAAGGAAGGATCAAGGCCTTTCAAATTGGTCCGACTCCGAGGACCTTCGAATACTAATCGTCGTCGAATAAAGGGCTGTGGTATCATACCACAATAGCCTTGTAATATCCGCAGAGCACGAGAGACATCTTCGCTATCCACTGATGCTGAGAGGAATAGCTCATGCATGATGATTTGGCAAGGATTGAGTTTGGGGAGGCCGAAGTACGGAGGGAATGTCTTGTCTAGGTTGTCTTACACCCGGAGTAAGTGTTTGCTTATTGTGATATACTTTTTGGGGGGATCAAAGCAAGGGAGAGTTTTCGCGGTGAGATTTTATTCTGGTAGGAGTTCAAGAGGTGGTGCGTGGAAATCAGATAAGTGCTCATAGGTATTATGAGTAGGTACTTTTATGAGACCGTATTGTTGGTATTATGTGGGGATAGCCTTTTCCAATGTTCAGTTCTTTCCTCAAGTATAGATAGAGTGATAGATGGCATTCAATTTTGAGATGAATGAATCGGACTCCGGCTTGTGAAACCTCTGTATTATAATTAACTCTACGGAGTATATCTCCCCAGGCGGGCCCCAGAGTTTAGAACCAGACGAGGCTATCGAGGCTGAAAGAGCTTGATGAGATGGGGGAGGGGATTTCTTGGTTGATAAATTCACTTTGACCAATGAACGAATGAGCCAATAATGCTTTATCTTTATCTCGCTTAAATATTATTGATTGACCCTACATAACCCGTAATCCGATCATTTCCAAATGCATAAAGGGAAAGAAGAAAGAAAAAGAAAGAGAAAGGGAAAAGATGCAAAGGTCCTCGGTTAGTTCATCATGATACTAAACATCATATGTCAATCATGAAATGAAGGATTGTTGGAAATCTCAAAATCTCAAATCTCAAAGTTCGTCTCAAATGTCAAATGTCAAAAAAAGTCAATCCTATGGCTTGTGAAGACCCATCTATCCGGACCAACCGTTGAATGTTACTGTATCAGAAATAACCCCCAAAGTATGTTAGCGATGTAGCGATGCACGCCCGTCCTGCAAAGCAAAGCATTCTGGGGATAGGGAAATGCTCAGATAGTCTCAAAAACCTTTATTAGAATTTATGAGATCCTTGATACATGCATCACGCCATCAATCCATCAACCAATGGATTATCAAAGAACGGATGTCCGATAAGAAAAATCCAGTTGATTGATAATTTATCGTCTGAGGAAATTGGCGATAATCAAAAAATATATCGGAGGTGGCCTCTTATTAGTGACTGACCCCGCACAACTACTCGAGTACACCAACAGAGAGCCTCCTCTGAATTCTATTAAAGACTGTTGGATTTGCTGATTTCTCTTGAAAAGCCCTTTGATTCATTCATATTTATTCTATTTTTCAAGAAAAACATTATCTTACACAGCCAATAAGATTTTAAATAATTACAGCTTCATAGACAAGACCGACGTCTTTTTTTCAAGAGCTGTTCAAAAAAACCCCATTATCATATCCATTCACTAGTGGAAGCCTATCTAAATTCCCCCATCCGGATTCCGAATCTTGTCCCACCCACAATCCATCTTAAAGCTTTGGAAATTCCGAGCTCTTTTCGTTTTGACAACTTAACTTACGACAATCTCTTCCAGCAACTCAAACAGAGGCAGACGACTTTTCACGTTGCACATCTTCTCAAATCCTTCAGACGTGTTTCCTAATTACTTTTTAAATCCTCTTCTCAACTATCAAGATGTTTGCGACCAAGGTTCTCCGTCAAGCCTCTGCTGCTGCTGCTCACTCTGAGCGTACTCCATTGATCAGGTTCATGGGCAAGAGATCAATTCCTTGTATGTATGATCCAATCTTCAATATGTTCTTTAATCTCATTCTAAAAATTTAATAGCTTCCATCGATCACTCTGCTCGACCACACCCAGCATCCCCAAGCCACGAACTTCCAGCAGGCTTTGCTGAGGCTCAAAAGTCTTCCTCCTTTTCTTCCTACAGACAGAAGGCCCAACAGCATGGTCCACTCGGTCGCGGTGCCAGTAACGACGGCACCATCGGTTCTCTCTCCGGTAGAGCTTTAGGCTCCGTCGCTCCAAACAAGGGTGAATACTTCGATCGCAACGAATTACCTGCACGTTTCCGCCGCATTCCAATTGACCTTGCCGAGATTGATGCAATCGAAACCGGTGGTGCTACAGTTGTCTGCTAAGTTTGAACTTTGAGAAGAAGAAGAGAAAACTCTATTGTACAATTATGGCTCGCTACGGAAAAGTGATGGATTAAGGCAGGATATACCCATTAAAACGACGACTTTCATAAAGCTCTGGCAATAGATGAATGAAGTTAATCGGTAGAGACTTTTTCAGGTCAGGGAAATAAGCTCCAAGTCACGGTTATGCAGTTTGGGATGGACAAAAGGGATATGATGTTCGGACGAGTGGCACGGAAAAGTTGCTTTTACAGGGAAGTCGGAGCAGGTATCATGTTTGCTTTCGGACTTCTCTTGTCTGTCTTTACTCTGGAGTATTGGTTTTGGGAAAGTCTTTTGAGGAATGGTACTCTGAATCATCAGACGAGTTGAGTGAGGCGGGAATATAATTAGATCAAAATACACCACATCACGTGCACGAATCATGGTTCTAAACTAATTTGTGGTCTACTACCTTTAGTGTCGCACTTGGAAACACATATATATATTCGTGATATTGATATGCACCTGGCGCAATAGACATGCGAATAGTTATAACTTATTTCAAATTCAAATGACCACCAATCGCTAAGGATGATCCCTTTCCGTTATGTCGCCTCTTCCATAAATACATCATCCAATTGTCAAAAATATTGATACATCCCAAGTACTCATTTCAGCTAAAGAAATAATTAACAATCTATACAAGAAATATCCACTTTCCCAATCATGTCCAAGCTAAAGGAAATCAAAGAAGTAAATCAATCCGGCAAACTCATCGCTACATACATTCAATCACATGCGCATAGTACTTCTCTCGATCAGAAAGATTCCCGAATCGACATCCATGTATGTTCTCTCCACCATTGACTATACTTGCAAGGTCCACAACTAATCATAATACGAAACAGATACCCAAAGGTCCATCAACATGGGTCTCGAGCTTAACAGGAGCATTCCTCCCAGTTGGATATCCCGATAGTGTGACGGAGGATTATACTGCGTGTGTACCATGTCCTATTCATCTCTTATATCTATTATGTGAGAAGCTCGTTAGGCTAATAGAGATTAATAGATATCAGTTTTTTGTGAGCATTCTTGGGATGGAAATGCGAGGAGATCGGTCTAAGAAAAGGAATATGCTGATTTGAAGAAGGATTCTGTGCAGGCTTTTGCTAGTACCATTGCGGGGTTGCTTGCTAGTAGGGCTGTTCTTCAGGGTACGTGGTTTTTCTTATTTTGAAGTCTAGTTTGGCTTTCGAGGTGGTTCGTATGGAGTTTTGTTTGAGTTTCTATGGGAAATATGTTGCACTGGTCTATTGTTTGGATTCTTTGGTATAAGTTCGTCCAGACGTTTGTCCGAGTTGGTACACTACACTTTTGGCATCATCGTATCTAGATTTCCTGTGTGCAATATTGGCACAAGCTATCATTTAAACTCCTTTCGTATAATCTAATCCAGCTATAGGACTCGGCGTAGGCGATTCTACCGCATCAGCAACCGGCGCAGTTCTCCTCAACGTCCTCCAAGAATCAGCAGGTCGTATTGCTACCATTCTTTTCGCCCACCGACTCGGCAGCGCCTTAGAGCCCGAATGCAAAAAATATCGTCTCATGGCTGATATCTTCAATGATGGGGCTATGATTTTAGATTGCATATCACCTGCTTTCCCAAAGGTTCCTCGTGTGTTTCTCTTGAGTGCTTCGAGTGTTTGTAAATCTTTATGTGGAGTGGCGGCAGGGAGCTCAAAGGCCAGTTTGAGTGCTCATTTTGCTAAGCAGGGGAATTTGGCGGAGTTGAATGCTGTGAGTCGTCTTATTGAAGGGGTAATAGGTTGATGTTGACATAATTATAGAAAGATGCAAGTCAGGAAACCCTCATATCCCTCCTTGGTATGCTGGTAGGAACTTTTGTCGTTTCCAGAATATCGTCACAAACAGCTACGTGGATTGCTTTGATTAGTCTCCTTTCCATCCATCTCGGTACGAACTATCTGGCTGTACGTTCCGTTACAATGCGCACTCTCAACAGACAACGAGCAAATCTAGTCATTTCAGACTTCGTCTCAAATATAAACGCCGAGAAGACTAGATTCAATCTTCCTACCCCCAAAGATATATCCCGCAAAGAACGGATCTTTGAAAGAGATGGCGCCATTCGACATATCCAAGGCGTCGTACTCGGCTATTGCAAAGTCGGAGTGAGTCTACGAGAAATCCTCTCTTCAATATCTAGCAGTCCCACCGTCTCCGGAAGCTACAAAGAAGAAACGAGTTCAATCATCACTTCCCTTTTCAAAATATACAAAAATCAAGGCTACGTAATGTGGTACTCCCGTCGTCAAAACACCTTCCTCGTAATCCTCAAAGAAAATACTGCTCCCTCCGTCCAACTAGACGCTTGGTTCCATGCCGTGTGGGCTTTATCCGTTTCTTCTTCCCCTGCTGTTGGTAACTCTACGAATGGAAGTGATCAGGATATTTTAAAATGGATTGAGGATTCGCTGAGAGATTCTTCCTTGTGTAAAGAAAAGGCGAATCTGTACGAGGAGTTACGAAATAAAGGGTGGGATCTTGATACGGCGGCTATGGAGGTTCGGGCTGGCAGTCGACTTGTTGTTTCAGGGGGAGAAGAGTAGAGTGAGCATTTTGGGGGTGAAGGATTGGTGAGATTATGTATTCATCGTGTGTGGTTATTACTGGGTTGTTAGATTTGGGGGTTTCAAGTTGGGCAGCAGAGGTCCTGCAGATGTCCTCCAGATACAAGTAGAAGTATTAAAGACTATTTAGTATAGAATACCGAAGAATGTAAAACGTAATTATAATTAAATTCGAGAAACACATTCCCAACTACGAAGACAGTTATGTATTATATACAGAAGACTATATTATAATTACCTAGTATATAAAAGACATTCAAAACCTTGGGAAGTCATCTCATTTATTATTTATCGAATCTTCGTGTCTAATTAAAAGATCAGGATTTTAGGATTCGGAATTATATATTTTTGTATTTATATCCTTATATGATATAAGGCTTCGGGTATAAATATGAATTTATTATCTTTTAAAGGGTAACTGATTGTGTAACTTTTTAAGGGATTGAAGTATGGGAAGTGTGGAAGGGTTGAATAAAGGATCAAAGAGTCGAAGTATTAAAGGATAAACTTAGACTAGGGATCACCTATTGCGAGTCTTGTAAGAATTTCCAAGGTACTAATCGTTTATGGATTCAGATATTGGAGATAAAAGAGTGATGTGATTCATGCTATACGTCTTGTGCTCTGGATTATACAGCTAGATGTTCTTGAATGTCTCCATTCCGTGTTTTTATTTTGATATATTTAATATATATTGTATCTGACTGCATATTGTACAGCTCAACTAGAGCAGAGAGTACCTCTTTTAGCCTTTACGTGAACATCAATGGTTCATCCCAACAGAGACACCGTAACACCTGGCCTATACAATCCAATATCTACTTTTTCATCTATCCCATTCGTTAATCATACATATTATCCTATATCTTTCCTCCCTTCACCTCATCCGCCGATCCTACATATCCTCTGAATGTTTCAGAGTGAGTGAAAAGTGGAGCTTTCAATGAATCAGATATGATTTGACTGATATCGAAATGTTTGACGCATATCCACTATGCGGAGGAAGTATAGCAGAATCCATTCTTAAACTCCTTAGGGAATGCATTAACCCTCGTCTGGGTTCCAAATCGCGCCAGGGCTTTTGTGGTATTCGTCCATCCTTTCTCCGTGAAAAGCTGGAAGTAGTATACTTGTGACTAGAGCGCTTGATCTCGGGGGTCTGGCCGGCCTTCCCAACTCCTCATCTTCTTCCCAATCTAGAGATTTAGTTCAATAATTTCCAGGCCCTCATCTTCCATCCCTCCAATGTATTCAACTTGGGCCGAACATCTAGGAAGAAATTTAATTTTCCATTTCCATCTGGAGATGCTTTGCCAGCGTAAAAATCTATTATATAATCGACTCTCTTGCCACAACGATCAACAACCCAATCATGACGATCAAAGGGAGCGGTATATCCTAGGAGCGTATTGATGCGAGCCTTTGGGGAGAGCGTTTGCGAAAGCCCGAGGAAAGAATGGAGACGAGGTCCACCGCATCTTGAGATTTGTTAGTTCATATCCCATCACATAAATTTTGGAAGAAACGTACTTCTCACTTCCCCAGCCTGCCTCCCACTCCCTAATCTCCTTCCATGCTCGCTCATTGACAGCATTATGAATTGGCACAATAGTCTTCATATCTGCGGCATCAGATTGATGGCCCTTGCGCTTCATGGCTTCGAAGAACATTTTCTCGGAGGGGTAAATCCAGTTACCGGATGTGGAGACGCCTGACTCAGATTCAGAATTTGCAGGATGAGATGTAGAGGAGGATGGGGTATCATTTGGAGTAGGGGAGGCGCGGGGAATGGTGGATATTTCGCGGTCGAGGCCAAGGCGGGGTTGAGAGGTTGTTGATTTAGAAGTAGTTGGTGGTTGAGAAGGTGTTGAAGATGAATTGTCCCATAAGAATAATCTAGAGAAGAAACTCGAGGGCGTATGTGTGGGAGGAGTGGCTTGATCAACAGTAGAAGAATCACAACTTGGGCCCGGTTTCGCTGGAGGGGTTACGCCTGGAAAAGGTGGTTTACTGGAATTGTTTTTGAGCCATGCGGAGCGTGTTGCATGGTCAACGGGACAGGCTTCTATGCCTTGTGTTGAATCGTTTTTGGACATTTTTATGGTTGTGTTCTTGTAAATGAAGTGTGATTGTTAATACAAATATTCTGTGTCGGATGAAGCTTCAAAACATTATTTTGCCTTATCTGCTGATCTTGACCCTCATTGAATTACTTAGTATGTCTATTGATTGGTGAATCTTTGTACCTCTTGACGGATTATACTTTTACCGATAGGCCGATATTGACCGCCTTTGATATTTTGCAGTGGTTGGGTGGGATGAACTGGGGTTTGTTGTCAATAAGGATAAGGAGGGACCTTTAATTTCCCTAAGAAGAAGACTATTGAAATATTGAAATAAATACTCTTTTTGTATTTTTTTTTCTTCGAAAAAGAGTGAACTTTATTACTTTACATCCAATTCACAATCCTCTAAAATGGCAGACACAAAGATTTATCAAGCTAGTACAACGGCTCCAGTCAATATCGCGGTAGTCAAGTAAGTAAAGCTACCCCTCTACGCATCTCATTGTTCTTAACTCTATTTATTATGCTTCTCAACACCCTTCGACTAACGCATTATCTCACTCACCAGATATTGGGGAAAACGTGATGCGAAGCTAAACCTCCCAACAAACTCTTCCATCTCAGTAACTCTCTCCCAAAATGACCTCCGCACCCATACCACTGCTTCTTGCTCTTCCACCTTCACCGAAGATACCCTCCTCCTCAATGGCTCCCCCCAAGATATTTCCAATGCCCGCACTCAAGCCTGTTTCCGCGAACTTCGCTCCTTACGCTCTGCTCTCGAGGAAGCCGATTCTTCCCTCCCAAAACTTGCATCTTATCCTCTAAAGATCATCTCAGAAAACAACTTCCCTACTGCTGCAGGTCTCGCTTCGTCTGCCGCTGGCTTTGCGGCGCTCGTTAGAGCTATTGCGAACTTGTATGAGTTGAAATCCAATCCTACTGAACTATCAAGAATTGCGAGACAGGGCAGCGGTTCTGCCTGTCGTTCTTTGTTTGGTGGTTATGTGGCTTGGGAGATGGGCCAGAAAGAAGACGGATCTGATTCTGTTGCTGTCGAAGTTGCACCCGCTTCCCACTGGCCTACTATGCGCGCTCTCATCCTCGTAGTTTCTGCGGAGAAAAAGGGAGTTTCCAGTACCTCTGGTATGCAAATCACAGTAGCGACATCGAAACTTTTTAAACAAAGAGCGGAGAATGTAGTTCCGGAACATATGAAGGAAATGGAGAGAGCAATTAAAGAGAAAGATTTCGAGGGGTTTGCAAAGGTCACCATGATGGATAGTAATAGTTTCCACGCAACGTGTTTGGATACATTCCCACCAATTTTCTATTTGAATGATGTTAGTAGGGCAGCCATTAGAGCTGTTGAGGATATTAACAAAGCCGCTGGAAAGACGGTTGCGGCGTATACTTTTGATGCGGGTCCAAATGCTGTTATTTACTTTGAGGAGGAGAACATTGACTTGGTGGCTGGTGCATTGAAGAGTGTGTTGGAGGGTGTAGATGGATGGAATGGAAAGGAGGTAGAGAGCAAGAGCGCCGAGCATATTGATGAGAGGGCGCAAAAGGTTTTGAAAGATGGTGTCAGCAGGGTTATTTTGACTGGTGTTGGCGGGGGTCCTGAGATGACTGAGAAACATTTGACTGCTTAATTCGGAAGTGAGACCCTAATAGAATTGGGATGAGTCTGGAGGAAGAACGAACGTTAAATTTGCGAGCGCATTTGTAAAAGATATCCTTTGCAGCTAGTAAAAGCAATATACTTGAAGCACTAATATACATATACACCCTCTCTAATTAATTCTATGAATTCAAAGGACTTTCTGTGGGTGAAAAAAATCTCGAGACGAAACCCGTCACGATCAGGTAAAAATTAAGATCTTAATTACACCAACACCCCTTTTTCAAGCGAAGCCACCATAGACCACCAAAACACAACACCATCATGATCAATGCACGATTGTATTGATCAAGCTAATTTACTACATATCGGCGCTGAAGTACATATATTTACCAAGTACAACATGTCAAAGAAAGCTGCGATGCATATGAATATAATTAGACAAGTGAAAACCCAGAAAATCAGCATACTAAAAATGTTTGATTGCATGTCGTAGTGTTTGCCACTTCCGTCAGTGAAATTTTAGCCTGATCCATACATTTAGTTCAAGGTTGGTGCTTTTATAATTTGTTTTTAGGTTATTACATATATATTATTTTTCCTAGAGAATGAATGCTGGGCATATCTTGCTGCGTTATAAATGCACGCCATGAGAGATTTCGACAATAACAAAAATCAGAGGTGACTCTGAGTGAGATCCACGTGCCTATTGCCCTATTATTCCTGTGCTGAGCTAGCTACCTCTCTGGTGGCTTACATTTATCTTTTTCAACAGCTAAGGTTAAGCGACCTCGTGAACACTTGTAATTATCCTCGCCATTCTTCTTCTTCGTATCAGCAGTTTCGACTCCTCTGCCAACATGTCATTCTACTCTCGTCGTAGTTTGTACCTGCTCGAACACGGTAAAATGCCTCATTCGCCTGACCTACCTCTCCAGTCTACTTTTTGTGGTCCTTCTTGAGCTGAGAGAGTCCTCTGATCGCAGCGGTAGCCATAGCCTTGAGTTTGCAAAGCATCTTTACAGCGTTGGCAACTTTGCATTTTGGTTGTGATTTAGTTGAGCCTGATTCATACGATAAGCTCGCAATTTATATTGTTCCTTGATGGCCTCGTTTTCCCTCCTATCAAGCGAGCTTGACGTCCTATTCTAAGAAGCTTAGACCTGGATCACACCCGAAGCATCTTCCACGCATTACAACTCATGATCTAAATTCCTAGCTGTGTGCGCCTCTCTCCGACCTCCAACTATCTTTCAGCTTAGAAACCTTATAAAAACCATGCCGTGCCCTAAAAGAAGCATCTGTCCCGGGCTTTTTCAGGTTCTTTCCGTGTCTTGACATGCTTTCCTTTTGTTGCGGTAACATTGGACTCTAGTTCGTCGAATTGGGTTTTGAATACTTACTCTAAGTCGTGATGGAAGTCAGGAAGATGCTTTCAGCCTCTCCCTCAGCAATCTCCCGAGCTGTTGTGAAATCCGCTTGAGCAGAGATCGGTAGTGTCTTTTTGTATGTTTCCATCGGCTTGTTGTTTTCCTCGTAGAGCTCTAAGATCGTCGCATCTTCGTCGTGAAGTTCAATATTCGTACTTTCAAGCTTCTGCTCTTACGTTTTTGTTTCTGGTTTTGAGCTTCTACTTAAATGGCAAAAGTATCCGCTAATGTTAGAGGAGAACCACCGTGACTGTATCCAGATGACAGTTTTCTGAATAACTCCACAATTTTTTTCTTATCTTGGAGTATAAAACCTACGAAGTATGGTAACTTACTAGAGCAAACTTTCCATGCGATTTTCTTTAAAGTTCAAACACCAGTCCATACTAACGTACAAACGTATTGTGCTAGACATTTGAGTTAATAAGATGTGTCCATTCCATTATGACCTTATTTTACCTTAATATATACACGCCAAGCCATCAAAAGCTTCGCGTCCTCGTACATAAAGGATATGGAATCGGCGAAAGCATGATCACTTGCATATTGCAGTTTCTCAGCGACAATTTTCCACTACACTATATAGATACTCGATGTCCCATCCAAGCAATGTGCTAGTCTGAAACTTTGGACTACAATTCTCCGGTACTACGACTGGCACAAAAGACTTTATCAGCCATGCGGTTCGAGCCTTCAAAACTTATAGACAAGAATCAAACGGCGTTCTCGAGCATTTATGACACAAGGTCAATGTCTTTGTCATTTATCGTCGACTTAACATCACCTTTATTCATAATACTGTGCAAATTGAGATTGACAGCAAGCCATGATGAAAGTATGCTGAGAGGGCGGTATAGAATTCATTACTAAAAGATTGAAAGAATATCACGTATTATCTGAAAGTCATAGAGAAAAGTTGTGATAATTGTGAAAGGTGGGCGCTCTAGGCAAAAGTAAGCGAGTTTTTCATGTGACATTCACCTATGCGGTTGCAAAATTCACCTCTTGATAACAGTGATTTCCTAAAATTCACTGGTGCAATTTAGGTCTGGATGATAGATTTGAAAGCAATTTTGTGCCGCAAAACTGGTATTTGAGTAACGAAATTGTGAGTATGAGAGGAGAGCTGAAGAAGGGAAACTATAAAGGTCTAGAATTGAGCCATTGGTTGGAGAGGAATGGGGTCAGGTCCTAAATAAGTAGTATCCTTGATAGGCATGATAGATCTAGGATAGAAGAAAGTGAATTTTAGAATGAGGTCTTTCGAATCCCTTGGAAGTCTTGTGTTACCTTACTAAAAGTCTGCCAGACAAGTAAGAGTTCTGGGGACGAGAGAGTGTAAAACTTTCGAATTGGTGTCCTAAAAATTAGGATATGGAAGAGAGGCTGGGCGAATAGCATTAGAGAAACAGTTAGATAAAAGCGCAAGATGGAAATCTCTAGGCATCTCGGACTCCTTTGACAAATTTGGGAATAGGTAAGGGAAGAGCTTGGCGAGTAGTTTTCATGGACAAGAATTGGTCCAACAACCTGGAGATAGGTAGTGACAGAAAATTTCAAGATGAGCATTGTCGGAAATCGCGAAATCTTGGGTGCTTTAGGGCTAGTCAGAGCAAAGCCCGAGATTGATTGTGGTGGCAGAACAAGCAAACACATACATATTAGTACCTAATAATAGATCCAATATTGACGTAGAGTTAAGAGAATTTCTGACCTGCCAGTTGCATCATGGACAGGGCATTTCTATTCCTTGCATGCCATCTTCTTCGAAAATAATTATAGTTTACGAAGTGATACCAAGGTCCGCCGCTTGTAAAATGACAGTCGAGCTGGGCATTAATTGCAGTCGTCGAGCCATTTACTTCAGGAAACCTAAAGACAATGCTATAGATGGTGAAACAGTGTCTGGTCTTCTGTTCTGCTAGACAAAGATATTGGAGAGATACATCTGCAATCTATGTTCACCCCGAGAGCCCTCGCAATATCGATAACATGAAGAACACAAGAACAATAGCAATAGTACCAGAAATTGGCAATAATCACAACAGCGAAGCAATCAAAAACAGACAACAGCAACAATAATAAGCACGGCAACAGTTATAAGGATGTCAACTATCTAAGATTGGACATCTTACAAGTCGTCAATTCTTATGCATTCATGGTATCAATTACTCTGTAAACTTTTCTCAGCCAAGTCTCTATTACAAAATTTTGCAATCCGCAGATCTAGCATTGGTACTACAATGTACTAGACAAATGCAGTTGCAAGATATTTGGATGGGCTTGATTAATAATCTTTCGATTCTTATCTCTTAAACTTTAACCAAGGATGCTTTTCAGTACCTTGATTTGCTCCTCAACGCTTGACTTGCTGGTTCCACCGGCCGCTTGGCGTGCTTCTACACTCTTCTCATAGTCAAAACATTCAGAGACATCCTCCTTGAAGCGACTGTCAATGCTCTTTAGTTGGTCATATGTCAACTGGTCCATGGGAATTTTAGTCTTCTCGGAATATGCAACGACTTGTCCAGAAATATGATGCTATTGTAAATATCAGTATTCATTTCCTAAGTCCAGGAGCTATGGGCTACTTACAGTCTCTCTGAATGGTACACCTGCACGTACTAGATAGTCTGCTAGGTCGGTGGCCTAATTAGTTCCCCATGATTAGCGCAAGCACACTAGAAGGAGGTATGACAGGCTCTAAAACATTGCTAGACCTGAGTCTTTTTTTTTTTTAGTTGACTTACAAGCATAAATGGATCCAGCGAAGCCTTCATCTTCTCCGGGTTGATAGTCAACGTGCTGAGAACACCAGTAGCGATCTGGATGCTGTCGCCAACTGTCTTAATGTGATCTAACATTGGCTCCACACTCTCCTGTAGATCCTTGTTATAAGTACTTGGAAGACCCTGGAATGCAAGATCAGTAATTTGGAATATTGCCCAAAGAATAGTGAAAGCACCTTGACAGTCATCATCAAACCTGCCATCTGGCCAAAGGCTCTGCCGGCTTTGCCCCTCAACAATTCCAGGCTGTCGCTATTTTTCTTTTGAGGCATCAGGGATGACTGTGAATATTAGCTAAACAATCCTTATAAACTTCGGAAATAATACATACTCCTGTTGAGTAGGCATCGGCCAAACGGACGAAGCTGAATTCACCGGTACCATAAATAATGAGATCCTCTGCCCATCTTGACAAATGTGACATGAGGGTGGCACCCCATTGCATTGTCTCGACAACGAAATCACGGTCACCGACAGCGGACATAGAATTCCACAGAAGACCTTCAAAGCCAAGTTCCTTAGCCATGGCCTCCCGATCGATATTGAAAGGGTTACCAGCCAAGGCACCACACCCTAACGGTGATCGGTTGACTCTCTTGATAACTTCTCGCAATCTTTGGAGATCCGTTGCAAAGGCCAAACCATACGACAACATCCAGTGACTCCATCTGATGGGCTGAGCACGTTGCAGATGGGTATATCCTGGCATGATGTGCTCAATCTCGTTCTCGGATCTAGCGGCCACAACCTTCAGATAGTCAACCAAGAAGCTCTCAATCTTTTTGAGTTCATCCCTAAGCCACAATCGCATATCTGTTGCAACTTGCTCGTTTCGACTTCTTCCAGTGTGTAATTTCCCTCCAATCTCTTTGCCAATAATTTCGCCCAATCTTCTCTCATTTGCAGTATGAATATCCTCGTCCACACCGGGAACAATCTTGAACGTTCCTGCGACCCATTCTTCCTCGACTTGCTTCAATCCAGACTCAATTGCGGCGAATTCAGCTTCAGTCAAGATACCATTCTTGTGGTTTGCACGAGCCCAAGCAATGCTGCCCAGAATGTCTTGGGTATGGAATGCACGATCGTAGTAAATCGATTCGTTGTAAGATACCATGAGGGGATCAAGGCCACCTTTTGAGGTAATTAGTAAGAGTTGAGCTCGATCAATGACAGAAGTATGAGTCAAACAGACCAGTAAAACGACCGCCCCACAGCATATTCTCTCCAGGTTTGCTACCTGGAGCTCTAACTTGTTCTGAAGCCATAATTGAACGAATCTGAATGAATTGACTATAAAAATCGAAAATAAATGTGATATAAGACCTTATCGTTGGTAATGAGCTTGGTTTACTTGAAATGGAATCAAGTTACAAGAGTGCTAGGAAACTATTGATAATAGTGTTGCGATAGATTAAAAAAGTTCATGAGGGGTTCCTGATGTCGGAGGTCGGTGCTTTGTTAATCCTTACTAGCGCCCGCCTTGCAGTCAAATCCCCGGTCACTTTCTTGATGTTACAAAAATACGGTACACGACAGTTCATCATCTGCCGTTTTATATCAACTTCTCCAAGTTCTGATCTGCAACGAACATCGAAAAGAGCTCAAATGCTAAGACTCATTTATCTACCTATTTGAATATGGCCTCGTTTCCCAATATTTGGACTCACCGTAAGGTGGCCGACACGGCTTCCAAGCCTTGTGAGATTTGCTATAAACCTAGTGCAAGTGTCCTGATAACTCCGGAAAACAAGGTGAATAGAATCATCCTATGTGTTGAACTGATTGTTTAACAATCCCCTTCAGGATTTTTTCTATGTTTGCCCATCACATTTAAAGGACAAAGGGTTTGCTACACCTATCATAGATGAGGCTGCTATTGCTGCTAAGAAAAAGAAAGAGTTGGACGATGAAATTGAACGCGTGAAGCAAGAATTTGAAGAGAAGCAGAAGAAGAAGAAGGAGGAAGATACCTCCAAAAAGGACGATAAGGAGAAGGATAGTAAAGATAAGAATGGCGAGGGGGAAACGGATGAGAAGAAGACTGATGAAAAGGTATGCATGATGATGCCTGATCATTTTCAATCTTATTATTCCTACTAAGCTCTTTTCTTGAATTTCCAGAAGAAGTCGGATACTCTCGCATCATCGACACAAAATTCAACTCCTGACGAGGAGCCTAGAGTATTTTCTCTCAAAAAGATGTTCTATCAACAGAGACTTGACAAAAAGAAGCAGGCTGAAATTGCAAGACGAAATCGTGAACGTTTTCAAAACCCGAACCTATTTCCTCAGGTCCCAAAAGGTTTACCTTGACTTGAATATCCCGAATAGCCAATATGCTTACTTGGGTGGGAGAAGAATCCATTGACCGGGTCGGTGTAGATCTATTTAGATTCCACGTGACTATGATGAGCCTCAAACTCACAAGCAATGGCATGGATTGAGGACACTACTTACCAAGACAATTCACTCTTTCATTCACGAGCTAGTGGGAGAGTTCAGGGAGCACATTATCATGCCACACTTCGGACAATCAGACCTTTCCTTCGCGCAACTTTTACGCATCCTTAATATGTCGGCCGACGGATGTAACACATAAGTTCTATGAATTCAGTTGGTCTGACATGGTCAAATTCGGACACGTCATATAGTCTTCCTGCTAAGGAGAGTTGCAGTATCGTATGTTCACGAGGTATTTATGCTGACTGCATAACAATCGACCCGTTGAAAATGTGGTCAATGCATGAGTTGGCGTTTAGCATGGATGGGTTGGTGTTCAGCAGGGCGATCACACTCTCCTTGTACTTTTATCCTGGGAATAAAACCTCATCGATCTACTCATCACGGCAGTTAGCAGGCTGAATCGAACGGTATCATCCTTGCCAGGCATCCGAGTGAAAGGGTGGTATTCATCCGGCAATTGCCTGCCTCGTACAAAACGCCGTAGAGGTACATGCTTACATATGTTGAATAAGACAACCTGCTTATTTCAAACGAACAAGCTATCATCCTAAGCTTCTTTGGCCCCTGTAGTATTTGACTATTCTGTTTGAAAATTTGTTTTTAGTGCTTATTTTCAGCCTTCAAATTCCTACGAGAAGCCACTAACTCCGACTTCGGTATACTCTTTCCGGTCCTCACCAGCTGCTCACTTAGTCGTCAGCTCCGCTTCTTTTTTCCAAAAGAGCATCTAGCCCTAGTTGAGATATTGCCTTGCTGGGCCGGTCCGTCTCGTTAGTCACAAGGCTTTTAAGATGACATTTGGATCCAATTGAATCCTTATCATACCGCATGCTCAGCGATTACAATAGTATTCAGGCGGTTGAATGAAGCAATTGCATCCTCTTACCCCGCAGATATATCCCTGAGCTTTCGTCAGCAAGCCATGTCTTTATTGGCTAGATGCAAAGATGTCTTGCAGAGTAAGTCCACACACATTCCCTTTTTCGTTGGTCATTGTACGTACATTCTATGTGCGTATGTTCACGATGAAACGCTCATCTCGGGAACTCTACTGCAAAGGAGTGCCTTCCGTATATCTATCACTTTTTCACGGCTCACTTATGTGAGCTCTTCTATCCATCCTTCCTTTCCTTCCTAAGGTGCAAGATCTTACGTAGGCACTACCCTGTATGGGCACTACACTATTCCTCCAGGCTGACTCATTCATAGCATCGGTCCATCTTCTGTCTATCGCAAGTTCTTACTTCGTCTGCACAAACTAGTACTCCTTCCTCTACTACATCATATCTGCCTTATTAATGCGGAATGTAAGCATACGGACCCGAATTTGGTTGGACGATAGAACATTACATATATGTGATGAGTGGAGCCAATAATCCTATTCCATTGTGTCTTATATTCTCTCTTGTTAATTTTTACGACAAGTGGAGTGATTTGATGAGTAAACAGCATGAGTGGCGTACTGACCTAATGAGTTCGTATGAGTGGATCTATTAGACGGTAGAGGAGGGCAGAATCTACTACATTCTCATTTATGATATGTCTATATTCCAATATTATATGATATCATATATTATAATTTACCGATATGCCTTGTCCAAACCTATCTGGCACATATCCTTGCTCGTACATATCAAATAAACATATCAAAGTAAACAAAACATATAGAAGAGTCTAGGCGACCGATCGTGCAGGTATACGGATCGTATCTAATACGTAAATCAAATTTAAGGTATAAGACATATACATACGCCACAATCCTTCGGCCCAAATCCAAACAAACGGTCTACAGCTCCACACGGCCTTCCAGCACAGACTCAATCATGCGTCGCACAAGCAAAGCCAGGCAATCCAATCCATCATGCGTCGGTCGTGCCACAAATACTACTCTGACGCTGTTTACAGTTGGCTTTCCGGCTCATCGTCGCCATCTAACTTGTCCTACTCTTTCTTATTTCCGGATTTTACTGTGGAATATCTTTTTTTCCTCACTCAGTGTACGCATGCACAGGTATTTTATGTGGTGTTCTACATAATGTATCTCGTAAAAGGTGTATATTAGTCCTTACAAACACAACTGAATGAGTGGTCCCGCTATCTAGTTTAGTTTGGATGTTTTGATGCATCTCGTAAGTCTTACTACTGTCCAATACTGTACTATAGCGCACCGTGATGAAAACCATCCATGCATACATGCATCTTCCCCTGGCCCCAACACCAACAAACAACCCTTCTCGGCTCATCCCACAGACTCACAAACTTCCCTTCTCCCTCGCTATCGTACATCCTCCTTCTCTCATCCCAGGAGGCAGTCTAATACCCCCCGCACCACTGCTTCCCCCTTCCACTCTCTTCCTAATTGTAACCTCGTCACATCTTCCCTTTAACAAACTAAAAGCGGGACAGACCCATACGCCACAACTACATCGCATTCCCTGCCACGCATATTTCCCTATCTGGGCTTTGCATTTTTGGTTCGGACACTCCAGTCTTCCGGATAAGTTTCCGAGTTCGAGTTCCGGACGCATCCAGGATAGAGGGTGTAGGAAGTGGTGAGTGCAAGCGCTGTGATGAGGGGTGGGGGGGAGGGAGGAGATGGGTGTTGTTTGGGGATTTATGAGTGAGGTGGGAGAGGATGCTGCTCTGGGGTTGGGGGTGTGAAGGATGAGGTAGGGGGTTGTGGCGAGAGTGCGCCTTGGGGTTATTAGCTTGATGTTCATACCCAGATGCTCTTGATTGATAGAGACTAAATGTAATAATGAAGTGAAAGGAGCCAAGAAAAAAAAGATAAAAGAAAACTTACCGACACATCCTACACCTGATCTCCTTTTCCTTGCCGTCCGGCTTCGGTCCATCCTGCTCCACTTCATCTTCAAACCGGACCCAATCAGGGCGTCCTCCTGTAGCAACAGCTAACTCGACTTCTCTTTGGTACAGCCATCGTTGATATTTAGGCTGTTCATCTATGTTTCGTGGACATCCCATTTCATGATATAATTGAAGCTGGGCCATGAACCCATCATTGGGCTCTGCGAAGGGACGTGTTTGCTGGATCTGGGCGAGCGCTATAGCGGGAGTGAGAGAAGGGTATTGGCGCAAAAGGTAGGCAATTAAGATAGTTACGGAGCGGGACCTTCCCATGGCACTGAAAGTATTAATGTCTTGGTGTAGATAATCGGAAGATAGGGGTGATGAATCAATAGAAGATGGGGCGTTGTCACTCGACTTCCCTTTATTTAATCCCATAAAAGGAACTGCCATGTCGAGTAAAATGATACTCGTGACAATATCTGCGTCTGTAGCTCCTATAAATCGACAAGGCGAACAATCCCAACTTACCAATGGACAAGTACGGCACCTCTCTTCTTCTCCCCCTCTTCTCCTTCACTCTGCCCATTACCCTTCAAGGCCTCTTCAATCCAAGCTCCCGTTGTCTCAAACGCACCCAGCAAGTTCTCATCCTCGACATCATCAACCTCAATCTGAAGATGTTTATACTTATTCCAGTTGATATTGAAGTTCTTGAAATCATATTTTAGAACGCTGACAATATGTGTGATATTGTTCTTTTGGAGAGAGTTTTCCGTTAACGAGACAATTCTGCTTTATGTTAGACCATGTCTATTTCCCATCAAGAGATACAAGCATATAAGACCACCAGACGGAAATAATGCAACGGGCGCGATCCAAAGGCAAAGAAAACAAATGGTATCACGTGCGTGGGCAAATGCTCGACAGTATAAAATGAACAGTACATACCCTCCAACATACAACTCATCCTCCCCCGGTATCCTAGATGGCTCCGTATTCATCCTAAGATTTTGTCTCAAATCTCTTACTCTCCGTATCTGCTCCTGGAGCTCTTCTTGCTCTAAATTTGGTAGACCCGCAGTTGATGTTGACACCGCCACCTTGATCAAACAAAGTCTTTAGAAGTAGCCAAATAATCAATCTCAAATGCTCGCTTATGTCTGGAAAATACTTGTTGAAAAGGGGAAGCGTGTCCAATAAGGATCAGGTGATGAATTATTCTTGGTATGCAGTGTTAAGGGTTTCTTTTCTTCAAGCTTGCATCTTCATCTAGGAAATTCCAAATTGTTCTTCACTCATTTCACCCCGCCTTATCGGTTAAATACCGGCCGCCGAAAGTCCCGGGCCAGTTATCGTTTGTGCCTGAGGCAAATTCACGATTAGCCCCTAAGGAACTCCCTCTACCCAGGCTTTGCTTTGCACGCAGAAGCATATTTACTCTCTTACGACATTGTTGTGATGATTTGTGTCCTCGGCAGTCAGTTATAGAGCGGCAGGCGCTACATATTTGTCCGGGTATGATTTGCGCGCATGCAGCGGTAGTGGTACGAGTTAGTCTTTTGCGTGAAGTTACCGGCAGTCAGGAGACAAAGATAGATTTAATCAATACTACTTGGGTATATTCATGATGATCAATATGTTACGGATATCCATGCAATCAGTCATCAATGAGACCTACTACGGAACATTTCGTCGACAATAAGGAGCACGAGCAAGAGAATATCATCGGGCCGAGTCCGGCTTAGGAGATGGTATGATTTTGTGATGGCCGCGGAGATCCAATGAGCAATGAATGAATGAATAGAATGAGGTGCAGGATGCAGGTGGACTGTGGACAAGATGGGAGAGAGCGAGTTTTTGAGTTTTTCAAGGGGGAACTGGGGAAGGATTTCGGGTATTATTAGGTTGTGTCTCTGAATAGGTATACGGAGTAATCATTATAAGATCTTACATTGTAAGCTTTTAAGGCTGTTATGGAAAACCATGATGAGACTCGTCACTCGCCAGAGCTTATAAGTTGGAATCCATATTAGGCGAGAGGGTCGTCAAATTATGAGAACCGATCGAATGATGAGATTCGGCCGAAGTTGTCAGATTACTATAGTTCATGGGGTGATTACTAATGTGATGGGACGTTGTGTTATGTATGTGGCCAGCAGCCAGCAAAGGTACTCTATGACTCTATGTTTCGAAGGTTAAGATTGTCTTAGCCTTGGTTGTTCAGCGAAGACACAGACATCTCAGCATAAGACATCCTCATGACTAAGTGGAAGACATCCCGTTCGAAGCTCCCGACTCAAGGATCATCTAATTCACCTAACACAAATTTAATATCAAGCAAACCCTGTTCGTACACCTACCGAAAGCCCTACCCGAGATATTATCATCCCCAACATAAGCTCTAAGGCTGATCCGCCCAACAACATATACAGTATATCACATGTAGCTAAGAAGTTTACATCAGCGTGCACAAACGCAATCAAAAATCGTATTAACAAAAAACTCGTGTGTCCATATGGCCATCCAGGCCACCCACACAAACCCCCAACCTGATTCCGCCCGCTACCGATGAACGGAAGATTGGCGATGTTCATCCCAAAAGCGGAAAAGTGCTGTGATACAGCACCTCGTGTTTCGCTTGGACATCCCGCGTGCATGCAACAGTGCAGAGATTCAGCCTTCTTTTTTCGCCCTATGGGGCACAGTTGTTGAGCTTGGTACTGTGCTACGGGCCGCTAGAGGCGGGCAGGCGTTCATAAGGGTGGCCAAGGGAAAAAAGAAACGGAAATTTTTGTTACATGAGGATGTGTTTGTGTAACAGTCCGAGGACTCGAATTGATTGAATGGAAAGATCCAGATGGCTTGGCGTTTAGCTGAAAATGAAAAGATATACTCCGGATTCGAAAGATTTAGGCTTTTTTATTTCTTGCATCGAAGTCAATCAATCAAGAATCAAGACCGAGTACCAAAAGAATCTGATGTCCCATTTCCGGCAATTGTGCATCATATGGAACCATATTATAGCAACCTTAGCACGTAATCTAGCCCCAACGCCAATGTCATCAGCGGCTGGTTACAACATCGATTCCAGTTCACACCATCTACCGAAAAGTTCTAATATTAATTTCTCAGCCCTTTTGTTCCGGATCTGGTAAAGACATCCATCCAAGACCGCTTACAGGCGCAGGAACATCTGGGCTCTTGCTCACGGGGCATTTTATTTGGCGTGAATGAATTAGTTGGTGGGGAAACAATCAAAGCAGGAGATGTCTAATCGGGGGCGTTGTTGGGAAAGCTAGATAGACAAATTTTGTTATACTGTAGCCTTGTCCTGCTGGAAACGTCGGTTTGGGGCACAATCTAGTCTTCATGGATGCATATTATATTGGTTCTTCTGAGATGAGATTTACTTGTACCTCCTCTCGATACCCAGTTCATGTATCTGATTGGTACAACCATGGTTTTCGCCTCAATACCGGTGTGTGAAGTTTCGTATGCTAATCGATATCAATCAGATAACAGTCAGCTTGAGTTGTGATCAATACTGAGTAAGTTGGATTTGACTGAAGCCTTGAAGGATGGGAATGTCAGATGCCATTCGTCCCCGCAATATGTGAGCCCGTATCCTTCGAGTATCGAGATGAGATGATGGCTGACACGCTGCGAACTTGTTGGAGCTCATCCACTCGCACTCACCTAAAACTAAAATAGCAGATCTAGATTCCCGCCCACCTATCCTATCACCATCTCAAGTCATCCACCCTCCATTTTCACTGGCACTCACGCGACGCTGATCTGATACACACACACACACATCAATTCAATCCCATCTTTGTTGTGCCATCGTCCGCATTTCCGCCTCGGAACAAACAAACAGTTCAGGTCGCCGACTTCGAGGAAAGTCCTTGTATTCGATCATCAATAGCCTCAACCTAACTTATGTGATCAAGGTCCAAAAAGCATGCACAGTGCGACTCAATAACCCAGTACCCAGAATGTGGCGATGGATGGGATGTGATCGCGCACACTATCACTGATCGTCAGGGTTGTTTCTTTCCGCCCACATTTATCGAACCTCGGGGCTATTTAAAATAAGCCTTGTAAGGCTAGGAATTGCTCCGAAAACGTACTGAATTAGGAAAAACCCCCGGTCAATAATATATGATACCGGCTTTTGGAATTTGAACTTTCTCCATGATGGTAATGAGATTAAGCAAGCGAAGGGCATGAGAGTGGGGTCGGTGGGATGTTTGGGAGTTGGACTTGATGCTTCCAGGCTGTTTAAGTGAATTCGATGATTGCTTTTGCAAGGCAGTGCATGCATATTACTATTCTTCAAGGAGCGACTGGAAGGACTGGACTGACAGGACTCAAATTAGCAAGAAATCTAGGAAAGCCTGCTCTAAGCACATGTGGCTCATCTCCTTTCAAACTCCTTCATCGTCATCCTCACTCCGTCAAAATCCAAACAGGATCACGATGTTGCCTTCCATCACCCTCTCCAGCATAAAATGGATTACACTATAGAAAATGGGTGAGTAACGATTACTCCATACTCGGCCGTGACTTAAGTTATCAATGTAGGATTCAATCCCTTCCAAGACTACATCCACGTTGACAGATACGGTTGAAAAATTGAAATCTAGATGTGGTGCTGTGCCGCCAACAGGCTTACCGCATCTAACTTTACTCTTCCCTCTGATGATTGTATTCTGTTATTCCATCCCATATTTATGAATTTATGGTAAATCGTTTATGTTCAAATTTAACGAAAAATTACCAAAATACCTAATAACTAGCCGGTGGGATGGAATTCTCAACCGCGCTCACGGCATCCCATCAATGATCAATCCCACCTCTTTCTACACTACTGAAAAATACCTAGGTACCTCGGCCCCTGTGCTTACTAGTCCAACCTAAAATCCCTCAGCCCTGACTAATCCAGTCTAGATCATTATCAAAGCGCGCTCAGAAGTACACAAATAATACCAGGTAAAAAAATGCTAGATAAAAATGCTGAAAAAATGATGGAAAATCAGAGTAACTTTGTACAGCGAAGATTTTCAGAAAATTATATCATATGGCATATAATCAGCTGTGCAGGGTAGTTACTGCTGCTTGGTGCTCACCATCATCCTCCTATCGCACTGCTTGCACTGCTTGCACTCATATCATTACCGTTAGCATTGTCTCCTCAAGCTCCACAAACATACCGCATACCCTAAAGTCCAATCTACCGTCTCCATCTTTCTCATTCCTCTCATAGAAACACGGGCTCATGATATGTAAACCATCCATCAAGTCGCACCCACGCACCAGTAAAAACCTTTCAAAAGCCATGGAGTCGGGACCGACACTACTGCAACCGAGAAGGGTTTCAATCCCACCCACAGCACTACTGTACGCTCGAGCAGTACTGGACAGCAGTGGTTGGCATTATCCCGGAACCTCGAATGGGTGCATGGTTCAGTGAAGGGGGCTTAGCAGAAAAGTGGAGAGAGCGGGGGCTGATATTAATGACGTTTGTGGGCTTGCAATGGCTCCTTTGGTGGTGTGGTGAGTGCAAAGAGAGACATTACACATTCGAGTTTCTGTAGAAAGTTGAAATAAGCATGTCGCCCTGTGTTTAATTCAATGTGACCAATTGAGCAAGCCTCTGCCAAACTAATCCAATAACATATCAGCATAATGCCTTTACCTTCGCGTATAATTTACGTGAGAGTAGAGTTGAAGGTATCTCGACTTTCTGTGTATGCAGGATGTAGGGACTGACATGGTACTGAATCCTACGGTCCCAATGGAGAAAAGTACGTGCATGTCATGTAATACCCGCAAGAGACGACAGGAATATCGGCAAGAAGACCTGCTCAAGGTTGATGTGCTCGGATCAATTATATGTGTACACGGAGGGTAAGTCAAAAGAGTACAATACCCGGTATCATTTGGCCTTGAAAAGGCTGACGGACTCATGGAGATCGTGTTTTACATCTAACCCATGCCGCCTTACCTTCCTTACATTTACCTTACCCTACACTGCGAGCTACTTTTGACTGCTCCTATGCATGTCTTCACTCGGACATACTAGAAATATGCAAGCAAGCAAGTTTTGCTTTCCCGAGTCCGTCTCTTTGCATTTTTCGTGTGTTGCCCACCCGGTAATTTTGTCAAGTTCCCTCCAATGAAAGCATCGGGTCAGAAGCACCGAGGGCTCTTAATATAGGTGCAATAAATGATTCGCAAGCGTGAGAAGGGAATGAAGATTCTGGCGTTGTATTGCGTTACCGTAATGGAGGCGCACGAAATCGTCGGTGTCGAGTGGGGTATGAATAGAATGGATGAATGGATGGATGGACGCCAGTCGCTCGCTGAAGAAACCTCAATGTAACATAAGTAGGTAGGTGCTGGGTCAACCAACATGGGATCACGGCGTGCTGCATATACTGGGATCTTGGGATTGGTTTGCCTCGATATTGCCTTGTTGTGAGTTTACCCGGTCTCTCATAAGATCGAGGGACTTACCAATATTTGAATATTTTGATGTACATGTAGGAAGTAGATGGGTGATGTGAGATACCTTTGGATTGGACAAAAAATTGCAGATGATGCAGCCAGACCGTTTCACATGCATTTGGCTCAAGAGGCGGGGTAATAAAGTTGCACTCGAGGATACCTGTTCTTCTATTTGATATGAATAACAAGAGACCACACTTATCCTTAAACTATTGTGGATACTGAAGAGTGGTAGAGCTTAGGACACGCAGCCGAATATTGAGTTACCAAAATGCCAGTGATGTTAACGAAATTTTAGGTTCATCATCGTGATTTAGACACAATGTACCTGCAGACCGTTGTGTGTAGAGTACCAGACGACCCAAGTCTCACCAGACAGCTCATAATGATCAACATGACTTGAGCAAGGAAATACTTCAATTGCTTTCAAATATGAGATAGATGCAACAGGACGTAGCATCTGATCCATTGAGGGGGAAATTATCCTCTCTTTCAATGATGATCTAGAAAGGGATAAATGCAATCACAAGTCGGAGAGAAAGGTGGTAATGTTGTACGGCCTGTACCTCCGTTTCGAAGATTAACACGAGCCTTGTGAATGTGGAGTAGTGCTAGCATGTACTAGGCTAACCAATCATGCCAATCATTACATTTGCCCTATCCGCAAGACACGACATCGCATTTGGTTTCAGACTTTCAGTTTATTCAAGCAGGGCTTATGGTGTAAAATCCCCGAGATGTGTATAGGCCGGAGTGATATATCAATACGAACAACAACAACCAGCATAATGCGGAGTAAGATCTTTGCCGAGATATCAGATATCCAGCTTGAAAATATGATAAGTGCCTTTCTTTTTAACTTAGCAGTGGCTGTGCTCTAGATCTCTAGATCTTCATACTAAATCCAAATAACTCAAAACAGGGTACCAGAGTCAATCTGTGACGATTCAAAGGTTGTTCTGGTCTTGGGGCGAAAGTGGTGGGCGGCTTAGTCCGGCAAGGAAGGTTTGAATTTGTATGGGACACCAAATGGAGGATAAAAAGAATGGATGAAATTTCTTCCGGACTTGGAGTTAGTTGTATTGGCTACGAGATCTTAGCAGTCTGCAGTAGTAAGTTGCAGGAAGTTGACTCTCCAAAAGGCTGCACAACTTTTCGGTATAGATAGACCTTGTACTAGGTAGTAACCAATTGATACACAGGTAGGGTATGATGACTGCGGAGGTAGATTCATATTTAGTATGACAGTAGGAAAACATCACTATCCATTTATATCTCTTTTAAAGAAGTCTCCAGCATGAACAATAGAGTGACTCTCGCCGTAAGAATTCAGAAATGAGTAATAAACATTTGTTAAGTTGTCTTAGATGAACTCAATTCAAGGATCTGACTTATTGATGCATCAAAATCCTTGAATTTGCATTAGCTACAATACCACACTTTACCGTAAACCGTTAATGTTCGATAACCGTTGTTCAATGGAGAATCGTGCACTCTGTATATTCATTTCATTTCATCGCATCATACTCGAATATTCGATGTTCTACGGAGTAATCTGTAATCTCACAATCAACTCCTTTTCTCAACCCTCGCTTCCGATGAAAATTTTAAGTCTAAATGAATAATCCTCTTGATATATAAAACCAGTTGGTATATTTAAAAAAAAGGTGTGTGGTTGCACAATCCAAATCATTGCTCTTTGGGGTTACCTGAGGAGAACTTGTAAGGCTGAAAAGGTAGTGTGGAGCGGGAGATTTTGTACCGACCAATGAAGAAAATTGGGAAAAATGTCAGAGCTAAGCTCATATCAGACGATGTAGCTAAAAGGGGTAGTAGTCATGTTCACGGCTTAAGTAAATGCAATGAACTAATTAAGTAAGAGGTCCAGATGCTTCTCAATTACTACCTAGATACTTTACTTGTACGAATACGTATAGTCCTATGAAGCTTACAAGAATACCAATTGGCAATAACAAGTGTCAAAAAGATCAATCAGGATTCCATCAGAGACTATCAGACTCGAGCATTTAAACTTTTCGCACTTATCATCATTGAATATGTGATCAATCCGCCCGCCTATTGCCCTACCACTCCCCTGTGACCCTTTTTAGCAGTGCAACCATACATGGTACAGTATCTATCTATCTATCTGACAAGGTTGCAGTAATCAATCATTTATAGTTTACAAACCTACCATTGGCGCTGGTGGGATTCTGAATTGCGCACATCACAGATTCACAGCGGGTAGCCTAACTAATTCTCAGGAATGAGCCCATTCGACGTCAAGGAGACTCAACAAAGTCTGGAGACTCAATTTTAAACCTAGTTCTTTAGACCAGGAGCATTACTGCATGGAAAGTTGGATGAAACGAAAAGCATAAATGTTGTAAGTCTTATAATTCAGATGAATAGCATCAAAATAGATGGATTGAAATTATAAAATCAATCCCGCTGCATGTCCCGGAGTGTATATCTTTATACCTTACTTGGGTGAGCTGACTCTGTCAGACTGAAAATTGCCTTTCCTCTTACTTTCTCCCTTCGCTCTCCTTCCATTCCTCTCCAAATCAACATACTCTTCTTTTCTTTTGATCAACTGCCGTCGCCTGCCTTTCATCGTGTTCTTGTACCCACTTTCACGCGGTGCTCCCTTGCACTTGAGATCAAAACAGTACAAAGATCCGGAAATCAGACCTAATCCGCAAGTGTCATTGCCAAATATAATATAAAAAGATCGAAACGTCTAAAATAGAATCAAAAAGTCATCATCATCATCATCATCATCACATCAGTTGCCCGTCACAGCTTCACCAAATTAGATCAACCAAGAATGTTTCCTATCTCGGGTTGGTACTCCAGAAACTCCTGCTAGTGGGTACGTTTTCCTTTTCTTGAAGAAAAAGAAGAAAACCCTACCATACTACCGTGCGCCGGGAATTGAGACAAACAGCCCTTTTCACTGTCTTGGCTTTGACAATTTTTTTTTATCTTAAATCTTCTTACCTTGCTTGATAAGTTGTTCGAGAAGGTAAGAAAGGCGAAAACATCCGAATATCCACATCAACCGACATATGATGGATGACCCTAGCGAAGTAGGGTATACTTTCTCTAATCTCTACATAGGACTGACTACCGAATACCCAGTCAATCAGTCAGTCAGTCAATTGGTTTCAGTCTCAGTCACTCAGTTACTTAGCTACTTGGTCACTTAGTCATAAGAACGGACCTGCAACTCGAATACCTACCTACCTACCTGACCTACCTAGTAATTAGCTCTTAATCTGTCTACTCGAGGACTGCCTGCTCTGATGCAAAATGTAAAAGGAATGAGGGCCTGAACTCTATGAGATTTTACCGTCCTCACCTCGCTAGTGACAAAGCTTGGGTATGGGTATGGATATCGTAAGATCTTACCATCTTCATCTACACTGCAGTACACATTTAGTCTAGTATCCAGTATCTAGTATCTGTCCATCTACGATCAAATCAATATCCCATCGCCTATCCATCTCATCCTCTTTGGGTCCTCCCCTGTTTCCGAATTCCCCACCTCACTCTCTTCCCTCTAAGAAATGAGAAGAGTCCCACATTGTCCTTTAGTGAACCCGTAACCAAGGTCCAATACATCCTATCCATACATCCTGTTCAACGCATAAGGAGGATACCTGGGTACTTGGAATCCGCCTATCGACTTCGATTCTGGCTGGCTTCCCGCTCCCACCCGTCACTTTTCCACTCTCCGAATGAGGTCCCCAGTATCCCCCAGCCCTATTGTTTGTCATTTCTATGGTTAAGGCTTATGAGATTATGGGCTTATGGAGGGAATGGCCGATGGAATAATTAATTACATTCAATGTACGACCATAAGATTTAGAAATTGTATGGATGTATGGATGTATGTGCAGAGTATGTACGGAGTATGTACTGGGTATATTATGACATAGTTACTACCATGATTTTGACTTGCCTTATTATCACTACTTGGTCTACCGACATACTTGAACATCCGTCTATCTCTCTCTGACTCTTATTACTGCATTCATATTCGAACCTTTTCAAATCATCTTGTCGTCGATCGACTATCGACTATCGACTATCGTCTATCGTACAGATACCAGATACCAGATACCGGACACGAACTTACTTTTCTGACCGTATTAGTTTGAAACTCAGTTTCTCAATTCATTTTAGTTTCTGGGTCGTTAGCACCTCCCTCTACTACCTACCCTACTATAGTACTACTGTACTTACTATTCAGCCCTTCCGCTAAAAATTGGCCTAAACATACCCATACCCATCCCCATCCATACCCATACCCATACTAATATCCATACCCATACCCATACCCATACACTCACACTCACACTCACACTTACATTTACACTTACACTTACCTCCGTACTTATTATTATTCCTTCCTTCATAACCACAGACGTTCGCCCCGTCATCTCATTTTATGAAGGGTTCGCAAAACAACGTCAACTTCGCGGACTCTTCGATCTTACCTTACCTCCCCAACTTATTTTGCATTATAGAAAAATAAACTCATCATTGGAGTGCGGATGTAATGGCTCAGAACTAGTCTTCTTTTTTTTTGTAACTAATATACTTTTCTTTCGACGAAATATACATGTTCCGATTTCCTTTCTTCTCCACTCTCGACTTTTCCCTCCCAAGCAAAACGGCACGTCCGACTTGGCCACCTCTAGACGAAGAGGAGGTCAGCTCATGTTGTTAGGAGGGCTACTATTTACATCCACTTAATTTTCCATAGCCTGTGGCCTACCTACGCAATGGATATTCCTATCCGTGGCCAGATGCCTGGCTTCAACACACCCTTACCAGAAATCTGCGTACAAGACTCTCATCATCCCGATCGATACCCCGATAGATACTCAGATGAACATAGATACCATTCGACCACATCTTCAGCAGCTGCTCCTGGTCCAATGTCTATACCCAATGCTAGAGAGGCTCCTCCTCCTCCTTTACCACCACCGAGATACATTCCAGACATTGCAGATAATGGGAGGGGAGATCTTGGATGGCAGTGGGCAAACCAGCACCGGGAGGTCAATTGGGAAGGGCGTTTATCAGCTGTGGCCCCTGGATCAAGTTTGTACGGGAGCTATAATCGCAAGAGCATTTCAGATGACCGACCAGATGTTGCACGCAGAGGGAGCTCAAACGCCACTATTACTGCACACACATCGAAAGACGCAAGCAACCATTTGAGTGCGTTGCCGAAAGATGAGGGATATGCAAGCCTTTCTGCTTCCAATGCAAGCATTGGCTCGACACAGTGAGTGCTACTATTTTGATCTTTGGCGAAAGCTTCCGGTACTGGGTCGTGTCGCAGACAGCATCGCCAATCTGCTTGCCAATCCTTTACCAATGATGATGAAGCGTTCTCTCGTATTTTTGGGCTAATCTTTCCTCTCGCAGATCGAAAACATCAATTGGCTTTCAAAGTTCGGTCCACGATGCATTTCAAACTAGTGCTCAAGCATACGACCAGTCATTGTTACAGAAGTTGGGTGGGAGAGGAGATAATTTTACACAATCAAGACCTTTCGCAAAATCTACGTTTAGCTCATCTGTAAACGATGTATCGCCAACATCTCGAATAGCGCGGGAACATGGCCATCCTGCTCTCAAGCCACTGTCTCTGCCAATCCATACACACAAGCCAGCGCTGGCCGAGAGTCCAATAAATCGTTGGGCAGATTCGCCTCTGTCATCTGGCGTTTCACCTGGCAATCCATATACCAGACTTAGCTTGAATACATTTGATTATAGATCGCCAACCGATATCATAGACAATGAAAGATCATCACTACATTACCCCAGGAGATCAGGAAGCATAGCAGATGATGCATCGAGTATTGCTAGCCAATCTAGGGATAGCTTCCACATGCCTTCTCCAGAGTACGAAGAAGGTTTTCATATGGAAGAAACGGGTTTGAGACGATTACAGATAGGAGAAGAATACCACGGCCGGAGTGAAGGATACTCTCCAGGCTCTGCTACAGCCGGGCAAAAACGGCGCGCATCTTCCCCTCCCAGGGATGATGGCCTGCATCTGCGCACGGTGGGTAGTGCAAGTGATCTTGCTCGACGTCGTGAGTCTGGCTCGCGTTCGACACCGAGTCCACGATTTCATTCGACTTCTACGTCTATTTCATCTAGTGCTTCTCTACCCAGAAATTCATTCTCATCTACATTATCAGTGGCTGCTAGTAGCGCAACCAGCTTGGGTTCATACGTTAGGCTGTCTCATGGAGGTCTCCCACCCGCGCCCATGGATATCAACCCCGATATGTCTTATAACGGTTCGATATCGCTAAACCCCAGCCCAAGAGGATCGATTTCGGCTAGAACTGCCCATCACCGAGCTTTATCTGAAAGCCGGCCTCTAACCAATGCACGAAAGATGCCAGAGGTCTTAGGCCACGTGAAACACAACAGTGCTCCTAGCAGACAAGGCGGTTTCATTTGTGTATGCTGCCCCAAAAAGCCCAAGAAATTTGACACCCAGGAAGAACTCAAGTCAGTGCTCTCTAAACCTAATAATCTGTTGATGCTAACCACAGATCAGCGCGCATGAACAAGAAAAGCAATACGAATGCCTATACTGCCCCAATCGTTTCAAGAATAAGAACGAGGCCGAGAGGCATCAAAATTCTTTGCATCTTCGCCGTCATTCCTGGTCGTGCGCTGCGCTGCAAGATTGGGCGCATGCTTTTCACCCTTCTCCTTCGCGTCCTAATGATGCGGATACTTGTGGATACTGTGGTGAAGATTTCCTAAGGAGCGGTTTCACGAATCATGAGGGATCGCCAATACCTGCGGCGACAGGTGAGGACTGGGAAATCAGGGGTGCCCATCTGCAAGATATGCATAAGTTTGGAGAATGTAACCATGCAAAGAAGTTTTTCCGCGCAGATCATTTTCGTCAGCATTTGAAGCATAGTCATGCGGGGACAAGTGGAAAATGGACGAACATGCTTGAGAACGCTTGTATGATTGATGAGCCACCTCCAGAGCCACTTAGGGGACCCGAAAGAGTCAGTCCTGGTGGAGTAAGAGTAGGCCGAATCAACGAAGAAGACGAAATACTATAAAGTTAAAGGGCCTTCAAATTATGGCCAGTTTGAGTCACCCTGAGATGCCGCAAAAATAAAATTTCCTGCGGGCTATTAACAACAAAGTTCATATATGGATTCCTGGTGAAAGAATATCCGGTCGGCAGAAACAATCATCATGAATTGAGAAGGAAATCAAGGGTTTCATCTACATCAGGAGTTGACTTCGGAGCATTGCTTGGACTACATGGCATATTCTTTTCTATATGATGGGAGTATTCCTACACTGCATCATTCTGGCGTTTGTGATATTTGAACCTCTTTTTACATTCAGGAGTTAAGTATCAACTCTCTATAATCAGCAAACATTCAAGAAACAGACTTGTCAAACTTAATTCCGTTGTTTAAGGGGCACGTGACTCGGGAACGGGATTGGAATATGGGCGGGAAGAACAGGCGGAATAATGGTTTTGTCTTGGGTTTATCACCAACGTCATCCACTGTAAAAATGCTTATACGTTTGGGTTCTGCCATTTTTGGAAAGAGGCATGGCTGCAGAGGCGGGAGAAACGTAGGGAAGAGCAAAATAGATTATTCGTCCAAGTAGCAAGGTTTGGATGCGGTTGTACGTATAGCATAACACAAAAGCAAAGACGCGTCTAACACCACCGGTGTAACAAATAAAAGTTTACAACCTCGGATGTTTGATTTCTTCATTTTTTAGGCTGTTAAATTCTGCATATTGATATTCGGTTACAGTAATGGATGGGATGAGAGACTACGGAACGGCATTAGCTCTTGAAATTTATACCAAGGCTTTTTCTGCCGGCTCCTTACATCTCATCAATATGATGGATGAAGCACATGCACCCGAGTAAACCTTGGAGAATACTAGCTATGAAGCAAAGCGATAATAAACTTACCAAGGGATTCTCCCAGGGTTTGAAGGTGGACAAGGGCTTGAGTCAAGATGCACATGTGGTAAGGAAGGGGCCAAGGAACACGGACAAAAAGAGGTGATTTTAAGCTGCGTACCATGTTCTCTTTCAAACTTCATCGAGGGAAGGAAAACGGGGACGTGCAATAGTATGTATGGATAGTGAAAGCTTTGGTCATCTGGGCGGGCGAAAAGGTATCCTATTTCGTTATGTGGTTCAGGAATACCTCACTTTCCATTCTAGCTGAAAACAAGATTTTTTGGACAAGATGTCAAAGCTAGGAAAGTATTGGGATGTCATTCTAGCCTCACCTAATGACGTACAGACGTGATCATGGAAGCCATAGCAATCAATCGTTTTAGTTGGATGATCGCCGGGTCTTTTCTTGCATGCTGGCCACAAGTAGAATGTCAGACTAGCCAAAGGCAGTTATCCAAAAGAGATCGTAGTTGAAGGCTGATGTTTACACATGTTTTCGGACCAGATGGGAATGGCAGTGACACTGCTGCATCATTGACTCATGAAAGTTCGAGGTCGAGGTCGCTAGCGTCTCTTACAAGTGTGATCTAATAACGGCGCTGTCAGTGCCATTAGTTCGGTCGATTGGAGATCGATGATTTGCAGTAGCTAGGACTTGCCGCAGAATATAATGTCATTATTTCATCAATTTTGGCGATACGTGTACCAGAAAAGCTGGGCTGGACTCATCGATGATCAAGCACAAATGCTCGGCGAGCCCGTGTTCCAACCCGTTGGCTAATGAGGCTAAGGCTTTAGGATATCTGAAAAGGGCCTTAGAGAATGTTTTAATGCGGTTGCTAATATCCTGAGTCGGACGTTCGGGAAAAAAGGTCTAGCGTGGTCGCTGTATTTGTCTTTCGAAAGTTTAAATCATGATTAGCTTTGGCCTAATCCAGACGTTTTATGATCTAGATGGTTCTATCACCGATTCTCCCTCCTAAAGTAGCCGTATTTCAATCTACTAGCATAGTGATCCATACAACAGCTGTGAATCTGGCTGTACTTGTTTCCTAGCGTGGTGATCTTTCTGGCAGCTCTCAGTTCTCACTCCTATAAATAAAGGGTTCCCCTCGATGTCCTTCACTTTTTCCTTTTCTTCTTCAGTGCAATTCTGAGTTCAGCCCACCACCCCTTGCCTCCCATTCCTGCTTCCAAGCGCCTTGCTCCCTTCCTTGTGCCAAAGCTATCAGCCCGAGTCGCTTTCTACTACTCTGATCTTCTCCCTTGGGGGGGAATGAAATGATGTGTAGTAGAACGCGATTCTGGGCTGCTAGCTTTGGCACAAGGAAGGGAGCAAGGCGCTTGGAAGCAGGAATGGGAGGCAAGGGATGGTGGGTTGAACTCACTATTGCCTCTAGGCCAAGGCCACCACTTTTCCACTTTGTCGCCCCTGTCTTCGGACTCCGTCCCCTCCGGGGGGCGGGGAACGATGAAGACCGGAGTGGATGGCTGGTGGCCTTGGCCAGAGTTGCGTTAGGTCAACTTCATCGTTTCTTGGGCAGTATAATTCTACCTAATCAGTTTGGGCCAATTCCGTTCTTCTCTGGCCTTCTCAACCATCTGCCATTTTGATTAGGCCTTTTGGGGTTGAAGGCTGTGAGAGTCTAGAGGGTGATCAGGAAATGATGGGCTTGGCCTGAGTTTTGTAATGTCGATTCAATGTGACAATTTCTCAATCATCTGGAAATGACAGATGTTATAACTTCATTTGTCGTTCAATGAAATGCTACGATATCCAGAAGTTCAATAGGCCTACGTTACTCGCAATCCTAAAACTATTATCCAACCTTCTACATTATGATCACGGTTCTTAAGCTTTTCTCTTTTCTGTTCAATCCCCCACACTCTATTCACTCCTCTTTCCTTTCACTTTCAACTTTTTTATCACTCCCTTAATATAGCCATTGCATTTAAAGGTGGAGATACCTCACCTGGTATGTTTAATGGCATGGATGTTGGGAAGAACAAATATCGGTTTAGTTCGCGACAGGTACTAGGTAAGGCCTCGAGATCGAATATTTTGCCTGTTTGAGAAAGAATTTAGTTTCTTTGGCCGGTGATATGGAAGAAAGACTGTGTGAATAGCTGCTTGGGATGTGGGGAGAAAAGGAAGAATGGTGGGAGTGGTTGTTATCAAGGAATGACGAATGAGCGAGAAATCAGATGGAGAAAATCAGCGGGAGTAACTAACCAATAGGAAATCCACAACCTCCAAGCAAGCATTCATGACAGCTAATTTCTCCTTCTGTAAGGAATACCTCGCAGCTTATAGCTTCATCTGCCACCGCTGATATCCCACTATCTCATAACCACCCCAATAACTCTAAGCTAGCTTTAACAACAGCATGTTCGGGAGTGCTTTGGGACGTATATTCTTGTTTTGAGAACCAGTAAAACTTTGCCATTCAGGAATGATGCACCGCGTTGAGGAGTTACCTTTGTTCACTGAGAATGGCAAGGATAGCTTTGAATGGAATATCGTGGAGGGGAAGTCGGTGCAATTGATACGAGGGGATTTTTGTGCTCGCTCCAGTGGGCGAAGTCGATAAGATCCCGCGGCCTAGAGGTTATGAGTATTTTTGAATGTGCGGAGTGCAGTGGAGGAAGTGGAAAATTAGGACAAACCGAAAATTCTTTTTGATTCCCAATGCTCCAGTTGTATTCAAAATATCGTCTTTCGTAGTCCCTCTATAAGAGAGTCGGCCTTGCTATGTAGAGGCGTCGGAAGAATTTTGTGAGCTGGGAGTAGTGTCAAAAGTTATTCCACTGACTTTGTTTTTGTTTTCCAGGTTAGATGATGCTTGTGTACTGGCTCGGAACATGTGAAACCATAATCTATGCCAACAGAATCTGAGATGAAAACATCTTGGGTTTCACCTGCCTCTTTAGACACTTGACCATTATCCAGTCAAGAACCTCGAACCAGAGATTTCTGATTGGGAACTCTGTGAAAATACCATAGAGCATTCAAGACTATTAAGAGAATTGCGATAGCCTACGGAGATTAATATGATAGTCATCATCGAAGCATACCCCGCATTCAATCACACCAGATCCATCCAGTGGAACAATCTTTATGCCCACATTTTCGTCCTCCAAACTGTGAGTACTCCAGCCTTGTCATATCCCATCCAAAAACTACCCTTTTACCTGTTTTGATCTCTGAAGCTGTCGCCGACAAGACTATCTCTGGGGTGAGATAGGAGAGACGGAGTAGCGACGTCTTTTCGGTCAATGATGAAGTATGTCACCAGGGAACAACTTCTTTTCCTCAGTCCAAATTTTTGAGGGAGAGTACTTCGAAAATCATCTTTAGTCTGAATAAAATATGTAAGGAGTCAAACCACCAAAGTAACCAGCTGCTGAAGGTATATGTTACATTCGACGACCACTACGTGTGTGTATTATCTTCCGTTTCGCACACCTTTGGTATATCGGCACAGTGATGTATGTCAGTCATTGTGTGAACGAAGTGAATGACTTCAATTCAATTACTACTGTAATAAAGAACTAAGCGAACGCGAAAGAGACTAGCTCTTTTAGTAAGTCTATATAAGACTTACTACTTTCAATATGTAGCTAGCTCTTTAGACAGAATACAATTAGACATACAGGACCTACGTAATCCGTGGGTGCTACGTCTTCCGTATCCTTCTCGTACCAACAGTCATCTTCTCAGAACACAGTTAGGTTCCCATGCATAATATAAGATCTGAAAGATATGGGAAAAGTAAGCGGGGCGGCAGATGCTAACTTCTGTGGGATATACTATAAATGGACTATGCTTTGAACGTCTATACGAAAGTTTCTTCTATGGCATGTTTTTTAGATCATGTGAGAGCGTTTCTCTACATCGCGAGAAATCTCGGATACATGCTGCGTAATTCCAAGCGAGGGTCAATGAGCAAGTGCAGGCAGAGGCAGCACTACAACTCATCAAGATGAGGTTGACTTATGCTAATAGTTACTGTCATCTATCACACTGGCTGGAAAATGACACGAAATATGGCTGGTGGGTAGTGATCGTGGTGCCATTACGAATCCACTCAATCTCGTCACAAATCTCCGAAACATGTTTTACTTGCACGCTCAAGTTAGATGCATGCAAAATCTTTGAAGTGTTTAAATCCATCGCCTAAATCCTCTCAACACCATGATATATGTACAACCCAGTCTCCCTAAAGAAACATCGATGATTCGACCCCGCATTCCTGCTCAACCACCAAATCCTTAGTCCTTTTGCTTCTAACATACATGTCCCCATAACCTTCTTTAACATGCTACTGCGCGGCAATTTCATTTTGAGGTTTCATATCTAGTGGATTTGGGGAAACTGGTAATTGGTTAGCTGCTGACTCGACCTTGGGCTGTAGGTGCATGAAGAAAGAACAGGCGCAATGCCAAACTTCATCCGGCTCTCTGGTGATTATATGTAAAATAAAAATGGTCTTTTGTGGCTTTATCGTAAAATCGATAGCTATGCTTGGTACCTATTTGTTGTTCCTTTCCCAATTTTCTGGCGTGGCTGAGAGGAGAGATCAAGTGCTACATGTAGTGAATGAATCTTGTATTCAGATATGGTTGACTGAGGTATCAGAGTTGAAGAAACTTCAATACATTGCTCTGCAGCATAGGGTGATTCTTTTCATATGCTTACAGCCATTTGAAACATGATGTATAACTTTGAAACCCTGTGAGTATTCTCTCCTCATGATACTATTTTCTTGCCATTGAGACCAGTCTTTGGAGACAAATTAATTCACTCTATCCTCCTCATTATAACATCAGGGCACAAATCTTGCACGAACACAAATATAAGACAACCAGAATCCACAAATTCTACATTTCCTCAGCAAAACACCTCGATTACTTATTTCATCCGCAAGGTGTCTAATCATTTACTCATATTTCCTGCCGTTACCGTTAATGGTGTAGCCCCTCGTACAACTCCATGGAGAGTCTTCAGCTTGAAATGACCTACTCAGCAAAAGGTGATCAAGGATGGACTCTGCTGTGCTTCGAAAACGACAGAGGTGGCGGCCCAGCTAAAGCATTTAATAAAACGTATTATTACTGGCTCATAAAATGTCATGCCAGCATCTCAAAGATAATATATATCTTCACCAGTACCTTCAACCTATTCACGATCAACGTTAAATGGGTAGAGAAGTGATCATTCTAGTCATGGCCAGTACGGCCATGATCCAGCTTGAATAACTAGGTATACTTGGGTATCATGATCCATAATATGAGTGAGTAGATATTATGAATCAGCTAGTTTTTGTGACTGCAAAGAATAATGTCCTCTGACACATCACCGTGAATTGCGGAATTTATGAATCGCTTCTTGACTTTACGAAGAATACCTTAGTGGTGCTAAGCTTATAAAATTCCTTCTCTTCTTTTCAATGCTCATTTTCCATGTAGCAACATCATTCCACAACGGCCAAAAATACCTCGCGCTTGCACAATAAGAAGCCGAATCTTTCCACCCAGGATCTTTGCAAGAGCTGCTGTAGCTTCCGCAACAATAGGGTCTTCTCGCAACCTCTCACAACATAACACACAACATAACACGATCATCATTACGAATTCTTATCGTACCACTCCCAGCATCTGTGAGTCGAAGGTGATGCTTCAGTTCACTAAGCCAGTCAACTAACCTCGCAGGGAAAATAAAATGGTCTCCGAAAACACGTTCGAGAAAATGAGACATGGCCTCAAAAGCGAGTTCAGTGGGAAGATTGGCTGTAAAGATCTTCCCACTGAAGCCGTCAGTATTCTCCGGGAATTGTACGGACTGCGAATTGCCGGTACATATGTCGATGAAGTTAAATGCGAATCTATAACGAGAGATTTGACTTGAACAGACATGGACGGTATTCATAAGCATGTTCTGAATATGAAAGAAATCTCCGATGTGTGTTTACCTCCATTATTCCTGGAAAATCTTTATGGTATCATTAGCAGTTACGAAGGAAAGCTTACTGAAGCTATGTCGTACTTCCTCCAGGGGCGGCCCATTGTGCCGACTCTTTCACGCCTTGAGCTCAAAGATAAATCTCAAGCAAACATCATGTGGCAAATTATCCGCTTGCACACTCTCGTGGAAAAAGAACAAAAAGACTTGGTTGAGCATGGTAAGGAGATTACTTCCCAAACAAATATGGGCAAGGCGTTTTGGAACACAGATATAAAGATGAGCGTTGGCATTGACGGTAGCGAAAAATCTGGTCTATAGTTGTGGAATTGTAACATGGTAACTTCATGGTATGAGGGGCTCAAATAAAATGACACTATATCCAGGTAGCTAACTAGAATATAGATACAACAGCCTTGGAATCCGTGAGTGAATAATCGTGGGGTAGGAGCGTAGATATTAATAAACAATGATACGCGGAATAACAGATGGCTTTGGCAGTATTTAACACACAAATGAACCATGTTCTTGAACTTTTACAGTAAAGATTACTATATTACCATGAGTGAAGCTACACATTGAATATCATTGTCCTAAATGTGAATGCATGTCCTCATTAAGCACCACGTAATATGACCTCTCAAAATCTTGACTATGATTTTTATATCTTAAACGAGAATAGTCATGGACCACAGATTTCGAGGCATGAGTGACTCGATCAAGAGTATTTACAATGCAAGTCAGTATGATGTTACTCATACATGCTACCTCTGTCTGCAAAACCTTTACTTCTTTCTTCCTTTCTTTCTTCCTCCTACTATTCTACAACACACCCAACAAATCCAAGCACCAAACAACACAGCTAGCACATATCCACAAGGCCGTTTCGTTATCCAAACTAAGAGTTCAGAACAACACTGCAAAGCAATCTCAAGTATGATTTCCAGCGGATACTATGTAAAGTTTGTCGCTCACCTTATCCATAGGACCAGGCTCTATCCGCCCTTCTCTCTGCCTCTTTTAAAACCAAGCTTAAAGAACAAATAAGTCGTTCTATTTCGTAAGGATTCTTAGCAGTGTTTTTTCACTCGCGAGATGGATAGTCTTATCTAACTATGAGGTCAGGTCGATTCTCAAAATGAGTGGAAGTGAAGCAAAAACTCCTCAGTCAGCTTCGAGCTTGGCAAAAAAGCAGCAGAGACGGCTCGAGGATCAGCAGAAAGAAGACGAGCAACTTAGACAAAAAGTAGAATCATTAAAACGAGAATTCCAGGCATTAGTAGTAAAAGAAAAGTCACTGAGGGAGGAAAACGATGAGCTTGAAGTGAAATTGGCGGAATCCAACAGGGAAATTGGAGATTACAAGAAATCTTATGGCTGGCGAAAGACAGTTTCGGAAGATGGAAGTTCCAATGATATGGTAAGCTCATACATATGAGCAGCTCCAGCGGATTTACCAATCAGGAGTAGGGACATGCGACGATGTAATCTTAACTCAGTGGCTACTAGCACGGGTACCAGATACTAGAATTGGGATGGAGGACTGATACGGCACGCCGGAATACTAAGAATTGCCTGACTTTTGGATATTTATCTTTGAATTAAAAATTCATTCCACTCATAAAACTGTGCACTCTTTGATATAATATCGACCTGTCCTCCGTTGTTTAAATCTAGATCTAGAGACTAGAAAGTGCGAGTGTTTGAATCGGAATATGGTCACTATGCTGGGCAGTCACGCCAACGTCACATGAACTAACCTTCCAGTTCCATTGCACATTTAATAACACGAACTTACACCTTTGGCCTCAGAACTTCTGGACCAATGTATCGTGCTGGGCTTCTCTCATCGAATCAGTCTCAAATATTCATCCTCATTAGATTTCCTACTTTAGAGGCTGCATAGTGCGAAAGTGGAACTAAGGACAATCGTGCCTGCCATACTTGTGCTTGCGAAATCCAATCTTGAGTTTCAAATCAAACCTTCATTGCCCACACCTTTTACAATACTTTCTTTCCAGCTCTTCAAATAATACCACGAAAAACCGTTCGTGCGATCACATTCGAAACTACACTGCTATATCGTGGTCCTCGTTTCAATTTTAATTCTCTGCTTAGCACAAACACTGGGAGTCATAGCATTCCAACACAGTTCCTGGGCAATTCTTTCAGGTATCCTCATCGTAGTACCTCCCAACCGCAAAATGACAAGCATCCGGGAAGCAGTCAAAAAAGAACGCAGGGTCTCATATATGCTATGGAAAGCCGTCAATTCGCAACTAGAACTCGAGAAAGCTACGAATAAATTAATGCAGGATATGTATGAGGATTTGGAGAACATGAGAGTTTCCGGGTGCTCAAGCGAGGATTGGACTACAATGTGCGAGATGGCACAGGAGCTGGTGGACACTCTCAAAATGTTGAAAGAACAGCCGTCCGATTCTATGCTAGAGGAGAGGAGTATCGAGCTAAAGGTTAAGGAAGCAATCAGAGAAGACTCGGAGGACATAGAGGATGAAATTAAGGATGAACCTGAGAAGAACATTGATGAGGACGTTGAGGAGTACATCGAAGTATTGATCAGAGAGATGCATCCGAATCTGGATCAAATTAGGGCTGCTGCTGGCTTAGAAGAAGATGATCTACATGATGTATTTGGGCTGGCAAAATAAATGGACAAGCCCCAAAAATTTATCTTGGGTGGAAAGGAGAAGGCGACTATTGAGAAAGATAAGAGCAGTGATGCGGAGAATTAGGGGAAGAATAAGAAGCAAGCTTGAAGGGACGCGCTGAAGCACTGAAGGAATCACAAATTTTCTCCAGCATTTCGTACAATGAGTTTGGAGATGGGAGTTGAATGTATGTTGAAAAAGAAGGCTGTTTTCGAGTTTCTCGTTGGAAATTTCGTCAATCTCTAGAAGGCATAGAGGCAGCCATAATGGGAAGACTTGTGAGGATGTGATCGAATCATGCATGGCTAGAGCTACACTATTAAACATCTATACTATCGCCGCTTCTTGGAGGATATCAAACTTTTTTTTGGCTTGTCTCAAGTGATTTCACATGAACGATGTGACGGTATTGGGAGAAGTGTCGGAGAATTTGTCATGGAATCCACAATTGCTATATCAAAAGAGGCATTACTGCTTCACCTTGGGAAAATTTGTGACCGGTGGTTATGTTATATGGCATTGCAGATTGTCATTACTACGATAATCAGCGGTTTCCAAAGCAGGTTAATTTGTGCAGATATACTTTGCTCTATTAGCTGTCTTTGCGAACTACACAGAAAGTATGCTACCTAATATATTCCCATGTACATTCAAGCCAAACATATTTCACAAGACAATTTTCATTGGTAATGCTTTTTTCGATGGCGTGAGTATTATACATAACCCAAATTGTAGAGCCGTTTTTGTCAATTCACTAGAAACATCCCACTTGGGTGAGTCAACCGAGTGTCCCTATTCCCACGTCATTTCTACCTCGAGACCCCATTCGTTTTCTCCTACGTGCGAAGAACCACAGAACATATTTTTTCTTTGAATTGACTAACTATTGCTACTCGGAGACCAAGCTTAATAGATCATTTGTCAAACTATATTATCATGGACACGAATTACAAAAGTTTTGCCACAAAATGCCCTTTGTTAGATGTCAGATATCTTATGGAAAGCGGCCATCAATTTGACATGCAAAAACACCAAGCACTATGCAGGGACTACAAACTACGCAGAGAGAATGATTACAATGCACGCCCACCCAGTGCACTCTCTGAGACACGAAACGTGGTTACAATCGAAGAATCGAAACGCGGCAGGGTGCCATCGGAGGCACCAACAGACAAAGAAGGGTCACAAGCGCTATTTAAAGAACGTCGAGAGGAGATTAAGAAGAGGAGACGGCAGAAATTACAGGATAGTTATGATATAGGACCTTTTGATCCGCTCGTGTATGATCTTCTTGAAAGTCAGGTTGTGCATTATGAGGTGTTGCGGCGATGCAGATTAGTTCCCATCATTGTTAATTCACAGTCTAGCTGGCAAGAATACAAAGGTTGGAGTTTCTTCATGCTCATCCTTTGGTTGTTAGTGTTTCGCTAATATTTGCCTTCAAATTTTAGAATCAGGCCATGCGCCAGGACATGGGAGTTTCCGCTCAAATCTACCTCTTCCACAGCTCTTGGCTCCGAACAAGAATTGCAACCCATTTCGTGGTCAAAATAATATTAGTGCCATTGGGTAAGTCGTCGCTGGCACGAATGGGCTATTCGCACAAATGTAAAAGGAGATCTCGCTAATCGCTGAATAGAAAGAGTGGGGCTGGTGTTACGAATAAAAGTCACATCCCGAAAAAAAGGGCAGTGATCAGTAATTATTGCATAAAAGGCTCGATGACTTTGAGTTTCTGATAGCTTTTATGTAAGAAGGATATGGTGAAGTTGATGTCCAAGGGAGTTGAAGATTGTTCCAAAACTTGGTTTGAGAAAGTCACCCAAGGCCTTCAAGTGATTTCTTCGCAAGGTCGGAGATACGCATGATGAATTTACGAAATTGGATATATGGCAAAAATTTGAGAGCGATGTTCTGAGAACTGCAGATAGAAGGGGGATTAATTGGGGTACTTTAATCACCTGGTAAAATCTTACCATCAACAAGATTATTTTGGTGCACAGATCATCAAAATCAGACACAGGCTTCATCTCTGGTGGTCTATCAATTGGCTTCTCAACAAGACAACATTTGATTCGCTACTTTGTTTTTGGTTTTTTTTGGTGAAGAACACCGTAGTCCATGGTCTAGAGGTTCAGCTGAATAGGAACGGTACAATAAGTCTAAAGAACTGGTACTTACCGTTCTATCATTTCCGTTTCTGAAATAAGTTTTTAGGTCCAAGCAATCCTATAATTCCCTCGCACTTACATGAACAACGAAGACAAATCATGAGGTTTCTAATGAGCGTACAAAAGATACAAGCCCAGCGGCTGTTTCCTCGCATGCTATCAAAATTTTCATGTTAAGGAAATAACCAAGAAGTCCGGATCGTCGCAGGAAGGTAAAGAAAATAACTTGTATTGATCTTGTAAACAGCGCACTGATACATCATATTCGCATGAACTTAATATTATAAGGGCCTTGCTGGAAATATACTTTGGGGCTCCGTTTTCTTGTGATGGCCAATTCGATAAGCAAGAAACACTTTGAAAATTTTTTAATGGTTTTAAAAGGGCAATGGCAGGTCGAACTGCAATATGAATGATCTCTATCTTGTTCTGCATCTTCCACCTCGAAAGCTGCCCCGTCATCTGCGCCCAGCTACGCAACCGTAAGTTCCTTGGTCAGTTAGAGTGGCAAAACATCGAGTGTCCAGATTTGTTGTTGAGGATTTTAGCAGAATAAAGACGTGAAAGTTCCCGTGTAAAAGAAACCACCAAAAAGTTTGATGATATGCCGATAACTCTGGGGCGTAAGGAGGGCAACTACATTCGACCAGAACTGAGGCGTGGTTCCTGTGAATCGTGTTTGACAAAATCAAGAAGACAATACTAATATTTGATAGCATATCGATAACGAGGAACCCCAGTATCTGGGTTGCTCAACAATGCATAGCTGAGTAGGATGTTGATATCCTATTGCCCTTGATAGAATCACAGGTGTGTGGTCCTGGAGTTCATAGTGCTGTCAGATTCTGGCACATGGAGTCTAGACATTTCTAAGGAGGAACGATTGTTTATTTCCACATTTCCGAAAATTCTACAGGAATGGACCTTTCAGTACGACCTGTCCGAAAGCTTCGAGATGTGATGCAAGGGCATGTTGGATTGCTGAGTGATGCAGTAACTAGAATAAGCCCTCTGACATATTTGAGAACCTTCCAAACTTCGAGGTTTCTTTTTCAAAGGAAGGTCAAGGCAAACACCCTGCTATTAATCCAGAGAAAAGGCGACCACAAGTTTAAGCCATCAATGAGATAAGATGTGACTTGGTATGCCCTGAGTTTACCTCAACACCAACAAGTCGATAACTCTAGATCAGAGTTGCAACACATAGCAATCCACCTTCATATAATGCACCCGCTTATCTGCATGTGCGTGAATTTAACCTCAAAATTACCCAAAATGAAACCCACCAAATAACTTTCCCATATCTACTCGAGCATCCCCGCGAACAATTTAAAAGCGCCATCTGGTAATTTATCCTAAGTTAGACTCGCTGCAAAATAAAAGACTCTGAATCAGTGTGATAAATCTAACAATGGTTATGCCCAATTTTCGCTCCCTGAGATGCCAATTAAGGGCCCTCCTCTCCAATATTCACACTCCAAAGTTAAACAGTCCGACAAAGAAAACTCAGCACATCTTTGCAAACAAGCACAGGAAATCTCTACCAAGTACCGTCATCATTCAACACCTATCTAAGCATTTCCTCCGAACCCACACCTTGCATAAAATCTCAAAGCAGGATGTCTTGCAAGCCCGAAGAAGAAAAGCAATATCAAACAACAGTTCTGCACCAAAGGAGATCTTTACAGAAGGCAAACCCACAGCACAATAATTTAAAGCAAAAGCGGATACAGGAATGGGCATGGAAAAGGCTTTTATCAAAGAAGAAAGCGAGAAGATGCTGCCCGAAAGCTCATGGAAAAGGTAGCAAAAGTGTGGTAAGGAAGCGAGGGGTGTCCACCAGTGCAAAATAATATGAACGCTTTACAAATAGGTAATCAAACAGAATAAACACCTGAATCAGGTCGTCAACGACTAAGCCAACGCTCCCACACGACAACAGATTCTCGTTGGGTTAAACGTGGGATCCAGGAAGCATTGTTACCTCGCATACTGATGTTCGGATCCTTCTATAGGTTGATAGAAAGAGCTAACACACACTCTTCTGTCATTATTGTCCATTCATTCATTATAAACCTTGGGTGGGAGCGAAGGGCCCTGTTATTGAATCAGAAGTCTTGGACTTTGGTATGTTTCTGTCACTAATATTTGAAGATGCTAATAAACACATCCTCTTATGTTTCATTGGTGTGGCAGCTGAGTGCCTCAGTGCGCGGAGGCTTCTTTTGCTGAATCACCAGTATGGATTTTGGTGTTCTTCCATCACAATGAAAAAAAACACCTTGTATGAAATTCTTGTTTCATCTTTGAAATTTGATCCTCATATGCGCCCTGCTCCAATAAAGCCCATCAGTGACATATGACTGATTCCAAAGTTTTTTCCAATATCTACATCGCCTCGTACATCATCTGAACTCTTTATACACTCTCTAACCCCAAGTCTTAAGTGCCTTCATACTTCCCTCTTGATCGAATGCCTTGTGCATATCGAAGCTGTTCCACAACAAATGGGGCTCGTGACCCCATCCTCTCCTCATGCATTCGAACTCAGCCTTCCTGTAGTAGTCCTCCAAAATTGGCTTGTAGTCTGGATGTGAGCATTTCTCAATGATGACCTTAGCTCGCTCTTTTGGACTCAATCCTCGAACATCAGCTAGACCCTGTTCAGTAACAACTACGTCCAAATCGTGCTCTGTTTGGTCAACGTGTGTGCACATAGGGACAATGCAAGAAACACCGTGAGGATCGGTCTTGGATGGTCTGGTAGATGGAGTGTGCATGATACTATACTTGGCAGAACGGAGGAAATCAGCTGAGCCGCCAAGACCGTTCAACATGCGAGAACCCATGACATTGGTGCTGTTTGCATGTGCGTAAATATCGACCTCAACCGGTGTGTTCATACCAATAACTCCCAATCTTCTGATGATCTCGGGGGAGTTGGAAACCTGCTGTGAGCGGAGCAAGAGTTTGTCGAAGTATTGCTCCCATCCATCGTAAAAGCGCTTGAAACCTTCTGGAGAGAAACGAATGGAGGTCGCAGTTGCGAAGTCTAAGCGTCCAGAATCAAAAAGATCAAGGAAGGTATCTTGAAGCACTTCTGTCCAAACCTTGAGATTCTGGAATTTAGACTCGGCTAGACCACCGATAACAGCATTGGCGATGTTTCCGATACCGGACTGAATTGGTAGAAGGTTCTTGGGAAGACGGTCGTGCTTGACTTCGTGCTCGAGGAACTCAATCAAGTGAGCAGCGATGGCACGAGAGGTAGCATCCTCGGGTGCATTTGGTACGGTTTGGTCTTGATAATCGGACTCGACAATGGCAACAATCTTCTCGGTATCAACAGGAATGGCGGTTGTTCCAATGCGGTCCTCTGGTGCCATAATCAAGTATGGTTTTCGCTTTGGTGGAAGTTCGGTCATGGTGATATCGTGAAGACCCTCGAAAGAAGGCATAGAAGTGTTGACTTCAACGATGATCTTGTCCGCCATTTGAATCAATTCTGGTGACGCTCCAACTGAAGCTCCGGGAATAATGCCACCATCTTCAGTAATGGCGGTAGCCTCAACGATAACCACATCCAGCTTTTTGTTCGGGCGGTCTTTTGTGTAGAATCCATAGACCAAATCGACAGGGAACATGGACAGATGTTTGTCGAAGAAATTGATATTGCCATTGTTGATACCTTTTGCAATAGCTTTTCCGACTTGATGAGGACTTCGTCGTTCGATCATATTTAATTCTGCCCATCGATTTTCGGTCTCCGCTCCAGAACTAGCACCTACAAAGAGGGAGTACTTAAGCTTGCCCTGCAGACTGTTCTTCTCTACATGATCGGCGAGCATTGTTGGAATCTTCCTACAGAGTTTCCATCAGTATTGGTTTCTTACGGAATGAATTCGACGCTGTTGTTTGACCCCTCTCTTGCTCAGCACCGCAAAAGAACTGCAATTGATACTCACTTAGGATATCCCACACCCGTGAATCCGGACCATCCAATGTAAGCTCCATTAGGGAATAAAGGGATTAAATCTTGAGGATGAGCGAGCTTGTTGAGCAAAGATGGCCTCCTAACTCGAGATTTCAATGCAGCGGAAGCTGTCAAAGCTGCCGAAGAAGCCATCTTGATAAGATTAAGCTATAGGACTAGCAACAGTGTAGAATGAATAAGACCAACCCCCCAAAAAAGGAAAAAAGAGAGTGAGACGAGATGAGATGAGATTCAGGAAAAAAGGGAAATGTGATGAGGCCGGGGGATAACCGAGTATTTATAGAATATTTATAGAATCATCATATGATCTGTTTACTCTGGGAGGAAGGGGGAATGCGAGGGGGGGTGGTCAAAAGATGGTTGAATTCGAGGAAGCTCAACCGGGTTCGCTGGATGATGGGTGCCCCGCAATGGATCGGTTACAAGGAGAAAATTCACTCCGCCATCGCAATAAATTCGGTTACTCGGGTTAACATATCTGCAAGGACATGTCTACATATATATACACCTACACACATATATATATCTACATCTACATCTACATCTACATCTACCTAGCATCACCACACCTACTTCAGTATTACTTTAGTATTGTGCACTGTACAGTTACTAACCTACTACTCCCGTCCCTACTTGTAACTGCCATTCAATACTTCGTAGTCATTCAAAAACTCAAGAAACACCTTTTAAATTGGTTTGTGCGATGCTAAACTTATGCATTTCTTAACAGATATCCATTCCCACAGATCTACTCTAGTTGCCTGTACTTCGTTACGGCATGGTCGAATCACTTTGCCAGAAAGCCTTCTTGGCAGCTTACTCGCGTTTCCGTAGAACGAATCCCCTTTCCGTCAAAGTCGGTCAGCAAGTCTGTTTCCAGACCTACGGATAAGCTATTACCTATGCATTCCATACATAGACTTTCTGCCTCATCACACATTCGGATAAAGCGTTTATTTTGAGGATCGTAGTACATTTATTTGCTTGGTGTTACACTATAAAAGGCTTTCAACGACGCCTCTGCTCCATATCCTCCTGTCTTGGAGGAGGCATATTCATGGCTTCTCTCGCTGCCCTCAAGGCAGCTTGGTTTATTTTCAACTCTGCACTATAATCCCCAAAGGCCCGAACTATTTCTCTAAGTCCGCTTTTCAACACAGCGAGTAACAAATCTACCTCGGGGCTCTCTTGTCTTCCTTCTACATCTGTCCAATGTGCGCCCAATCCGGTCCTAAACTTCTGCACTTCCACAATCGTCTTGGTATATATCTCAACGATTTCCCTGATGTCCTTCTGTACCTTTCCGTATTTGTCTTCAACAAGACTGCACACAGCAAACCTAGTTATTGAGTCGATAGCATCAATGATGATACCTAGATCGCCATAGGGGGTTCCTAACACTACGCTTGCAATCTCTTTTCGATATTCCTGCCTGAACGGTTTTCCGAATGGTAGCCTGAGAATCACAATCGCCTGCTCACGTAGGATTTTCTGGATTCCCTCCGGCTGTTGAAATTGTGTAGATACTGCGGACTTAATTGCTGCCTTTTTCTTGTCGTCCTTCAACTGGCGGCTACGGGATATCTTATCAGGTGGTGATAGTTCCCCCTGACTCTTTGCAAATGAGCCAACCGCTTCCAGATAACGCCTACTTCTTGATTCCGCTGGTTGAGGTTTTGTCACAAGACCACTCTTTGGTTCTTTCTTTAGGGGTTCAGTCAAGAGACGGGGAAGTGATGATACTGGGTCCTGCGTCTCCTGCTCCTCATACAAACTGATCACCGGTGGTTGTTTTTTTGGATCATATTCTTCGATACGCTGATTTATCTCATTAATTGTCTCGAGGCATGTTGCAAGGATTTGAGACCAAGCTGAACCGCCCACACGGTCAATGTCTTCGAAAATGGCTTTCCGTCTTCCCTGGTACCGCTGTGCAATTTCTACAAGTTCCCAAAATGCGAAAGCCTGAACGGTGTTAATACAATCTCATAGGAAGAGCTTGAGAGAGGGTGCTTACTCTTGTTTGCAACTTCTTACCCTTTAATCCAGTCAACAAACTCCCATTTGGGTCTCGAGATTCGTAGGTAATTGGTCTGTCATGCTTCAAAGGCGCCTGCGCCACATAAACCGAGAACGCAAGATTTCCAAATTCCCACAGTAAGGTAAGCATGAGCCCGGAAATAATCGTCCTAAGCACCATGGTCCAGTGGAAAGGCAACTCATTCGGGGGAGTAGCGGCTTTTGGTAGGTTCCAGAAAATCTTTGCAAATGAACGGGTAAATCCCCATACACTCTCTCTGATATTGAACGTGTAAATCGGTAAGATGACAGGGACAGGAAGGGTAATATTCATAGAATAGATAAAGGGAGATACCACAGCCATGATAGCAACGCGCTTGAGACAGCTTATAGCTAGAGGCATTGCCTTAGCTTTCAATTGAACCGTTGGCAGTACAGTTGTATGTGAAGATTGCTCGGATGAAACCTCTGGTCCGGTCTTCGTAAGTGGAATATCGATGCGATCATAGTCGTACATAAGGTGGAATCCAGCTTGTACAATAGCATTAAATAAAAGAAACATAGTTAAATAAATAGGTTTCTCGTTCAATATTGGTCGACTGGTTTTTGCTGCAAGCTTGATGCGATTGAGACCTGCACTCTCAGGAACTGACCATATGTATATCTCGCTGAAAAACCATGCCGAAAAGAGATACCAAAGAGCTGTCTGAACGGTCTGAAATTTGGGCGCGTATTGTATAAATGTGTGGAAGGTCGAGACTGAGGTCCGCATTCCGACATGTAATTGAGCTACTCGAAGGATGAATATCATGAATGCGCATATGAAGAAAAGACCGCTTCTGATGCCAGCCCTACCCAGAGGAAACCATGACCAAAGGACTGCAGGGTTTGATTAGCACGTTCAATTTGTGAAGCCGAAGATACATACATGAATTCCATTCCCCGACCCATACCGCTTCGATGTAGCATACTGCTGCCAATACAGCCGTTGCCAATGCAAATCTTCTATGCAAGGCTGGAGTCAAAAAGTCCTTGTAAGGACGAATCCGTACTGCAGGCGGCATGGTGGGAAAGTTGTGAGAAGTTGCGCCTTAAAAGAGTAAACATCAATAAGAAGAATAGAGATCTATGAAGGTTACTTGTTCATGATGTTGTTTTTGTCGTTGTCGGACGAGTAAATAAAGATAGCAATATTGAACTCTTTTGTTGACATTCGATCTCTAGACAAAATAAATTTATTAGAGTTTGGTAGACCACCAGACGCGAGAGCTTCCGCTCAGCTAGAGCTGCCACCCACTGGTGACCCTTGAGAGAGAGCAAATGGCCCTAGCGAGATAAGGTTATGGAACATCATTCAATTGATCATTGATCACATCTTCTAGATTATCACAAGTTTACTCCGTATAGTCAAAACAGGCTGCGAGCGTATTTCTTCTGTAGCTAAAACTTGAAATTTACTCACATTCGAAAGGATTCTTTTGTTCCGTCAAATAATAAATCATGTCCTTCGATCAGTTATCATCGCTGGAGTCGCAACCGACAACCATGCGCAGAGAGGATGATCCTCAATATGCGGACGATCCGGAGTTCCAACGGTTATCGCAAGATCTTATGACGAAGCTCTTCTCATTGACAGGAAATATCTCGAGACTTTCAAATGAGATAAATTTACTGGGAACAAAGAGAGATACGGAGAGGGTTCGGGAAAGAGTGCACGATCTTTTGGAAGAGTCAAAGGACACCTTCAAGGAGGTTGGCGATGGCGTCAAGAAGATACAATCATGGGAGGATGTCAGTGTAAGTAATGAGCTGTATTGGATAATTTAGATGGAGTATTGATAGTTGATGATAGCCATCGCAAAAATATACTCAAGCAAAGCTTGCGCGGGAGTTTCAGAATAACCTGACCGAATTCCAAAATGTGCAGCGCCGGGCACTTGAGAAGCAGCGATCTTCTGCCACAGCGGCACGAACGGCCATGGAAGAAGCACAATCACCAGGGGCTGAGGGCGGAAATCGATTCGGCCAGCAACAATCTCAGGAACAGCTTAGGTTAGCTTCGCAAGACGAGGTGGATTTCCAAGATTCGTTGATTGTAGAACGTGAGGCCGAGATCCGGAATATCGAACAGGGTGTCACTGAACTGAACGAATTATTCCGAGATGTTGCACATATTGTCAATGAACAAGGTGAGACCCTCGATACAATTGCCAACAATGTGGAAAACGTGCATTCGGATACAAGAGGGGCAGATCTGGAACTGAGGAGTGCTGCAAGATATCAAAAGAATGCTCGGTCGAAGGCTTGTTGCCTGCTATTGATATTGGCCATCATCCTCACTATCATCATATTGGCAGCCACTCTTGGCTAGATGGTTTTCTTTGGGACAGTTCAATATGTTATATCCATGGCGGAGTTTTGGCGTTCTTCCCACGACATCTTGCTTCTACGTCTCTACACTTCCCTTGTCCTTTGTAACTGAGCCCGGAGTGTTTTTTAGAACCATTTACATCATGGAAGTGGGGGGGTGGGAAGGGGGGCGCCATTTTGTCTAGGTCATTTATCGACCTTGAAATAAATATACGACATCTAAACTCCTCTCTGCATGGCTCCTATGTGATTGACAAATTTATCGGCTCGTCTAAAGTTTATCACAACCGCATGGCAGTTAGTAGTATCAGCAGCAAATGAGTGACAAGAGCAAACCACGAAATACATTAACTTCAGCCAATCAAGTATATGACTGGATGTGTACAATTTATAATAGCTGTTTTGTTCCTTTGTTGATAAACGGATTCTCCTGTACGTCACATCATTGCCTGACATCATCACAAGGCTTCGTCCAACAGTTGGTCAGTCACCCGAGAGCGATTTTCATACATTGAAAGATTCGCGTTGCCTCGTAAAGTAAGAATATCAACATCGTGTTATCTTACTCACAATTCCAGCATGGATATTGAATTGGATCAAGCTAGTCTACAGAAGGCTTTTCAAGCTCGTCCAGATATACAGAATGCCATAGCAGCAGCATCGCAGGGTAAGTGTATATCTCTCAGCCTTGCAAGAAAAGAAAATATCTAGTATCTAGAAAAACAACATTGCGCCCACAACTTTGGAAGAAGTAATCTCCAATCCCTTGGCTAACCCTCAAATAAAGCTGGCCCAGAATACATCGAGCTCTTTAATCAGATTTCATTACACGTCTGCGAGACGATATCCCAGCAAATCTCAGAACCAGCTTCAAAGAAGCGCCGCATAGATGAGAGCCTCGCAAGTCGAAGTATCCCGAATGGCAGAAATAGCGCAAACACCGCCGGAAGTGCACCTGCCACTGGAGAAGATCCAATTTTGCTTGAGATCAAAGAGATTTCTGTGGTGATACCACAGCGCAAGAAATATAACCTTTGCTTCACATCGACACATCTCTACGCACGATTACCGACCTCTGAGGAGCCAGCATCTGGCATGAGCTATGCCTGGAAGGACATTGGTAATCCCCATGCTCCCTGGATCACCAGACGCTCGCTAACTAAGTGTACTTGTAGAATATGTATTTTGTCTTCCCGTCCCAGAAAAAACGCAAAAGCAATACAATTACATACTCTTTCCCAAAAACTCTAATATATCGCCGTCCAAACTTTCAGCCTCTGCATCACCCATACCTGAACCTTTAGTCTTTACGATTACAGACGGCGCCGCAAAACCGGGGATTATTGGTGGAACGGATAGTTCAGCAGCTTCAGCGGTCTCTGATGACTACAAAACTCTTCTCACCTGGGCTCTTTCCTCCTTCTTAAAGGCTGCTGGTAATACCCTCAAGATCACAGAGTCTGACCCTAAGATATTTGCCAGCGCAGTCAAGCAAAGCCACCGACCAAACGAGAAAGCGGTGCACGTCAGAGCATTCAGAGGATCCAAAGATGGATATCTGTTTTTCCTGCCTACTGGAATTCTGTGGGGATTCAAAAAACCATTATTGTTTTTACCACACAATCGCATCACTGGGCTATCTTTCACAAGCGTCTTACAACGTACTTTCAATCTTTCACTCGAGATTGACATGTCAGTCCCAGGCGGCGGAAACACCACCGAGGAAATGGAATTTCAGATGATAGACCAAGAAGATTTTGCCGGCATAAATGAATTTGTACAAAGACATGGATTGCAAGATAAGAGTATGGCCGAACAGCGTAAGGCCAAGCGATTGAATGTGAACGTGGTGAAGGATGAAGATGGGAACGTAGTCGGGAACGCGGAAGCGGGAGAGTTGGAAAGGGCGGCGCAGGAAGCTGAACAAGCAGCAATGGATGAAGAAGACGAAGACGAAGAGGACTATGATCCGGGAAGTGAGGGCGAGAGTGAAGGGAGTGGCACGAGTGATAGTGAGGAGGATGATGACGAGAATGGAGAGAGTAGCGGTGCCGAGGAGGATGGTGAAGATGATGAGGATGTGAATGAAAAGAATGGGGAGGAAGAATTGTAGGAATAAAACGGCTGAGCTCCGCTATGAGCGTGGACGTATATGTTGCATTTCTGATCGATTTGCCGTACCAAAGTTTGGTTTGGGCATGTAGTATCCGTGGGCGCTGGTTAGCACTTGTATGAATGGCATAAAAGGTCCAACTCCATAATGTTATTTTGTCCCGTTTCCATCATGGAGATACCATCATCCATCCCAACTCGCCCACACCATCCTGGTCTCCCAAAGTCAACATAGGAGTCACGGGTATTGATATCTCATCTGACTAAATTGTTGCTTTATGTCTCAGTATTACATGGGCAAATGTTAGTTGACATCAAGCTCTTCGCATAATTTGTGATAAATATTTGTGTCTTGTCCTCCCGACGAGCTCAATCTCAATCCCTCATCGCTCTCATCTCGGAGTGTATAGGACGTCTACCTTGTCGTCACGAGTTTTTGCAAGTGGTTGTCGGGCATTAACTGATAATAGATTTTTGACTGCTATATGCCAGGTCGTTAGTTTTTGATGGTCCCATTTTGAAATAGTAGCGATATATCTCTTCGCTGCTGGGAGGGCAACTCCATTTGGGTAGATGCTTCGCGTGCGGCAAACATATGATTGGGAGACTGCTATTGTCCCCATCAGTTCCTTATGTTCCGGAGATTGATGTGGAAGATACGATAAATTGCAATATATGCCCCTAGGACTTCTCACGCCCCAACTACTAAAGTCCATACCTTCTCATAGTGATCATGTTAATTTATGTGTAGACTCTACTTGAATTTTGCAATTATGCGTCTCCTTGTTATCTACGTTCAACCATTGATGCGAAGCTCATGCTGGGATAAGTACTGATGGTATGGGAAAGCATGTTCGTATTGCGGAGGACATCCTTATCATGCAACTGCATGTTTCTCACTAGCAGCAAGATCGTTTTTTTTTTCAATGTCTAAATCATGTGCAGAGAATTCCGCACACACTACTTTGCTGACAATAGGCTTTGCGACATCTGTAGATTGGAAGTGAACGATGATCCGAACATTTGTTCCCAACCTACCTGTACCTTGAAAGTTGAGAGCACCAGGAACAAACAGACCGCGGCGCTCGCCTTGTTTACCTAATTCGGTGCATTCGCCTTCATGCCATTCACCAATTCGCTACTACATCATTCCAGCAGCAATTCCCCCTCCCCACCCCATCTCCTCTGCCCTTCTATGCACGCAGCGTATTCAAGGGCTATCAGTGTCGATGTTGACTCATCGTTTGTCGCCCTCAAGATTTTCACATCCATTTAGTGGTGTCAATGATTATGTAGTACATGTCCAAATAAAGGCCTATTTGTCCATGACACATCGATTCACTCCATCCCCCACCATCCCCCACTCGTTCCCAAACCTCATCAATACGAAAAGTCATCTCTCTACGCCATCATGCAGCTGAACCCCTGGAAAGTTGAGATCTCGGACGGGGGCTATCGTAAGACCAAAAGGAAGAAAGAAAGAAAGCAAGAGATTCCTTTAGAGGAAAGAAAATGTGAAAAAGATTTTCGGTCATTCTAGTTTTTAAGATTCTCCACCACTTGGAGTGAAAAAATAGAATAAAATAAATTATTATCCTGGCGGGCGGCATAGTCGGCCTAAGTCAGGACTCCACCGGCCGATTGCGTCTGAGAATGAAACGAAATCTGAACAGGAAGCCATACTGAACAAGGAATTTTGTGCGTATTAGCTAGCATCTGCTGTTGAATTCGGAGGTGAACCGAGAGACTTTGCTATCGGGATCTCGTACCGAGAACCTTTTACATGGATCGTTTTCCCAAAAGGCTCCAATACACATTTGAGAACGACGTCGTTGAGACTCGAGAGGCAATTTTGGGAACAGGATGCAACCGTTGGGATGATGGATATTCCTTTCGGTGTTTATACTATTTTTGTCTTTCCTTCACCCATGTTTCGGAAAAGGATAAGTGAAAAGGATAATACTGTAACAATAAACCCAAAAAGACGTTCCGGTTGCAAAAGTTTGCCACATTGGCATGGTTAGTTCATAATCTCATATATTGGTAGCACAAGCATTAGCACTTAAGTTTTAACACTAGGATTCCGTACAACCTCAAGTCCAGACCTCTGTGCCTGCATGAACTTGCAGCTTTCGTGGTTCCAATTCTTGTCTCTTGCATATCAAAGGTTTGCACCTGAACTAGAAAGTGTATTGAAATTTGAAAGATGTCTCCGGGTAAAATAAAGGAGCTGAATAGAGGTAGAGTAAAGAAAAAGCCAAAAGCCTCAATGTCGTATTGTTAGTGTGTCGGATGCTTTTCCGTACCTTTGGGCTTGGTTCGGAAGATTTGAACGGGATCGTTTGTAGAGTTGAATGGAGGCAAGCCAAGAAGTGACATGAACTTATATCTCCGAATATTCATGTTTATGCTCATGCTTATGCTTATGCTCATGCTCATGCTGTAGATTGTGGATTCGGACATGTGAGTGAGATGAGGAAGATTGTGCTTTGCCAATAGAATACATACACTGCAGACGCAATATTAGAAATGGAATGATGAAAAAGAAAACTAGCAACTCATGGGCAAAAGTGCAACGTGAATGTATTGTACGAGACAATACATTCATAGTACAAGTACAGGTACTTGAAATTCAAGTCATGCGACTTCCAAGAATTTATCTACCTAGTCCTATAATAAATACTATCTATCGGACGAAAGACCTCGAAAACTACCCATGCAAGAAGTCACTTGCCAATTCAATTCGGTATTCAAATTTATTCTCTATCAAAAACTATCACAGCATTTACAATACTACACTACAACGTCCGTCACACACATGCCGTGTGTCTTCCTCAAATACTACTAGAAATAGGCACGGGAAATCCATTACCGGTCACTCTCACTGGATTCTCAGAATGGAAAGCTGGCAAACTGCAGTACCACCCAGTTCACCAATTCAAGACCCCGAAAACGCCATCATAAAATCACAGTGTACATCGCAGCGGCAAGATTAACGTCCCCGAATGCACAAGTGTATGTATGTATGTTTCTTCCTAGCTGCAAGCCAACGGGGTCAAGTACATGAGGTCTGTACAGTCTGTACACACATGGTATGCAGATGTCGAATACTCTACGGTACACGAGTATACCAAATCTCGTGTGAAGAGGCCCAACGTTTCAGAACACACTCACTATATTGATGATGGTAGGAGTATGTGACATGCACTTGGAGAGATGGCTAGCTTGAAACATCACGACATTTCATTTCCTTCGTACAACTCTTGCAAGTCGTGAAGCCTTACAGCAATGACAAACGCTACCTCATATATGGACGATAGGGAGTGGGTACATGGAAACGTTTAGGAAAGTGTGCTCGGGCCTTACAATCAGCCCAAAGTCCAAGCCCAGATCTACAAGTTGCGTGTATGTACACTGTGCGCATTGGCTCATTCGCGCACTCTCACCTGATCAGGACTCAAGCTGACCGATTTGTGAGAATGCCGCGAGCCTTGCTCTGGAGAGGACTCTACAGCTAAGTTCAGGTGGTGAGATTAGAAAGGCTTAGCGGAGGGAGAGACAGGCGCACCGATTACAGCGCCAGCGTCATAGATTCCCTGGCAAGTACATACACTGAATAGGCGTGCGCCTCATGCATCCAGACCCCATGTAGCGTCGATCACCTCAACAGGACAGAGGAAAGTCTAGTTGTCTACTCGGTAGAGCATGCTAGCTATAGTTGTGTTGGTACATTTCGGCTTTCATGCCCAGACTGCAGGTACACTTTTTAGCGATGGCCACGCACTCCTTGCATGTCCAGCTCCCTCCATATTGCACTGCCCTAAAAATAATGCATCCATAGGTATTGAGTTCGTGAAAACCTAAAAGAGCTGCGAGCATCTCGTTGAGTCTTTGAAAAAGTAGGCGGGAAAATATGTTGAATGGGAATATGTGCCCGTGGAAGTTCGATCAAAATCTGGTGGCCTTCCAGAAACAGAATATCCGCGCCAATAGATACATCGATTAAGTTACTGCGTACAATGTAAGAATCAAAAAATTTCCTGGATACAGTCGCCTTGTGTTGATTGGATCCGAGCATTGTTGATGCAGTCTTATGTTGTACACTGAGTGCTTACCATTCAAACTTGATTGAAAAGTACAGAGGCATCGTCGGTGCACACATGTCAAATGCATCAGTATCAAAAATCAAATTGCAAATAGAATATGAATTCTCGTGCTAGGAATCTAGATTGGATCGTGCTGCGAGACAAAGGTTATATATCGCATCTATTACAATCATATCACACTTAAAAGTAGTAAATGGATGATTTTTGATAAATGCTTTTTTCCATTTTGTTAATGGTAGGGTATCTAGAACTAATATTCAATAAATCCTCCCTGGCTGTGCTGGTTTCCACCTCGTTCATTCAAGCTGTTGACTGACTAGCCATAAAGGATCCATATGTACGCTTCCTTTTCTTTTGCGCTATGCCACCTTTAAATTTCCGTTGGAGATGATTTTAAGGATTTTCGCGATTGCATTGCCTTGCGCGCCATACAGAATATTCCTCTCATTGAGTTTCACCGCTTTTCCATTCCCATCGCTCCTCCCCCGCTGTTCTATAAGATCGCCCTTATGTTCACACTCCACACCCACCACCTTTCTATCTCAACTCATCCCTCTCCTTTGGTATATTATCCTCCATCCTCCACTGCTACCGGTATATTACAAGAAAAATGCGCACAGGTGTCTAATGTCCCATTATGCGCCCATCTAAGGGAATTTTCCCCCTTTCCTGGCCTGATCCCATCCGGTCCCATAAACCAAGCTCCTATCCATCCTCGTTTTCAAGCCGAGCTAAACCCAAGCCATCTAGACCAGGCCACGACCCATATCCCAGCCCCATGATATTTTTGCGCTCCAGCTCCATGGCGGCACACGAAAAAGGAAACAACAAACTAAGTACACATGAAAAGGAAGAACGCATAGTATGATTATGAATATTTTTAAATAAAATAGTAAACAATACACAAGAATAATAACAATGCTTAAAGAACAGTGCAGATCTCGAATCTCAAGCTGGTACTCTTCAAGGATAGTTGCCTGTTAAGGAGCGTTGGGGTATAGTAAAATTCGTTTCGTTCGTAAAGTCGTTAAAAAGATGCGGTGGGACGGTGCGACCATCAACCAACCAGAAGTAAAAACAAGAAGAAAAAAAGATGGCTCGTGAGGGCCGGCAGCTTCTTTAGATGCTTGATTTCGATGCTATTCAAGGTTTCCCCAATGCCACAGGGAATTTATCTGTGATGAATCGAAGAAGCTTGGTTGTTTTGCTGGGATTTCGTCGAAGTTGCGCGGTAGCTTGAACCATTGGTCCAACAATATCTTCGTCCCCAAGCTGAGGAAATTTACCTTCACTACGAGGGTCGTTTAGCGATGGGATTTTCGTCATGACGTTGCTTGAAGAAGCATTGCCAAGCGTGTTCTGTTTCAGTGTGGCAAAGGCATCTGTGGAGCTCTGGGCTGTAGTAGCAATTGTGAGTTCATTGTTTTTCATCCACTTGAGATCTGTCTGAGCCCATTTTTCCTCAGTCAACTTGTAAGTTTTTGAAGTGACTCCATAGTGTTCGCCTGTGCGAACAATATGCTTGGTATAGTTACAACGCGCGAGATCCCAATCGGCTCGTAGTTGCCGGCAAGCTTCGAGGTCGAAATTCTCAGGGACGTATGGCTCAGGGTTGATGACGAAGTTAGCATGGCCAAGTTTGTTTGCCCACTCATCGTTCTCCTCAGCGATCAGAATGGCAGGAATCTCTGAAGAGGGAACTATGTAGTTTGATTTAATTGTTGATCTATGAAAGGATGAAATGGATGGTTTAGTACTAAGTGGCGGTGAGGGCATTCCATGTAATTGATGGGTAATTATGAAATCAATGGGCGTGTTGGCGCCCGACATCGAATCACTCGTGTCAGCGACAGATGGTGACTGTAATGGCGATTGCATTTTGAACTGCTCCTTGGCTAAGACATCAGTCATGAGAGGTGGAAGTAATGGCGTGCCGGCCAATCCTTCTTCGAATTCAGATGTACCGCTTTTTGCCTTTTCGATATCGAGGAAGGATGTTGTAGAGCTATTATCGCGGCTACCAAAGACGCTTCTGGTTGGAGTAGGTGGCAAATGGAGATCAGAAGTCTCGTCCAGAGGTCTGCGAGCGGAGTTCGACCTCGATGAGGATCTACTAGAAGGGGCCCTGGAAGTTGCATAATCTCGTTGTGTATCGGATGATATAGATGCTGCTGAAGAACCCGTGGCTTTTCGTGAACTCCATTTGCGGGCAAAGGAAGGAAACTTGGTATTGAATCGAGATGTGAGTCCATTCAGTGGCGATTCGTTTCCTCTTCTCTTCTTATATCTCTGGTTTAATGAAAAATCCCCATCACTAAAGAACCCATCTGAAAGATCATAGTAAGAGTCTTGATTGGTAGATAAATGGACTGAGCTTTGGGCTATAGACGTATCTCTATGCAAGCAATACAGATCGTCGCCTATATATCACGAGAACAAGGATTAGCCTATCGCCTTTGCCGCAGTGGATGTACGTTTCGCGATAATCATTACCCCGCGTAGTCATCCAAGAGATAAACAACAAATAAATGTATGAGGGTATGGAGGTCTTTAGGTCATTAAAGTATGAAGGTCTGGACATAATTTAAGACTTACACAGGCAGTTGTAGAGTTCATCGCAATCTGGGACATCTTCATCGTCCTCAAACATGAAGTCATTCTCCCGTTCGCAACGAGGTTCTTCTTGAACATCAGGCAGAGATCGCTTTCCGGATTTGTTGCTTGCGAATGTCGGCGAGGAGGGACTTTCGTAGAGGTACTGTGATTCGATTGAAGAAGCTGAGCTTGGATGTCTCATATGGCCTCGTGTAGAGAAAGTTGGTGTAACTGGTGATGGTAGCTCAGATGGCGATGAGTTTTGTGTATGAATTGAGCACGAAAGATCCATATCTAATTCTGGCAAGCTCTCTCTAGCTTTGCTCTCGGCGATATGGCCAGGGAGGCGGAACTCAGCTAATGCTGTTGGCATTTTGGGAGACAACGAGTAAGTAAAAGCTGGGGATGTTGGGGACAGGTCGATGTAGCGACTTGTATCGTGTCGGTATTGTACTTCAGTCAAAACGGGTGCGAGTCTATAGTGCAATTGACAACATAATATGAAGGTAATGCTTCTCTTTTCTTTTCTGATAAATTGATGTAGCGATACCGACGTGAGGAAACTGCACAAGTAACTTGTTCACAACTTGCAATCATACGTGGACGTTTCGAAAGTTAAGCGTTTTCCAATGGACCACGTAGTTATGTGTATAGCTAGGTTGGACGCGCGATGGGAGAAATGTATGGGTAATGAAGACTTGGATGCGTGGTTGGGAGATCTGGGTGCGCTGCGAACTTTTCCTTTGCAGAACCAATCAGACTTTGCTCTACCCAGCGTTTCCTCATCCAATACTCTCACGTGAAGGGTGACTAGAAAAACTCTGCAGGAATTCGGGGACTATGTAAGACTTACAGTAATTGGATAGTCCGATAGTTCGATGTTGGGATATCGCATTCGACTGATAGTCGTGTTTGACAAGAGGGCGGAGTGATGTATGTGACGGGATACGACGGTGAAGAGGGTTATCAGGGTGCTTGCTCGCGAGGTCTGAGTGGTCAAACTTGGGTCCTGCAGGTCGATAAACTTGACGAGTAGATTTTGGTGATTTTAAGACGGAGAAAAGAACAAGTCAGAAGGTTGAAAAGATGGAGATTAAGAAGTGCAGACAGAGTATGAGAGGTCGAGTGGTCGAGAGGTCGAGAGGTCGGAAATCCAAGAGGGTTGGTGGGTGTGTGGATGAGACCCGTGGGAGTGGATGGGAGTGGGTGGGAATGGGGTGGGAGTGAGTAGATGGATGGATAGATAGATGGATACCGGTACAGTAGTTCTAGGTACTCCGTAGTGTACCAGTCAGTCTGTCTGTCTTTCGATTTTGTGTTTGTGTCTGTGTTTTGATGCGACCCAGTATTTTTTTAAGCTCATTAACAAATTTTCCCCCGGGGCAATGGAATTGAAAAAGAATGTGGAGCACAAATGATAGAATTGAGAATTTAGAAGCTACAATCTACAGGCTACATACAGGCTACAGGATACACGCTACAGGCTACAGGCTACGACAGGCTGGGTACTCGACTTAATCGTACTAGTCCTCCTCGCCTACTAGATAGTCCCTAGACTCTAGAGCCCCCCTCCCCCTCTAACCTATGCTACTATGCTGCTATGCATATCTGTTTCAGTGTTTCTTTTAATTATTTATTTATTAAATTTACTCTTGGGCATCCGGATCACACTAGTAAATACCTCGGAAAGCCCACTTTTTGCTTCTTTTCTCCTGGGGTCTTGGGGACCAGAAGCTGCACCGACCGTTTCCGTCTTCGTAGCCATAGAACTTGCGCGGCGGGAAGGGGCTTACAAAGAGTGCCGGTATAGATAGCTTTTTAAAAAAAGCCATGGAAAGAAATATCCAGGGAATTCTAATTGGATTGGTAGAATGTTCCAAATACCTACAAGGGACCTACCTACCTACCTACCCCCACCTACCTACGTATGAATGATTTGGCAGGCTACACCCGAAAGAGGTGTCTCATATTAACCTCATCACATGTCTCATGGATATATCGCATTCGCCTGGTCTTCGATAGCTATATGTATATTCTTCCTTTACTCGCTCACCAGCTGCTCGTTTTCGTTCGCTCAGAGCCTGCGCAAGACATTTGGGTACAGTCACAGTACAATGTACATACACTACCTGAGGGCTCGAAGCACCTCCAGAAACTTAGCGAATCTTGCAGCCACACGAAATCTTCCAAATCTCCAAATGACTTTTCTGCCTTTGCTCCATGTGGATTAATGGAGACACCGATATGCCGTCGGAAGTTGGAACATTCACCCCACGTTGAGAAGAAAGGGTCCAGATTCTTTCTCACATAATGAGCGGGTCGAAATTGTCATCCAAATCTCTTGTTAGCATTAGGCTCTCACGGAGTATAGATTGTTTTCAACGCCTCGCCGTATGTAAGCCGTTGTAAGGTATGTATGCTTGTTCCAAATCCCTTGGGCCTTTGCTCATGAGGAAATTAGAATGTTCTATTCTTTAATATGGGGACATTCGATTCGTCTTTCCATAATCCTGGTTGATTCAATCAGAATAAGAACAAAGCAAGGAATGTCGGACAATATATACCGACTTGGAAATAGGAACCACTTGATAATTATTATTTGAAAATTTCAAGTAGTGTAAACGCTCGGCCTGGTCGTCTGGTGAGGGATCCACTCCTTTTCTGATGATCTGGTACCGCACTCAAAGTCATCAAAGAGCATAGCTCCCAATGCCCCGGGGAACAAGGGCAAAGAGAAACCCAGTCGGCATTATTGCTCATTGCAACTATAACTATAGCGGTGGGTCGCATTCCGCCCGTTTCTGTCAGTGGTTGATTCCATGGAAAGAATCCTTTTGAAGGTTAGCGCACACTAAGCAAACTACAAAGCAAAGCTTGATTACTATTATTACATTGTTATTCTTTCTCTCCTTTGCCGACTTATCGAGTTTAACCTATACCGGTCACGACTCACAAGGGGAAAAGAAGTGGTTGCAGGTCGTGAATCGTGAATCATGATGGCTCATTTGATCAATGAGCGGAAAGTCATGAATATGAACAGATAGATGGTCTTCGGGAGCTAACAACACTGCGAATATACAGCGTCTTTCAAGTTCCAATTTTTAAGACCTCAATCTTAAACGTAACCTTTTCCTATCCTCAACATTGACAAGCGCTACGCAAAAGTCTACCAAAGAAAAGAAACATTTTAAGCTTCTTTTCTTCAAATGCAATGACGAAACTTGTGCAAACAAGCAGCAATATATGCACCTCGTTGAAAATGGTTAAGTCGATAACTAAAGTGATGGGTTTTTCATATACTCTGTACGTATTTACCGTAACACTCCTTGTTAAGGCTAAGCTTTGCCCTGTCAAAAGTCCACAGCATTTTTTGAGACACCTATGGTGCAGGAACCCGACCGTCGATCCAATGATCGAGGGCCATGCCGTTCTTTCTCGTTGTTTCAAGCAATGTGTGGCACCCCTTTCCATAGTCCGCCTTGCGATTCATCGCATCTGATATCTTGTTCAAGCTGTGCGAGGCAATACATTACCGCCCGCTTTGCCTTATCGTCGAGAAAGAGACGCCAGGCGCATGACCTTGAAAGGTGTGACTTCATGATTCCTTGGTTTCTTGTGATTTGTATGGCAGAGAGGTTGGTTCGGGGATTGCAAAAAATCTATTTAATTGTTTGACAAACAAGTTAAATATTTCTGTTCGACATTTTTCTTCAACCTAACCCACAGCAATATGTTTGCTAAATAAGCCCTGTTAAATAAATCAATAAATCAATAATTTCACCATTCCGCACGGAAAAGGAAGCGTACAGATTCCGCAGGCTTCTTATAGGTGGATAACCCAATGCCCCATCGTCTTAGTACTGTTTAGTACCCACAGCCAGGGACATAGAAGTTGTAAAAGAACAAAAAAGTGGGAAAACCAAAAAAGCTCTCATTGATTCATCCGTCTTTGTAGGAAGTTAAACCAAAACACTCTCTATAATATCCGCTGCATGTGTTCTCGCATTTCACAAGTAGTACGGCATACCCAACAACCACACATTCCAATTTACATTCAATGGTAGTATCTGGTGCATTGAAGCCACTCTAAACTCGGAAAAGCCTCTTACTTTTTATATCTACAGTCTAATAGTGATTCCAAATTCATCTTGAAAAGCGTAGGCCATTGTACAGGCCTGATTTTCCGGTCGGTTTCTCAGGCCACTGAAAACATGCATCATTTTTAGTGAAGGGTTGGATCGGCGTGGTTGAGATACCACACCCAGCCTCCTGATTTAGCCGGTTCTCGCATGGAGCGCCCCGTTGCACTTCGAACCAACGCTTCAAAAGGCTCCTTTTACTAGCTAGCTAAGAGTAGAAGCAAGGAAACAAATGTCAACTCGTGAGCTTCTCACCAAAAAAAGAACACTTATGTTAAAACATAGCTAAATTTTCGCATCACATTGACGAGCAATGTTCAATGTTGTAAATTGGAATCCTTACTCCTGTTGCGGTGAAGGACGGACAGATACAGGCATACACTTATAGTAACGTTGCTGAAGCCCATCATTGTCGCCAATCGGGCGAGGCAAATTCGCAAGTCAACGAGGGACAATCTTAGGATAAATGTATGCCTTCCTCGGATATTATGAGCGCCATGTGAAATATGCCATGTTCGTGCCCTCGGGTCTTATCAAGATCATTGAATAGTCTTTCAAATCCAATGTTGAGACCAAATTTCTCGTTGGGCTTCGCTTCCCTCAAACTTATGACCTCAGCATTAAACATACAGGGGAGGATATGTATGCGGTGAGACGTACCTTGAATGGTACTTCTATAATATCCTGGAATCCTTCGGTCAAGTCTGGTTTTTGAAACCTCGACGTAAAGCTTGTAAAGGCTAATTTAGGGAGTGATTTTCTCTTTTCTGGGTTCATCTGTGTCGAATTAGAATCTCATATCCAGGAAAGATGTCTCGGACCTTTCTTGTCAATAGCAAAGAAAATCCATGGGAGTGAGGAGGACATACGGTTTGGTTCAAGGCTCGCACAGCATCGTTGTGCTCGCATACTTGTACGCCTGCTAAAAAATGAACACAGCGGATCGGTACGGAATACTTGGCAGCTAATGCTACCCATTTGCTTCGAATATCTCGATCCGCATTTGTATTGTCTAGAAGGTGTCAGTTTCGCTGCCATCATATGAATGCAGTGCAAGCACAACTACTCACCCACAACCACAGACTTCCCCTCATCTAAAAATTGTTCAGCAGCTTTGAAGCATTTGTCTCGCTCGTTGGATGTTAGTTTATACTCTGTAACCAGTGGCGAACGCAGCACATACTGTTTTGAGGGTGTCTTGGTTTACTCTAGCATAACCAAGAGGTTCCAATTGCTTCCAAAAAAATGTAGATTTTCCAGCTCCAGGACTACCACAGAAAATGACTACCTCTGTCGGGTTGACTTTTTCGTACTTTGAAGACACTAAAACACTGTCAAAAATAAATCAACAGCAGGCAAAGCTTCATGATACCAACCTGTAGTGTTTCTAAAGCAGTGATCTTCTGGGTCAAATGTGCGAGTAAATGGTCTTGGTGTTTCCTTGAGAAAATATTCTTCGGGGGTATAGAATTTGATCCCGACGTTTTCAGCAAAATTCCTACAGAGTATTAGCGATCGATACAACGTCGAGACCCAGATAGCTTTACCGATCCGAGCACGCAAAGTCCTTTGATTTTCCATTCCTGGCGTGGCGCCCGGCAGCATCTCCAACAAAGATGGACTCCCGAAGATTAAGGTCACCAGGAAGGTGAATGTCGAAGTCTTCAAGTAATTCATTCCACATGCCCGTTCGTGGCTTTCGATATATGTCATTCTCTGTTGCTGCATAAATACTCACTGGAATATTGAGATGGTTGAAGACCGCAGACACTTTCGTCTTGAATTCCGCAAGTCTAGCTTTGGGGGATTTGGGGTCCGTTTTGAGGGAGATACCAGCCTGGTTGCTGATCACAACGACACGAAAACTGCAAAATATTCAGCAACTCGGAAGTTTATACGAGGTAATGTGTTACCGACCCATCCTCCAAGTATATTTTTCTGAGAGTACCAGGAACCGATGGGTGCCACCACTTCCAGTCCTGAGCGTTACGAGAATGCTTCTTGCCAGAGGATGTTTGTATGAGAGTAGAGTCCTGTTGGATATTAAGACTTTGCTTTAAAAGGTGTGAAGCCAGGACTCACGAAATCAAAAGCAGCAACTTTGTTTCTTTTCAAATTGGGTGATGATACCTCTGTAACTGAGCTGGTTGGTGGTTCAAATTTGCCAACCAAAAGCGTGCTTGGTAGATCATCATTTGGAGCGCGTTCTTGCCAGGAAATCTTTTCAGGTGGCTTTTGCGATGTAGGCGTAAAGAATGTTGCAACAGCAGTCTCTAAAGGTAGTTTCAATTATAATTCGTCAAACGTTCCGGTGAAGCTTACGCGTTGTCGTAGACTGTACTTTGCGACGCAATGGTGGGGGTGATATTGAGCGGTCTGCACTTGACTTTCTTTTCTGTACTCTAGCAGGGCTCGCCATTATTTTCCAAATATATCTCAAGCCGGACACTTGAAGATATCCTACTGATGATATGGTAGCCAGCTTGATAATGAGTATTTTTCTAATGCTCGTGGTGTTTCCAAGTAGGTAGGTAGGTATAAATAAATATTCAATATCTTTGTCAAATTGCGCGCGAGGCAATCACGAAAGTCACGTGTTTGTTACATCCAGCAACAAGTCGTGACTTCCATTCCAGACAAAGGTATAGCTCAAATAAAAGCCAGAAACTCGTATTCGACTCTTCTCTTCTATACACATTCGTCAATTGTTGTCATACTACATTCCAAATATGAATTTCTATCTTTAGAAACAGAAATTGCATCCATTGGCCAGTAATCACCATGCTCATCCCAAACAACGGCAACCAATATTGAATATGACTTCACAGGCAGCATATCTACGGCAGTGGTGTTATAAGTAGTGCATATTATTCATCATAACTCATAAATACTATGGTAGGTTCCACACTACTCTCTCCATCTCTACCACTTGTTATTCCACCATCTGCATCACTCTTCTCTGCCGACCTTTCCTCGCCGGTGTTTCTATTTTAAGCAATCCAGATCAGTCGGTCTCCGTGACAACTTCATTATATCTCATCTTCTGTACGCAAAAGCAGGTCTGATATACATTAGTTGGTCTCCTTTTCATTCGACCACCCGTATGGTCCGTGGTTCCCCTTGCCAGCAGAAAAGTTATTTGACATATAGCCTTTGTTCTGTCTCCATTGCAATGTACAACCTTTCTCCTTCTCCATTTCAGACATATCTTGTTGGTCGGTGCCGAAAATGGCACTCGCCCCATTGCCTTATGTTGACCATCTCCGGTCCCTGTCAAAAGATTATATGTTTTCGACACAGTCAGTCTGTTTTAGTTGAGGCATCATTTTTTATCTTCAAAGGAAAAGGGAGCCTAGTCAGTAAGTGCAGATACCGTCTTTCACATAGGGTTTGTTATTATTTGCGTGAATATATGTAATTATCATACTATATGACTCGTACCAAATATACTGTATCTTTTCCCAGACCGGCTGGACAATAACAAAAGCAGATCTAGCCATCAGCGAAGCTATTTTCTATTGTTATGGCATGCCACTACAGCGTCCATTCTTCGCGTCATTCTGATACGCAGTCGAAAATGTTTTTCGGTCTTCAATTCCAAACAGGTAGAGATATCCACACTTGTTTCCCGAACCACGGAAAAGCTTCAGGCCAAAATTCAAAACTCCAAAAGCTTCGCAACTAAAATCAAAGCTAAAAATGTAATTGCAAGCCAACCTCATCCGATCACCATCAAATGCAATTTGGCGACTTCTTCATAAACACTCTTCGACTGCATTGCCATTTCCGCCGTGCTGAGTGGGTAAATTGATCCTTATTTACCGCGACGCTGCGTCTCCCTAAGCTTCCACCTACCGATAGCTTTCCAACCTCAATTTTTAGATAAATTCGTCAGTCATACGGTGGCAGGTGACTTGTAGCATTCTGATCTCGAAACTCATCCAAAAAAATTCTCGTCGACGTCTGTGGGGTTAAGACGGTTGAAGTACCGGGTTCTACGCGTCCGTATTGGCGGTTCCAGGTGAACTGCTAATGCGGTATGGTGATCTTACGCTTGCCTGGTTGAACAAGCGTTTATACCCCTTTGATGAATCACGCATCTATCTACTAAAGCAAATCTTCACACGCGCTGCAGCTCTCAGTCACCAACATCACCAACACACATAATATCCCACGAGCCGAGGCCCAACTTTCACACTTGTTGGTACTTGATTTTTGGATAGTGTAAAAATTAAAATTCTCAATAATAGATTTGCTACTGTTCATGACATCCTGTCATACCAACAATGGGAGGTAATAATATTGGTATCAAAAACTTATCAAGATCATAAAGGCTATAAAAAGCTATAGCTTCAAACGCATCAAGTTGCAATATACGTACTTTAGACTCACACCTTATCATAACGGCCTGCTCTTCATTTGTCTCGTCCGCTATCCCGAGTGTTGCCTCGGGGACCATGGCTACCCCTTGTAGCTGGAGCACCTCGAGTAGGGGGGGCACCCCTAGGAGCCATTCTAGTGCTAGCACCAGTAGCGGGTGTCGGCGAGGTCATTTTAGTTTCCTTCAACCCACCCTTCGTAGCTGCAAACTTCGTAACAACATTCTTCGCCGGCTTTTTTTGCGTAACCTTGCTCACTAAACCACCAAAATCCATCGTATGAATGGATTCCTCCAGCTCACCAAGGCTAGCTGCTTGGATAAAAAGCACTTTACCGCCAGTAAAGCTATCTTGAAGCAGTCTGGTGAGCTGTGTGTCTCGGAATGGAATGCGCGCTGTGTTGTTGCCCATGGCAATTAGCACGCTTTTCAAGGCTGAAAGCTCGGAGTTGATAGCTTGTGTTTGTGTCTGCCGACCAGTGACATTTTTCAAAGACTCGGAACCTGCAAGATCAATGAATGTAATGCCGGAGTGTGTCGTTGTGATGGCACCAGATGGTTCCGCCTTTGATGCTTTTATCTGGAAGGACAAGAACATATGAGAACGTGACGAAGTGTCATTTTTTTCAGTTCGACCTGATGTACGATTCTTATTCACATCCTTAATCATTGCTTGAATGGATTCAAGGTTGTCAAGAACAACCGTTTCCACGGGCAAGACCTGCTCGCGCGCGGGCCACATACCACCGCACTCGCTTGAGACCTTTTGTGGTTCTCGTACTGGCTTGAAGAGGTCGTATACCTTCTGTTCATATACTTCAATACAGCGGCCCTTGACGCTATAGCCGGTCCCTTGGGATTTGCCAAGTTGGGTGAAAATTTGTTCTAAAGCCATATCGAGCATCGCACTCATGGTGTATGTTTTTCCAGAGCCGGTTTGTCCATATGCAAGGACGGTAATGTCGTAGCCCTGAAGGGCAGCCTCTAAGATTTCACTTAGGTCGTGGAAAACGGAGGCATTGTTAGCTTCAGGTGCAAAAACGCGGTCAAAATGAAAGTCACGAGTTTTGCCAAATCTGTCGATGACTTCTACTCTATCACCACCATGAATTGAGATGGGCTGTTTAATGAGAGTGCCTTGCGGAGGTCGGATACGTAGCCAAGACCGGAAACTCCCTTTGCTTTCAATCAGTTCGAGTTTGAGTCTCTTGACAAGTGTCTCCATTTCCTCAAGTTGAATAGTAGAAGATTCTTTCTCCGACTTCAACTCATTCTCCATGAATAACTTTTCGATGGCTAGATCATCGTGCTCCTCTATGAGTTTCGCTATCTCATCTCCGTGCTTTTCCGCCATCTCTATTGCTTTAATACTTTCCTGTTTGAGCTGCACTTCCACTTCGTGCAGCTCTTCTTCAAGTGCTGAGATTTTCGACCTCAGAATATTGATCTCTTCTTTGTCAGCTGCGCTATCTTTGAGCCTCGCACTTTGGATCCTGGCTGCATCAAGAGATGGACTCATGCGAGGCGTTGCTACTCTAGCAGCTTCGGATTCTTGTAATTGTCGATTGATTTTTATATTCTCTTTTTGAAGCTTTTCAACCATCTCATCCTTGCTTATCAATTTCACGTCCTGTTCATTACTGTACGCCTGCAAGACATCGAACTTTGCTTGATTTATTTCAAGTTCGCTCTGCAATTGGGCTAGTTGCAGATTTTGGCCCATCGATATGGCTTTAGAATCTCTGACCTTGACGCGTGTCTCATCGACTATCTTTCTCAGGGCATTGTTATCCGCAGCGTGTTTATCGCTCGCTTCACCTAAATTTCGGAGGATTTCGTCTTGATTACGTAGTTTGAAAGACAGCGCTTCAATTGCTGCTGTAACCTCTTGTGAGACATTGACTGGCTTGGGAGGCGCCTGCGCCTGTCTTATTAGCCTACGGTACATTGGAATGGCCTTAGACGAACCTTTTGAGACTCTCTTCTTTATATTCCCCAAATCATTGGCATTATTTTGCTGCTCTGTTTGGGCTAACATCGACGATAGTCTCATCTGTTCTCCACTTCGCTTGCTCGCATCATCTTCTCCATTTGGCTCTACCTCGGGATCGTCCTCTGCAGCTTCTGACCTAGTTTTCGAAATCACTTCTATGCCTTGCGATATCGATCCTGCTTCTGTCATGTCTTGCTTTTTCTTAGCAGGATTAGTGAGCTTGCCACTTGTAGTACTTTGGTCGGTTTGACGGCGGCGAATATCACTAGCTCGTTGAAGAAAATTCTTCTTTTCAGGCAGATTGGAAGACATCGAGGGATTGATGTGTGTCTATTCTTGGACGAGTCTATGAAGTGGAAAACCTGGGACTGAGTATCACATACTTATATATGCGTCTGGCTTCTTTGTTGACTGTTCAAAAACAAAGAGACACTTATATTGCCAAATGTGGCAACAACTCCCCCAAAGCAAAGATAAAGCCAGACCTGGATTCGATGGAGTATTTGTTCCACGGAGGCATTGTTCCATTGTGGAAAGGTTTGAGCATTCAGATCCTCGGTAGTATTGTGCTTTGTCTATTGTGACTATGTTCAGAAAGAAAATAACTCTTCAAAGAACCAAAGGTAAATGGCACGGGAACATGATGAATGTGATTTTTTAAAATGAGCCTCTAGACTAAAGTAAGGATAAGTTAAATAGGAAAAAAATATAATTTAAGATCGTCAAATTCAGAGAAGTGTTTCTGTCTTTGTCAAGGCATTAGAATAAGTAAGTGTCACGATTCATTAATTCACGTGACCTCGAGGACCTTTTGGACCTTAGGGTCCCAAGGGTCCTCAAAAGATGATATAGGGTATATAAACATTCATTTAGTCTCGTAGTTAAGGAGCTTCGTGCTCAACTTAGTTATCAATTAGTTTACCTACATTCTACTTGATCTAGTAACGACTTCACTTCCAAGTGAAGACCAGTGATAAAGCCTTAACCCACAACTACCAACCAGACGAAACCTTAGGCAGCCGCTGCCTCTAGTATAGTATCGTTACAGTAAGTCTAGTATTTTACTTTTCAGTCATCTTTTATATCAAAAATAATAAAAGTAGATCTTTATAACTTTTTTATTAATAAATATAATTTGATGAAATATGGATTAAAAATTTAATATTTATATTATAATAACTTTCGAAATTTTCAGATTCTTTATAATTTTATTAATTAAAATATTAAAAGTTATATTATTGATTTTTAATTTATATAAAATTTATATATAAACTTGAAAAACTTGAAATCTTAAATAACTTTTGAATAAATATTATTAAAAATAAACTAGAATGAATTTTTTTTTTCAAATCTTTTAATAAAATCTTATATAATAGATTAAAAAATTAAATTTTAAATTATACAAAAGAACTTTTATTAATATTTTAAATTTTATGTTACGAGGTTTGCCGTCTAGATCACGTGGAAGTGCTCTAGGCTCTCGAGGTGGTTTATAACTAGGCGTCAAGCAGGGACTTAAAGTAATGACAATAATGATATGCAATTCGTAACTAATAGTAGAGTATACTAAATGATTGATCTTGAGCACGAAGCTCTATACAAAGGAAATCCATCTTGATTATATAGACCTTCATGCCTATGGCTAGTCAGGACCGCGCAGCGGTCCATAACGTGACTTAATCACGTTACCTTGGTTTAGTCATGTGACGCGGTGTGGAAGATAGCCGTCGTAACAATTGAATATAATATTTAGAAATAATATAAGATTATATTGATATTAATAAAAATAATTAATATCATTATTATATTATACTATAAAAATTTGAATAAATATAAATATAAATATATATTTGAATTATTTCAGAAATATAAATTTTTTTTTTCTTTATGATTATTATTTATATCAAAATTAAAGATTTTGTTTTCATTTTAGTTCAATTTTATAATCTTATCTTTATAATTATTATAATCGATTTATAAAAAAAAAATTACATGATAAATTAATATACTCAAAACTATATCAAACTTCAATATTTTATATATTTTAAAAAAATTTGATTTTTATAAAATTGATAATAATTTGTTTAATTAAATAAATTTTATGAATAAAAATATTATTATAAAATATAATTTTATAAATTATTATTTATTAATAAAATAAACAAATTACAAATTTTATTGAATTATTCTAAATCTTCTATTTTATATCAAAATTCTTTATAAAATATTAATAATATTATTATATTTTCAATCTTCATTATTATTCTAATTATTATTAATTAAATTCTAGATTTAATAAATATCATTATATAAAAATAATCAAATATATTTTTAATAATATTTTTCTTAAAAAATCTAAAATATAATGTAATTATATTATTATATTATTATTAATATTCTTTTAGAATTTATAAATATTAAAAAATGTTTTATTTTATCAATAAATTTATTTGTTTTTAAAAAATAATATTAATATAAATAAATTTTAAATTTATTAATTATAAACTTTTGAAATATGAAATTATTCTAATGATTAAAAGGATTGTTTAGTTTATTTTATTTTTTAAACTTGTTTATTTTTTTATTTTTTATTTTTGAAAATTAAATCAAGATTCTAAATAAAAAGATTGTTATTATTTAATATAATTCTAATTATTA